AATACTGGACGTACTGCATTCGGAAGGTGGAGTAACTAATCTTCTGAAAGATGTCTACGAAAGTAATGAGATAGTTATAAAAATGAAAAACCAAGTATTCGAGTCTATATTGATACAACAGGGGCTCAGACAGTGGTGTCCTCTGTCACATTTGCAATTTATGCTGTTTGTACAAGGATTAGAGGCCAAATTAGAGAAAAGTAGACTTGGCTTAGCCACACTTTAGTCAAGCAAGAAAAAAATGTATTGAATGGTCATTACCAGCACTGAAGTATGTGGATCATATAGTATTAATGGCAACAACAAGGAAGATTTGCAGGAATTGACAGACATTTTCATCGTAGAGATAGGTGGGCCAGGTTTAATGTTTATCAATGAAAAATTGGCAGTGATGATTTTTAATAATGATAACATTGATAATAATAGTAATAGTGTCACTAAGTTCAAATAAAGGAGATTATACTGAAGGTAGTGGATAGATACAAATATCCTAGCATGTGGTTAATCAATGGGGTTCAGGACTTAAAGGGGCCCTGCAATACTTTTTGAGCACAGTCAAAAAATGCTGTCGATCGGTAGTAGAGGCTTCCGACAACACGCGAGCGAAATAATATAGCGCATCATGCGGCCTGGCATCCATATTAAATTATTAAAGTCAGCTAAAAATTGCTTTCTTTCGCTCGATAAATCGCGCAATATGCCCAAAAATCACACATACAAAGCCCATCTATCAGCCCATCTATTTGAACATGGCATGCTCGCTCGTTACAGAGATTATCGCAAGAAACCGCTACTTGTCCACGCGTGCGCACGCGCGTTCACGCTAAAAAGTTGCGCACTTGAAGAAAAAAAGAAGGAAAAAGTGCTCAAGGTCGCCAGGCGCACGTGACAGTTTTTGTTTGCCCCTTCCAGCTTAGTTTCCAGCCTTTTGTCGGGACGAGAGAAGAGATGATGCGATTGCAGCGTGTGACAAATCTTTGTAACTTCACTCGTACTGGACGGATTCTTATCATTTTTGCGGTGTTGAACTTGTGAGGCAATATGCTTTTCCAATGAATTAATTCTATGGTTACTCAAAAAAGTGTTTTCAGGGCCCCTTTAAGGGAACATGAACGATAAGCAATGATAAAAGGCAACACGAATGCAGCTGTAATGAAAAATAGGGCACTATGGATTTACATAGAATTCGAAAAAGGTTCTTGGTTCGATATTTCGCAATGTGTTCTACTGCGCCAGGTCAGAGATACAAACAAAGTTGAAAATTGAGCAAGGCGACATAGGTAGGCTTGTCTTGGGAGTTCATGGGAATACACAGAGTCGAGGGGGTACAAGATGACATGTGATGGAACATCTTTTGAGGGCAGGGAGGTTGATAGCTAGGATTCGAGGAGCAATTATAGAACTGGGGGAGAAACGGCAGGCTAGGAAAGTTTTCAACTACTTGAACATGAGGAATATTGATAGAAAATATGGAAGAAAGCAAACCAAAAATACTTAAACAGAAGGGGAAGACCAAACAAAAAGGAATTTTTAATTAAAGAGACTCGCAAGCAAATTTTATGGGGCCCAATTTCTTCATTGCAACGGAAAGTTCATTGGCCAGAGTGCCTAATCATGTAATGAGAAAACACCACGAAACATCTGTATTCAGAATTTTTCTATCCACGGTGAATATAAAGTCGTATACACGTGAGAAAACATTTGCTACAAACAATGAGCACAAGAGCAGTTCGTGTTCAAGTGCAATGATTTACTGTGAATGCGTGCATCGGAGCTCAACAAGGCCCACTGGCGACTGCAAAGGCAATGCTACTTCTAAACGTGCAACTCCTTTTATCTTGTCAGCAGCACAGAACTGAGCAGGGCTGGATGCTTATACATACTCTAATTATAAGGACTAATTATGGTGCAAATTACAGCATCATATTGCGTGACTACGTACAGCAAAGTGATCGACTCGATATCTGAACTTCCAGGATCTTTTCCACTACAAGGCTGTACAACATACCGGCTCTTTGTTACATTTAAACACAATTCCTACTCACAGCATAAAAATGATGCCGTAATGTCACTATATTTTACAGTCTCTTAATTTTTACAAGGATTTAATTCTACGTTGTGGCCAGTTGTCAGCCCCTTTAAAGGGTTAAAGAAACAGAGTGGGGCCTTTGGAAAATAGGGATGCTGAAAAAATCGGCACAGGAAAAGTACAGAACTTTCAAGCAGGAGAGTGCCAAACAAATGATCTACAATAACTTTCAAAGTAGGCCTGTGTTGTTTGAAGACAAGACGGGAGTGTTGTTAACCAAGATGTACCAAGCCAAGTACAATTGGATACACACTTTCCAGCGAGTGTGAAGAGAAGGAGGAAATGGCTGGACACTTGATACTTTTCTGCAAAGAGCTCTGCCCCTAGAATCTGAGACACCAGGGCTGGATTTTTATTTTATTATTTCACACATGGGTCTAGCGACAGTGAAGATGCCATAGACTTCAATCTCCTAGAGATAACCAAAAGGAGGCAACCTGGCTGGTGGCTAAAATCGAGGGAGGAGTGGAACTCAGTCTAAAAGTCTTTCACTACTTATAGACTGAGCACTTCGCTATGGGTAAGAGCCAGGGAGTGCGATCCGCCGCCCGGTCAAAAAAGCACAGCCCGTCTATATCTCCATCCACTGAAGCCTGCCACATTTAACCACTGCAAGCCACCCGCACTTTCCAATCAAGCCCTTCTCGATACCAGGCAAACGAATGCACTCAAAGCGCGCACCTTGTGATTCGCCACAAAGAAGTCGGACGCCGAGTTGAACACCGGTTCACTCCTCCACCGGAATGCGCGACAGTAGGAGGCCAGGGCGTCCACGGTTTCCTCGTTGCTACCGGAGCCCTTGATGCGGACGTACCGCTCGACCGCCTTGGTCGAGTTTGCGTCCAGGTAGCGCAGGTCCTGCAAGCTGCGCACCATGCCGGCAAACTCCTTTTCGGGCACCACGTGCAAGTTCAGGTTGATCCACTTGGCCAGACTCGTCAGCAGACTCTGCGGCACCAGCCTGAGCCTCGTGAGCACGCCCAGTATGTACGCAACGTCCTCTGGCCTCAAAGACAGCACGTTCTTCGTCGTGTTGCGCGCCACGGCGCGAAGCACAACGCTCTGCGAGCTCTTGAAGTACGGCAGCAGGCCGTACAGCTTCAGGACGTCTTCCTTCCGCATGTCGACCGCCTGCGCGACGATGGTCTGCCAGAAGTGATCCACCGTGCCCAGGTACTGGCTGCCGCAGCTGACTAACAACAACGTGACTTCCAAGAGGTCGGGCAGTTTGATGGTACCGTCGCAGATGCGGCCGAGTATCACCTGGACGAAAGTGTCCACGTAGCGCTTGCGGTCTTCCTCGCCGTACCGATGCTTCACGACGCACTTCAGTCCGTCCAGTATGACCTCGGTGCTCCCGGCGGCCGTGATGAGGTTGCACAGCTCGCCGATGACGACAGACACGCCCTCGGGCTCGGCATTCTTGGTGCGCCTCTGTCGCGCGTCCAGGCCGACGTCTCGAACCTGCAGAAGCTTGTCGAGCGCCTGAACACCGATGGCGGGCGTCAGGTCCTTGGGATCGGCTTTCCTCAGCGCGACGTAGACGTCTTTTACCGACGTGCACTTCTGAATGATCGCCGAGACTTTAGGTGAGGCGCCTTGCCTGGTTGCTTTCGGGTTGTCGTCAAAGTTCGCCGCCTGATCGTTGCCGAGGAGCGACTCCGCGGTGGCCTTCTTGATGAGAACCGGGAGTTCTTCGATGCTCACGCCATCCTGAAGTATGATGGTGGACTTGGTGACGCTGTCAGAGCCGCGTCTGGTCGAATAGGTGCGAAACAAAGCCGACTAGAAGGTGTCTGGCGCAACCATTCCTGTTCCAGGCCATGCAAATAGGACCGGCATGTAGCGGCGGTGCGGGCGCCGTGACGTAGTGTCGCAGTGCGTGTCCCTAACTGACGCCACACGGCACGGTTTAGCAAGCGAACCTTACAGCGTGTGGTCGCCGTTAAAGACATCGCACTGCTTATAGGCGCCCGCGCACAATTTCGCTAGCGTTCACCTCATGGTGAAACGTTCAGCTCAAATTAAATTCCCAATGCGAACCGCCATCTTGTTTATCTGTCTTTTAACTGTCAAGGTCTTCTACAGAGACTATTTTTGTGGCTAAACATAGCGTAAATGCAATTTTCGAGGCGTCCATATTGAGAAAAACGTTGAATACTAGACGTTACAATACGTGAAATAATTCCGTAGTTTGTTTCTGTGTCAATTTGAATATAGCGCAAAGATAACTAGCTGAATAGAATAGAAAATTTTATACTGCAGTGACGTCACGTGAATCTGAGCTGCGCTATGGCTGCGCACGCTCAGCGGAACTAAGCATGCGCCCGCGCGCCTGCACGCAAACCAGCGCAGCCAACGTGGAGCTTCGGTGTGACGCCTTTCTTGTTGAGGCCGTCTAGCGCCGGAGCAGCCGATCAGTAGTGTGGTTCGCTGCAAGCGAGCTCTGGCGCTGGGCTAGTGTGACCAGCAGAGAGATCGTCGCGAGAAGCTCGCTTGCCGTTCTTTTCGCTCGGGTTTAGGAGCTCGCCTCCCTGCGGGATAAGAAATATGGTCGACCTGACCGGCGGCGGACCCGACGGACCCATTGAACACGGATTCAGCAATTGGGTCTTCATTCTGCCCGCAATTATTATAGTTTCAATGATCAGTAAGTATTGCCGACGGGCCCCTGCCCTTCACCTCCGCCGATCGTTTCAAACCCCAAAGTCGTAGTACAGAACAGAACCGTCCGTGTCAAAGCGAAACAGCTGGTAAATCGCGCGCCCTTTTAATAGTTACGTAACGTGGCGTCGTCGACGGAAATAGTTAGAACCCATACGTCAAGTGGTCGATGACCTCGCCTCGAATGTGCATGTTGACACGTACCCGAAGCAAAAAGAGAGACTCGATCACGGGAGAATAAACGACACAGAGAGAGGCGTTGAGTGGCGCGTTGTTCGAATCGGTACAGTACCCCCGAGTGACGGCTGTGCTTAGTTGATTGCATGCTCTCCCGCTTATCGCGATGCGGAACAGGATCGCGGTCCGGTACACGTGGCCTGTCGCGTTGGCTCCGCGTGGAAGCGCCTTTGCCGAGGTCGCAGTTGCGAGAGTGGTGGTCGCGCAACTATCGGCCGCTCACTTCCACTCGGGCGGCCGACCTGTGTAGGCAGCATGGTTCTGTACGCGGTCCTGATTTTCGTGCCCGTTGCCACGATCGGTAAGCTGTTAGCAGTGACTTGGCTGGTTTGCTATTTACTCGCGAATTTACCAGTGTAACCAGTTCATTTTCTTTATTAGCGATTGCGTGGAAAACAAAACCCCAAAATATTGTTCGCTTCGTAATCGCGTGACAAGTAGGAGTTTTTTTTTTTACTTTACTGTGGTGTAATGTGCTACAACAAATCCTTTTTCATGACTTCGTGTATTTTTCCCTTTTCTATTTGTACGGAATCAGTACCGTCCTTCAATATTGAAAGTTAGAGCAGGTTTGCATAGGTAGTATGTTGTTCCACTTACGGTGCAGAATGTGTGTCAGGTTATTTGAGACGTTAATTTAGTTGTAACAGGAGGTTTTGGTATAATAGAAATGTAAATCAGGTACACTTTGAGCTATATTTTCTGTTGGCAATTCCACCGATAGCACAAAACATACATTATCACCTCTGACCTAATTCTGCCACATGTGCAGTTCACATTAGGTGCTTCAGCTTACAGAACCAGCTCATTTATAAAAATTTCAAACTGCATTTACTGCGGTGTATTGTAGTCCTGCGCCACCAGGTATTGTCACAAGTCTGTCTCGAGACTGTACAGGAGCTTGATTTTTCTTCACAGCTTAGCATTTCACACAGAATAAAATCGTGTTAGTTTGGCCAGTGTAATATATTTAAATAATTGATCATTGCATAGCTTGTGCTTGAACTAATTTGATATGCTCGATGCCATTTTTTATTTATTTTCAAATACTGCAGCTCAATTCAGGGCTATTGCAGGAGTGGGGTACAAAAATACACCAGCAAAGAATAACAACTAAATCACAACAATTTTCTTATAGGTGAATATTGTCACCTCCTACATGCAACCGAGTACAGAATAAGAAAAAAGAAATCACTCAAATGACTCTATGAAATCAGATATATTCATTTCACGAACAAAGCCAAGTAAATCGTTCCAGTGAACAATTCTACTATAAAAAAAACTAAATTTGAACGTGTTAGTACGTGCAAAAGATGGCTTAATGTTAAGATTGTGACCTCTTCACTGTTGGTGGAGCTACTAGCATACTCGACGTAATTGTCATTACGATAACCGGCATGACGAATGAACGTAAGAGTGCATTAGTTTCAGTGAGTCGATAGCACGCCTATTACACAAAGGTTTAAAAGATTTCACTGCAGATGAGAAAGAAAAATCATGATCATAGCGATGAAAAGATGTGCTTAATAACTGCCTGTGCTTTATTACAACATGGTGCTTTGACTAAGATCACGACTAAGACTGACTGTCACACTTGTGTGTGTACGATCACCTCGGTTTCTAAACCATCGGCCATTGATCGCACTGTTACAATGCTGTATTTTGTAATCATTCTAAGCGGTTCTCTCTATATGTACAGCTGCAGAGCGTTACTAATTTGTGCCTGAATAATATTACTCAATGTATGCTGAAGGAAAAGGAACGGCTACACCAAATCGTAACACACAAAACAGTAGATGACTACACTGCACTGACTGATGTACAAATCATAATACGGTAGTGGTGGCTCTTTTTTTATTTAATCTAAAGAGAAAGCAAAGATGTCAAATGGTCTATGTGTAGGCCTGAAACTTCTAAAGATGTAATGGATTTTGCCTGCAAATAGAATACATTGTGCAGATATATGAATATCGCAGGCCTGGTACATTAACTCAATAAAATAGGCAGCTTATTTGGAAATCTTCTAAAGAAAGTGCCATGCAAACATTTTTCTTTTTTCATGACATTGCTCTCCTAGCTTAAAAAATGTGTTGTTGCACCTTGTATTGTGTGTGCACTGCCACATCTCCACCTGGTTTCTATTGTATTCTAAGAGCCCAGTTGTCATATTGCTACCTAGTTTAATCTGACCATTTTTCTTCTCAATCTACAAAATTTATGCCTGCAGAACACTTTTAAGTGTTGAGTTATACAATGTACTAAATTTTGTACGTGGCACAAACATGCATAAGTCTTTTTCAACCGCAGTCTCTCAGCAAAACTGCATTCAAGATGAAACGGTCATTTCTTTATTCATTGTACTGTTGGCACATGTTAGTTTGTGTGTCACTTGCCAATAAGGTTGTTGTGATTAATTTTAAATTGGGGGTGTTATCATGGACACCATCATATTCTAACATGAAGTCAAATTCTGCAATGGCAGAATTTTAGGTCATTGGAGGTTGTTGCAGCCCTCTGGGCCAATCGGAATTGACAATATGCAGAGTTTGAAGATCTTTTGACAAGTGAAATTGAGTGTCCAGATTAGTGCCCTACTTTGGCATTAGCACCCAAGTTGCAGAAAATAAACTTAATCTGTAATCAAAACTGCAACCACCTAGTGGAATTCCAGAGACTCATCCCAATGTACCTGTTTCTGCTGTTCATCCAATAGTTCCCCTTTGTAATAGTATGCAAATACTTCAGGTTAAAAATAAAAAAGCATACTTGGATGGAAACTATGAATTAAACTTTCTCCTCTCCCCCCTCTCAAATGGAGCAGTGAAAAAATGGACTAGGGTCCATATTTTGTGACGAATTTTCCCTTCTCCCATTACACATTGCAGTGAGTGGCTAGTGATAATGAAACCACATCTTCAGAGTCAAAGCTGGACGAAAAAAAAAAAAGTGCAATGGGTTAAAGAAAATGCTTAACAGGTTGCTGAATATGCCCCCGAAAATTAGATGAAACAGCTGAACCGAAGTAAGATGTAGAATGGTTCTATTTTAACAGCAGTGCTTAACAAATACAGCAATACTCTCAAACCTGGGCTAATAAAATTATTGTCTGTATCAAACTGCAGAGCCCCCTTGGAATCATACTGCGTGAACACAAAATTCCCAGTGCCATTTTCAATACATCGAACATTGCGTGCCTGCAAGCCCACTTTCATCGCTTCCTGTGCGAGCAGATATTATGTGAAAAAAGTGGAAATAAAGTCATCAGTGCCATAAAGCTTCCTATATACACACTAGAGGGAACTCTGGCGCTAGTTTCTATCGGAGCTGCAATGCATGGCGCTTCAGCGGGCATGGGAATGATAGGCAGTACAGCAGAGATTTGCCTAATTTTTCTACTTTCGGCTCGGGTTGGCTTCGCGTGGCTTCATCGCGAGACAAAAATGGCCAAATGTTCGGCAGTTACGCTTCACCACCTTCACATCTTCAAATCAAGTCACAAATTTCAAAGCTGTTTGTTCTTTCATGTGAAATAAAATGAAAGCAGAGCGATAAAGCCATAGGTGCGCTTGCCGCCCGTAAGCATGAAGACGATGCAAATCTATGTAACATCGTTCTTATGGTCGTTGAACAATTGCAGTGCCAGATTCCCCTCTAGTTTAATTTAGGAAACTCTAGGATCGGTGCTGTGTAATGAGGCATTAAATCTGCAAGGAAACGAATGCCATAGCGGCAAGACGAACAGGGCCTAAAAAAAAATATATGGATTGTCAATGTGACAAAATTTTCATTAGCTCTCCATAACAGCCGGCTTGCTTTAGTTCTCTCACTGCAACACACACGGTGAAAGTTACTAACAATGGGAAGAACCGCCACTAAATTTCTCATGAAATTGGAATGCATGAAAAATTTTGGGATCCCCAGATTCATATATATATTCATGTTTAATTGTAAATTGAATATCACTATTAATAATAGTGTTTTCCTTTCTGATTACACTCTGTTATTAAGAACCTTCAGTGTAGCAACAATCATATGCCAGTAAAGGAAGGGAAGGAGTCAAAGACACTAAAGTAATAGCTTTCACAGTACCAACAGCACAACCTTTATTGCAAAAAGGGTGCGTGGTCAATAAAAAAATTCAGTGAAATCGAAATACAGCTGATGATAGCTGCCTCGAACTGCACCAACTCTATAGATGTGTCATCGATCTTAATGGAGTTTGCTAAGGTCTACATGACGTTCTATGACAACCAGATGCTGAGCACGGCATGTTTCAGCAGGAGGGGGACGGATAATTGTAAGGCGAGGGCAAGCTTCAAGAAATCCTATTGAACCAGTGTGGCCACAGTACGAAAAATAGACTGTTAAAAATGCGATGTCCCACAGGCAATCATGTGTTGAAGTTTGTGTGCATTATTCAAGAAAAAACATTCCGCCGCGAAGCTCTAGTGGCTAAGGTACTCGGCTGCTGACGCGCAGGTCGCGGAATCAAAACCCAGCTGCGGCAGCTGCATTTTCGATGGAGGCACAAATGCTGTAGGCCTGTGTGCTCAGATTTGGGTGCACGTAAAAGAACCCCAGGTGGTCGAAATTTCCGGAGACCTCCACTACAGTGTCTCTCATAATCATATGGTAGTTTTGGGACGTTGAACCCCGCATATCAATCAATTATTCAAGAAAGAAACTATGACGGTGAAATTGGCGATATTAACAGTAGAGTTCCCAAAGATAAACTTGTCACTCTGAGCTGATAACGTGTTCAAACTCTAGTCTCTCTTTAAAAGGCCATCCTCATGTTGTTGATTGTCCGCAGGCTTTTTCACATACAAGCTCATTCAGAGCTTGCGTGACAAAGAGAAGAGGAAAGAAGACAAAAAGAAGCAGAAGCAGCAAAAGAAGAAGGCCAAGTGAGAAGACGAGGACGCTTGCCCAACTTTCACGTGCTCCCCCCCAGTGCAAAGCAGGGCCTAACATATCACCACTCACAGATGGGGGGAGGGGCGAACAGCAATCTTCCAAAAGCGACCTTGCTACCGCCGCGGCATCAATGATGCTTCGCAACGGTGGCAGCGTCCTTCTCGGAGTTGACTCGAGACAATCCGGGCACCACCAAAGCCATTCTCTGTTGTTCCTACATGTACATTCCATTGGATGAAGGCTCTCTCTTGTTCTTCCTCGCTTCGGAAAAAAAAAAAAGACTTGTGCCCGGTCGATGCAAATGTTCTAGGTGTTTTTAACCATTTTTTCATGTATATTTACAAAATGGAGAGGTTAGACAAGTCTGGACTATAGAAAAACTGTCATATTTATTGTATTTACAGAATAAAAAAAAAAAGACAGTTCTCGTCACAACCGAAATCTGGAGTATGCATGATTTGGTGTGTTCTGTGGTAATCAGACATAAAAACATTACACGCGTTCCATGTTAGAAACGCGTGCACGGCACCCTTCTGAATACTTGTGACAGGAAGCCCTTGATATGTAAAGCTCATACCTTAAAAACTTAAGATCACAGCGACAAGTTTGTTACAGCATCATAGTTTTCAAGCAACATTACTGAAGTCTAGCAAAAGATTTTTACACTGTTGCTTTCATGTTTTTACAAACAACAAAAAAGCATTAAAACTAACAAGCATTACAAAGGGCTACTGTCATCAATTAAGTCTTTTAACACACCACTCTGCAACAAATGTGCTTCACAGCGTGCGTGTGTAAGTCAATAGCATTGTTAAATTAAGAACTGTGGGGGGCGTAAAATCTCAGCCTGTTGCTGAAGGCTTCACTCTGTGATGATGTCCAAGGGCATCTCCACGCCAAAGAGCTCTTCCCACGGTGTTCGTAGCGTGCTCAGTATCGAATGCAGCGTTGCCACTGTTTTCGTTGCAATGGTCCACTGCATTTCCGTCCCAGTGTCCTCGTCCAGGAAGGTAAGTTTCGCGCTTTTGGCGTTCTTGCAGAGATGCTGAAAAAGAAGCAATCGGAACATGTAATCGGACAATTAGCCGTAGTGTCCTCGGAGACTGCAGGCAACTGTACGTATATATTTCGTGATTTTGACGATCACATTTTGCTGAGGCACATTTAACCTGGCTGCAAAACGACGGCAAAACCAGAGGGCGCACCTCCAAACTCCGAACAGTTGACTTCACAAGCAGTGCCATAGGTGCGTGCTACGTTCTGTTACTTGTACGACTGTTCTGCGTGTGCGCACCATTCTGCGTGTGGGCACCATTCTGCGTGTATGCACCATTACCCTCTATGCGTTTTCGAGCAAAGCATATGCAGGTCTGACCAGAGAAGTTCATAAATGCTCATCTAAAGGTGTCTATTCAGCGAGCAATGTACTTTTTGGTGACATTGGTTAACCCTTACAGACTTATTCTGACAAAAGTGACGGCGCAGGTTCTACACTTGTGAAAATGTTGCAATCAATCGCTGGTGCGTCGTCAAAGAACACTCAAGCATGTACCCAGGAAAATGGAAGATAGCACAAATGCCATTGTTTTTTTTTCTCCCTGTGTCTGTGTTTGCAAGTCTTGCCAACCAGCTCGCCTTAATGCAAATAACAATTAATGGTTGGTACAATAGAATATCAGTACATGAGAATTATTTTAATAATAGTACCTCTACGCCTTGCACTTAAAAAAGCACTGACATGAAGTTTTTTTTATATCAAATGAAAGGTCAAGTTTTGGGGAGTCTAGAAAGTGTACTGCTAAGTGTGAGTGCACCCTGAAAAAATGATTGCAGCATGTTTTTATAGGCTAGTTTTGTTTCCTACTGTACCCGATGCAGAACATGGTGTTGAGCTCCTCATTATGTACTCGTGCAAGATGTGACATTTCCATGACCGCTCCACACTATGGCTTCGTTTGAGATGCACAAGTGGCCATTTGGAATGTTTTGGTGACGCACAAGCCACCATTTTTTGGAAGTTTCGGTGCCTGACATCATCAGAGATAGCTATACTGCTGCGTAAAGTCGCCATAATTAGTACTGTGGCCTGACATCAAGCTAGTGACGATGTAGGTAGATGCGCCATGGGAAAGTCAACATTAAGGTTTGAATGAAATATCACCATTTGCTAAGCTTCACACTTTCTCAGAGCTATCTTTGTATAAAACAGATTTATAAGGCAGTTTAAACTTTCCTCCAAAAGATGGTGTCAGTATACCTTCAATTTCTCCATCTCTATGTAGATGATTCTCAGTAAACATTAAGTGAACCCTATTTTCCAAGTTCTATCTATTGCAGTTATTCTGCATACTGCACAGCTGCAGGCAGAAAATTTCCTAGATATGCGTGAACTCCGAGCAGATGAACGAACCCTAAAATATAATGTAAGAAATGTATATTAAAATCGCCAAGAGCGAATTCAACCAAACGTATACAGTACTACACTAAGCGAATGTCTCCATACTTGCCCCAAGAATTCAGCCCAAGTGACTTTGTCTTAGAGGAAACTTGTTCTCACCGCAGAGGTGCTGTACAGAATTATGACATACAAAAAAAAGCTTTGCTAGTTGTCTTGTCATCCACTTAGAATGCAAAGCACAATTTGAAAAAAAAAAAAAATGAAACTGACAACAACTCTTGACGTCAATTCATGTCGTTTCGTGTTGCATTCTGTGTTTGGCATTAGACACATGTCGCAAAAGAGAGTTTCAGTGTAGAGAGCACTGAAAAGGTGCTTACCACAGCCGTTATGTTGCTGATTCTCTGACACGCCAATGGCTCGTACCGCATAGTACAAGCTTTGGTGGAACCCTTCGGTGTCTTCATAAAGTGGGCCTTGCAGATGTAAGTGCTGTCTTGCGTGACAACGATGCACACTGGCTTCAGAGCCGCTGGCGAGGCACCATCTGAAATGCAAGATACTTGAAGTATTTTCCACTTCTCTTTACTGCAAATAATGAGCGTCGGTAAATTTTTGCACCTTCTCATAACATCATGCTTGTACTGTGAACAAAAAAAAAGTTTTACCTACATCATCAGTGGGTGGCTGAAGAAAAAAAAAAGGTCTTAAACTATACCATTAGAAAACTTCTACATGTTCAAAATACAATGAAGCCATTGTGATGTCGAAAGTGGCACTAAAACATTTTCTGTCAAACACTGGCTTCTTTATCACCATTTTCCTGCTATAGTCAATGTGTTATATTGAGTGCAGAGTACCCCGATAAGGTGCCTTGCAGGATGCAGTCACAGGGGTTGTAAAAATCTGTAGTACTCATGTATACAATGAACTTTTCGTTATCCTCCAGCTGAACTTCAAGCCAACTACAGGCAACAATAGTTACCTGCTAGCTCTTAATTAAAATGGCATGATTAGTGTATACTATGTCTTCAAAGCTGCTATGGTTATTGACTACGATAAGGCTGTCGCAGCTGTTACAGCTTAGCTGTCACATAGTAACTTTTGGATAAATTGCAGCCTAGCAAGAGCTACAAGATTCACTCTTCTTGTGTATGTGTCTTTGACGGCTGGGTTCGCCGATTTTCCAAGCCTGTGCACCAAACAGTCCCAACACCAGACTCTTCCAAAGTTTACACAGTCTAGCACGGTATTAACGCGATAGCGTTAGACAGCACGTGTCGCGAAAATTCTACCATTGGCACCATTGATTGTAAGCGAAAAATTGAGAAATAAGCAAATAAAATAAAGAATAAAATTTTCGGTCCCATTAAGTATCGCAACCGGGCCTTCGGGTGGTAAGCAGGTATTCTACCACAAAGCCACTGACGTTACTTGTAGGTGCCTCGGGGAAAAACACTACATAAATACTATCTAGTGGAAGGAGTTGCATTTTGTTGGACAGGTGTTACAACGAAAACAAGCTCATTCGGCGATTTGTAGGCCGCATTTGGGAGGCCATCAAACCACGTAGAAAAAGGCCGAAATAGTGCCGTCATAACCACTAAAAACACACAGGAACTTTTAAAAACTCTAAAAATTGACAACTATGTCCATCTAGAGGAAAATATATCATGCCTTTCCAGAGGCATTCATCAAGCAAACGCTACGCTAGATAATGTGCTGCCATCTGTGAGGCATTGTGAGACTCTTTATGGTCTCTGAAATAGCGTGCGCCCAGTGTTTATCTTGGAGCCCATGCGACTCTTGCTGATAAAAAGCCTGTATGCACTATCCGCGTGCGCGGGCTGGTACAATCTAGCGTGTGTGTGTGTGTGTGTGTGTGGGGGGGGGGGGGGGGGGGGGAGGGTGCGTGCGTGCGTGCGTGTGTGTAACAAAACACACTAATAAGTATGCACTCAGCAGTTGAAGGGTGCACTAGGGGCTGGATTTCGCTATCACATTCAATTCATTAAGGCAAAGCTTAAAGAATCCCCCAATTTTTTTTAATTAAAAGCATTCAAACAAATTATGAATAGTCTAACATAAATACCTTCTTTGCAAAGTTATTTCCATGGCATTAGCAGTGCATTGAACTACCTGTCTGCAAGTTCCCATTGTCTCAAGGATGTTTAGAATTTTCAGCCCAAGCAATAACACTTTTTGTTTCTGCTTTTACACAAGTGTGATTAAATGAAAACGCGCAGGATTTCTTATGCATTCGCCTAAAACAACTCGAAGCTGACAGACACCGTCAACTTTCCTTCCCAGTAAATGCATTGATCCGCCATGGTCAACCCACTAGCATCAAAAATGGTGGACTCACTATTTCTTGCCAGCCAGTTTACATGCAAATATACTATAACGTATATGCGGCGTAACATTATGGGGAATGGGATGCTACAAAGCACAAGCCTTGCACCGCAGCCTCATTGTGAATTAAGTTGCAGGATAACAAGCAATGAAGATTTCACACTGCTTCTATAGAAAATAAGAACAGGATTTGCAAATTTATCAAGTGTGTATTGATATAGCAGGGATTTGTTTATAGTATTCTTGATACTCCTGATAAGGTACATCATTTTGTTTATTTGGACATTTTTTTCTATTCCGTGAAAAGAAAACCAATGAGCTTTTACCGTATATCCAGAAGAGAGCTTGGTTTCCTACTTGTCGATGATGCACTGTGCCCAAAATACGACTTAGATCGCTATCAGTTCTTTTGATTTACAAGCAACACATTCAAACATTATGTGTCTTCTGTTTCTTCAGAAGTAGCCTTTCATAATCATTTACACTTTTTCCTGCTTCCCAGTCATGGCTTTGTCTGTTGGCTCTGCTCCTTAGTTGAGTTCTCATTTACATCCATCTGTCTTAGAACACACAAAAAATAGTCACCCATGATTATGATACTGTTTGACGTGAATTCTGAGTGCAGCTTTGTGCTGGGGCAATGCCAACTGTGTCTGAAGTTCTGGCTATTCGAAGTTGTAGCAGTGTAACATTAATTACACATTGCCTCACAAACTGCCAGTGAACTAGTACTACGCACACCGCTCTGTGGACAACAGGCATTGTTGATTTACCACGGTTGTCGCGAACGAAGCGGAACGTCAACAGCCCCATTACAACAAGCAAAGCCAGCTGTAGTGCGCGTTCCAGCCGTGCAAGTGCACGTGCTCCGACCGAGGGGCCCACTGCACGTGATGAAGGAAGAAAGCAAGGTTAGGGGCCAGTGGCTCGTGATCGTGACAGACTCCAGTGTGTTCTTTTTCGTACTCGTTCGTTCTATTGATTAAGACGACAACGCTAGCTGGGACATTGCTCAATGCAGGAAGGGCCGCACAAGAGCTGCGCTCTCGTGTGTACACACATGCCTTTGTTGCATCAGGACAACCCTCCAGCATTAAATGATCCCGCGGAGAATGCATGGATGCATGCATCATGGTAGAAAACCATGACTAACTGACCTGCGTGTTCGCTCCAGAAACCCATGACAAACAGCGACACCTCCTCCTGCTGCTGGCCACTGTCTTCCGAAATATTTTCCGAGCAACACTTTATGACCTCCTTCACCACTTGGGCCAAGCTTTCACTGACATCCATGACCACTGAAGGCGGCTCGGACATCCTTTCTTGCAGCGCGCCTATAAAAAAAAGTGCGGAACTTATGGCAGAAGTGCCAAATGTCATTTTACACTTGAGGTACACTAAAATCCCTTTAAATGGGTCCTCCAAGAGACTGGAAGGTTGTAGTTTTGGTAACAGAACTTCCCTTTGTTATTAAGAATGATATTCGGTGGTGCCATACATTTTTTTTTGCACTGTTAGAAGGGACTGACAATCAACTGTGTGATTAGATCCTTGTATAAGCTACTATAGCGACATAATAGAGCATTTTTTTTTTGCAATTGAATAGTCTGTATTTTTGAATTGCAATCACAAAAAGTGGTACTGTCGCACTGCTTCGTGGACAAAACCTGCACAAAGGAGTAGTTTATATTCCTGCATACATAGTCTGCTGCTTAAGCATGCCATAATTCAAGCCTACAAATGCAGTTCGCATACTTTCAGCATCCCCACACTATTCTGTGCTCATTTACTGAGGCAGAAGGACTTGACCTAAGAAACAGCACCGTCCCTCATTGCAATTGCAGTAAGACATAACTGAAGAGGGTAGGAGGCCCGACCCAAATGTTTGAACAACAACAGCGTATTGCCTCTCTGACCAAAGAAATAGTTCCCACTCAGCCCGACAGTGGAGTGGCCTGCAATCCTTTCTTGCTGGTAAGAGAAGTAACAGCTATTAGCATCTTCAGCTGTGCTATTTCTGCTAAAAACAATTGAACTGTGCTATAGCTGGTATCGCTGGCTTTGTAAGCAGTAACGAAGGACTAAAAGAAAGCTAGAGTGCTGTAAAACAAATTTCAGATTTCACCGCACCTGACAATTTTTTTTTGTCATAACTTTGGTCTGTTGCAAAGAACCACTTTAGTCTCTAGATTAAGAAGTTCACTAACACTTTGGATATAGTCAGACACCTACGCTTGTCATAACGATGATCAACTCTACTACACATAAATATTGCAGTTGTAGCCGTCACTTCGGGCAACAACTTTCAAAAGTTTCTTTCTGCAGTATTCCCACTCTGTTAAACTCCTTTTCAGCAAGTACATTACTGAAAAATACAATCACTGTTTTTTTTTCTGGAACAGTTTTGGAGAGCGAACTTAAACATCTAGATCTCATAAAGTGCCTTTTAAAAACAGAGCTGGCTTGGTTAAGCACATTTAAGCAAGCCCACGATTCTAGACAATACAGGGTGGGCTGTTGGGTAAATATACCTGTTAAGCACTGCAGAAAACAGTTGCACGTGTCAGCATCTCGAAGCAAGCATGTGTACCATGGCAGTGATCCTTTCTCAACCTGCCATCTGAGGCAAAATCCCTGATTGCCGAGAAGAAGTGAGATGACCTTGAGGTTCTCGAGTGACCTTGACTCTCGCAGTACTAGCCAAGACTCGGGGTCTTCCCTGCGCCACATTAATCCACCAGTTACACCCTACTGTTACACAGATGAGTCAATGAAGATATCCCAATGAAGCAATGAACCAATAAATAAATTGGTAAAGTATCAGACAAATCAGTCAACATTGAATACTACTGCACTCAAACCTTACTATAACAAGGTCACATCTTAGATGAAAATAAGATCGTTATATCGGAAATTTCATTATAAACGCTTATTCCTAATACTACATCTATTGCAAGACTATTTTTCATTTACTTTGTTATAACCCATATTTCTTTATACCCGGGTTCGTTATAACGAGATTTGAATGATTTCAGTCTTTGGAGAATAAAACACAAGAGCAGTCAAAAGGAACGGTGTCTTGAAAAACAGATGCAGTATCATCTCCTCCTACAGTAGTAAATTTAGCTTCAATTTCACAAGAAAAATTAAGAAAAAGCTTGTGTATTCAAAATGAGCTCTAGCTCCTAAAAGCCGCATTCAAAATGCACTTCTGGAGCGCTGGGAAGCAAATAATTTTATGTCCAAGCTTTTTACAATGGACCCGCATACCGCAGACTTTTGGCTATGACAGACCATTTTCCAACCTTAGTTTGGTCTACCTATTTCATCAATGCAAAAAACTGTACAAAAACCACGCTACACTGGACTGCTATCTATTCCAAGTGAAATCAGCAGAAATTTCTTCATTTCCAAACGATGCACATAAAAAACTTGACGGCCATGCCCATGTTGGCTCAAGCTTCAATTGTCGCTGGCAACAGCAGCAGCCTCCATCCAAGCCTGTTGCAAAGCCAGTTTGAGGTCGCATCGGTCGCGCATTCTGTTGTCCCTTGTTGATGCAATTTTGTTGATGTGTCTCCATGCTAGTCAGCTGGGGCTGCATTTTTGGCAGATAATTTTTGGAGACGCTTTCACGAGTCAAGCGCTGAGCACATTTGGCATGTACAGGCCACATCAGACTGGCACGGTGCCAAATAGGCTCACATGGTGGCCCCAAAACCTTATCGGCCATAGAGACGACGCACCCGGCACTAATCTCATGAAACAGTGCCATCCTGAGGACTACCAAATAACATCCTTTAGAAAACAGAAACAACTGACACAGAGTGACAAGATTAAGACAGCGAACGCATGTAATTAAAATCAGGTGGACGTTGCAAGGATTGTCGGAGCAGACTATGAGCTAAACCATCAACATCAAAAGCATTGCCAGCAAGAGCCAAGAAAAATTAACCCAAAGTGCCTCAAGCTCAGGCTTGTAATTTTGATTAAGCTATGCAACACCCAAACACACGACATTCCAGTGAATGGTGTTAGAAAACAGGTGTCGCGGTATCCTACCACTTCCACCACTGCTAGAGAAATGGGGTTGCGTGGCCGGTGTGGACATGTGCGGATGTTGTGCTCGGAGCAGTCATGAGGACAAATTGGAACATTGAAAATACTTTTACACTGAGTATTTACACGTTGACGATCCTAACCCTCAGAGAAAGCAGGCACGGCGCGCTCTTCGGTGCATTAGATTAAATTGGAACGGTGGGGTCCAGCCCCACAATCTCCACTCCACATAATGGCGAAAGTCCACCAATCCAGCACCACTTGCTGGTACATAATTGATGGCCATGCCTAGGCCTCCAAGGGTCAATACCCGGTCGATGATGTAGGACCACGAGAAGGGTGAATGACCGCTCTGGCGACCCTGTTGGGGAGTCGATGGTTTGCTTACAGCTTCTCACGAACTTGGACGGGATAAGACCGGCTTGACAAAATCAGCATGACTACGGACAGGCAGCATCCGCACGTGCGCAAAGCTTTAACATTCATCCTGCTCGGGACCGTTGCTTTGTCACAGAACAATGACTGGCGTCGGTGGTTGAGGCTGGCAAGGTAGTGGTACAACGATGGACTGCAGTTGAGGAAGCATTCGAAACAACTAGTCAAGGATTTCATAGACGGTAATGTTATACTGTTCCAAGGCAAGGCATGACACTGCAGTCATGCATGTCTGTGTTGAACATGATAGTGCCAGTCTGATGTCCTCAGCGAGAGAAACTCGAGCTGCCAGCGTGATTGGTCGTGTCTTTTGTATTGCATTAATTGCTGAGCAATCCCGAGCTACACTAATTAAAACCTACACAAGCTGCGATGAGGTCTACCTTATAGTATATGCACAACTGCAAATGTGAGCCACAGTGCTATACACTTCGCACAGCTTTTTCTGTCATACTTGTGTATTTCACACCACAATCTAATGCAGTGTTAATCGAAAACGCAATGTTGATTCGACAATTTTTTTGCAATTCAGTGGTGGCCTCCAGCTTACAGTAACACTCGTGCTGGGTGACTGCAAAATCTGCTTTTTTTATCCACAACTTCAGCAGTGATTTTAAATATACTAGTATCACAAACTTTGGATAAAGTACAATGGAATGAGAGTAAGCTGTAATTGATGCTAACAAAAGACAAACCGCTCACTTTTCCTTGTTGTTCCTGATCCTGAAGAAATAAGCTTTGCTACTCGATATCACCAGAAGCGCTGGAATCTCTTCTAAGGATGACCATGTCACCAAGTCCACCTTCAAAGAAAGCGAAAAAGAAAGATATGAAACATTTATAAAAGCATTTGGTTAGATGCGAATCTCCAGAATATTAACGAAACAAGAAAAAATATAGCCTGTTCTCGAAGTTATAGAAACTCCAACAAAAACATCCCATATGTAAGCTGATGGGACATATAAAGCATACATGTTTTGCAAAACATTATGACACTGGTACTAAACTTGCCGTTTTAATGTGGGGTCCTAAGTCACCTGACCCTAGCAAGATGCCACAATAAAATGCAACATTTACTCTTTAGTTACTTTAGAAGCTATTGCAGTAGTTGGTTAATGAATATTTCTAATACATTTTTGCCACAAAAAGAAAAACAGCACCGAAAAAGAAATGTCAGAATGAGACAAAAAAAAAATTGTTTTGTGGCTTTGTGTGCCAAAACCACTCTATAATTATAAGGCACGCCGTAGTTTGGGGTCCTGGATTAATTCATACTACATTTGTGGGTCTTTAACAAGCACTAAAATTCAGTTACACAAGAGCGTTTTCGCACCTTGCTCCCCACAGAAATGAGACTGCCGTAACCGGGAATTGAACTCGAGTCTTTTGAGCTAGTTGTTAAGCATCGTAACCACTGAGTCACTGTAGCAGTTGATAGTTAGCGTTTCTTTCATTCACACGCTATTTCTGTCACTTAATGGGGCCCATAAGAGGATAGCGGTCCACCCAGTGTCAAAAGATGCCAATGCAAAGCGGTGCACAAGCTATTCTAGAACTTTCTAATGATGATACTTCTGTTCGGTGGCATCACCCAAGATTCTGAACTATCTACAATGCCTTTAAAATGCTCTTTGAGATATATGCTAACATATATGTACGACAGAAACTGTAAAGATGGCCTCAGGAATGTTGTGTGGCATCATTGGTGCAACTAAAATCCAAAACCTCAGTGCAATGAAGTGTGCGATATAACAAAGCTCTTTTCCGACATGTAGAATTTTAATATGCTGGTGTTTAAGAGTATGCACTTTAATGTAGACGAGGATTTCTGCACTACGCCTTCATTAGAGTGTGTTGATGCAATGACCAAGATTTGAAAATAAGACCTTTGGCATACAAATGGCCTAGCTGCCAAGAACACATCCGAAGCAGTTGTCAGGCAGTATTCTTGAATAGCAACATTTCACAATACTTTTGCAAGGTTAGTACAGCGCACATTAGTATCAATAAGCAACAGCATGTCTAGCCTGTCATCTTGACACAAGAGGCACAGTGCTACGAAACTGTGGGCAACGTTGGGCTGTAGACAGCTAAACACACCAGGAACTAATGTTATGACATTTGAACTGTCATCAAAAGTGAGCGTTTCAAAATGGAAAAGTGGTAAAAAATCAGCAGGGAGAGGTCACAAACCTCCACACAGCACACGAAGGTCTCGTTCCTTCCAAATACGTTGACATCCAGGTGTAACAGGACACTGTGGTCGGGGGTGGTAAACGAGGTGGGCTCGGTGTCCTCTCTGCTGTCGAACATGTCCCACGCCGAGATGGAGCACTCCGACCGGCTCGAGTCTGAGGTGTCCGGCAGCTGCAGGCTCACATTGGGCTGGCTCTGAGCGCTCTTGAAACTCGCATCCGATAGCATGGTGTCCGATGCGCTCGCTCTACTTGGGTGACCTATGCTGATGCTATCTGTCCCTAGAAGGAACATAACACTCAACGAGAATATTCTGAAACTGCAAGAAGCGCATGAATGGAAGTAAAAGTTCATTAGATTGACACCCGTTAATTAAAAGAATCGGATAATTAGGACGTGTTTTCTGGTCCCTGCAAGCGTATATATAACTTATTGGTGTATTAAACTTTTGTCAATTTTTCTGATATTTTACAGCAATCCGGTTAGTCCGGTGTTACGACCGGCCCTGGGGAGCCAAGCAGAGAGAGTTTGGGGGAGAACCGGTTCTTGACCTGACGGTGTCGTCCACCCCCACCTCCCCATTCGGGTTCCTCCTCGCCGGGAGAGCTACGGGGTCTGCTGTGCGTTCGTGACCATATTTGGTAACATTTTGGGGCGCCGGGACCATATATGGTGTTGGGTTGTGCCACTCCTTGTGTTGTGAGAGGTGTTTTCCCCTCCCTCGTGGCCGAGGTGCCGGCGACACCGTATTGGCTGACGATGCGGACAAGGCGCCCAGTGTCAACAACGTGGCGCTATAAAATGCCGAAGACGTTTTGTATCGCACGCACTCTTCTCTCTTTGGGTCAGTTGACCACTTCTCCACATGTAAATAAATCTCTGTTGTTCGTTCGGGCGCTTCTTTCTCGCTGAATTGTTGGACGATGGATCCTGCGACGGGGCCAGCTACCGAAAACGAGACCGGCAGGACCCGGAGTCCCAACAAATGGATGGCAGCGGCGGGATGCTGATAACCCCGAAAGCGACCACTGGACGGAGTGAGCCCGAAGTTCAACAACGGGACGACAGGAGAAGGAGGACACGAGCTCATCGACTTCCAGAGGGAATTGAACGGCACTTCTGAGAGGCACGACGCCGGAGACATGACTGCGAACTGGGTGAGTGCCGGCTTTCTCTGTTAAATTTTACCAGGCATTTACTCTATGTGTTAAGTAAAAGCTGGTAGAGAGGGGCTGTCTTGGTCATTGGGTTAACAGGTAACTTGCGTCAGGCAGAAATTGTGGGATAGCTTGGTTAAGCTCTTTCTGTCAGTGGCGTCAAGGTTAACAGTGACAGGGCAGGATTCCGTGTAAGAGCTTTTGAAGCTTATTTGTAGACTAAGTTAACGGAAAACTTGAGGCAAGGCAGGTATCTAGAGCTGTCGTTGCCGTCAAGGTTAATTAGTTGCAGGACAGGAATCTTTGTGGAACAGAGACAGCGGTACTGGAGGCAGCCATGAATCTGAAATCCCTGCGAAAGTCCATGTTGTTGCTTCTTGCAAGGGAGTTGAATCTGGAGGTGTCGGACTCTCAAAGAAAGCCAGAGCTGATAGAGGCGATTCTCGCATTGGGGGCGGAGGATGACGAGCTGTCAGAATGTGTCGAGGAGATTCAGGAGAGGCAAGCGGCAGAGGCCGAAAGAAAGGCGGCCGCGGCCGAGGCCGAAAGAAAGGCGGCCGCGGCCGAGGCCGAAGCAAAGGCGGCGGAGGCCGAAAGGAAAGCGGCAGAAGCCGAGGCAGATAAGATGCGAAGGCACGAGCTTGAAATGAAGCGCCTCGAGCTAGAGATTAGCCATAATAGTAGAACAGGAGGCAGCGAGGCATCCGGTACCGCAGAGCGGGTCAGGTTCAAAATGACGGACCTAATGAGATCGTACAAGCTAGGGGAGGACATTGGGCTGTTTCTCGTCAACTTTGAGAGAACTTGTGAAAGGCAAGGTTTCAGCCAGGATACGTGGCCTCAACGCTTGTTGTCCCTACTTCCGGGGGAGGCCTCAGAAGTAATCGCGCGCCTCACGAAAGAGGAGGCTGACGAGTACAGTGAGGTAAAGTCGAGCCTTCTCAAGAAATACAGGTTGTCAGCGGAAGGTTTCAGACAAAAATTTCGCAACGCCGTAAAAGAGAGCAATGATTCATACCCGGAGTTTGCTTACAAGTTAATGGCCAACATGGGGGAGTGGCTGAAAGAGGCAAAGGCGTATGGGAATCATGACAAGGTGCTCGAGTGTATCGGTCTGGAACAATTCTATCAAAGGTTACCAGAAAAGGTGAGGTTCTGGGTTTAGGATAGACCAGACGTGAACACCGTAACAAAAGCCGCAGAGCTCGCTGAAGAATTCGTTACGCGCCGCGCCCTCGGGGCAAACAGCGAGCCTAAAAGGGAAAAATTCCTACGGCCGAATAAGGCGCCGTTTAGAAAACAACCGACAAGTCTCGCACAAAAGGGTGAGGAAAACAATTCATCTAACCATGGGGCGTCGGCAGAGGCAAGCAAAAGGAAATTTGAGGCGAGAAAACCGGCTGCTTGTTTCAATTGCCACGAAACAGGGCACTTCGCGAAAGACTGCCCGAAAGAAAAGGTGGCCTTTTTATCTATAATGAAGCCGACGAGAACATGAAGTTGTTAGAGCCCTATATGTACGACCTTACCGTGAACGGCAAGCAGTGTCGGGTTCTTAGAGACTCCGCAGCCACTATGGACGTAGTTCATCCGTCTTTTGTTCAGTCCGGACAGTATTCAGGAGACTGTGCCTGGATTAGACAAGCCGTAGAAGCAAACAGTCAGTGCCTTCCCGTAGCTAAAGTTGTCCTTAAAGGCGCATTTGGAACATTGGAAACAGAAGCCGCGGTATCGCCATATCTACCCCCTCAGTATCCTTACTTATTTCAAATAAGTCAGATCAAATGCTGAAGGAGAAAGGTCTAACGTTGGGAGAAGGCATAGTGCAGGCACTGACTAGATCAAAGGCACGTGCGCTGGCTGCGAGAGCAACATTCACTGAGGCAAACAAGCCTCAAATCGACAACGGGCCTGGTTGCGAGTTGGACATCACGGAAACAAATCGACTTGTGCGAGAACAGGCTGCAGAAGCCGTAGTCGCGGAGGCAACCATTCATAAAGGCGACGTTGAACCTCCTCCCGAATTGGAAGGGGTCAATTACGCCTCGTTGACCGAGCAAATAGAGAATGCCATTGCTCCCAAGCCGATTCCCGGTAGTACAGAGGATAGCACAGAGGGTGACACATTCCAGGTACTAGGAAATACAAAAGAGTTGTGTGTCATGCCAACTTCGGATAATTTCAGTCGGCTGCTGCAGGTGAGTCCCGCTTCATTAATAACCGAACAAAAGGGGGACCCGACGCTTAAGCAATTCCAGGACAGTTCGAAAGAGGGAATCGCCAAACGAAATGTGAGATTCCAAGAGAGGAGCGGCATACTCTATCGAAAATATCTAGATAGGCGAGGAGTAGAATTTGACCAGGTAGTCGTACCTCAGGCGTATCGTCAGGATTTGCTTAGTTTGGTGCATGGAGAATCATGGTCAGGCCACTTAGGCGTAAAGAAGACGAAAAATCGTCTCTTACAGGAATACTACTGGCCTGGATGCTTTAAAGATGTAGAGAGGTTTGTAAAATCTTGCGATGTGTGTCAGCGAGTGGGTAAGCCGGGAGATAAGGCGAAATTTCCAATGAAGCTGGTACCCGTAATCACGGAACCCTTTCGTCGGTTGGTAATTGACACAGTAGGTCCTTTGCCCAAGACAACTTCAGGCTACCGTCACATCCTGACCTTAATCTGCCCAGCTACTAAATTTCCAGAGGCGGTCCCGCTAAAAGAGCTAAGTTCCGTCGAAGTAGTGAACGCACTTCTGTCCGTGTTTGCCCGGGTAGGCTTTCCTGCCGAGATACAATCAGATCAGGGCACCATTTTCACGAGTGCCTTAACGACAACCTTTCTAGAGCGGTGTGGCGTGAAATTATTGCATAGTTCAGTCTACCATCCGCAGTCGAACTCGATAGAAAAGCTTCACTCCGTGATGAAGCGAGTGTTAAGAGCCTTATGTTTTGAACGGAAAACTGACTGGGAAATGTGCTTACCTGCAACGATGTTTGCACTAAGAACTGCACCACATGAGACAACAGGGTTTACGCCAGCGGAACTTGTTTACGGCCGCAGACTGCGGTCTCCTCTTCGTATGCTGAGAGAGTCGTGGGAAGGTCAGGGTGATGATGCTGTAGTAGTGGAATATGTCCTCACCTTATTGGATCGTCTAACAACAGCCCAAGAACTGACCGAGAGTGCGATGACCAAAGCACAGCAGAAGGCTAAGCTTTACTACGATCGGACCGCTAAAGCACGACACTTTGCTGTAGGAGACAGGGTCATGTTGTTGAGGCCCTCCCAAAAGAATAAGCTTGAAGTGCAATGGGTTGGCCCGGCCGAAATTACTCGAAAATTGTCTGACACCAACTATGTGGTAAAATTACCAGGAAGTCGTAAGGCACACCAGGTGTATCATAGCAACTTACTCAAACCCTACAAAGAGAGGGAAGCCATCGTGAACATGACTTTAAATGTTCCGGAAGAGGTTCCGGCAGAAATCCCTGAATTAGCTCCCGAATCGGACGAAGTCCCGATCGAGAAAAGAGTTGAGGATTTAGTATCAAAGTCACAACTAACAACGAAGCAGAAGCAGGATTTGCGTGGTCTTTTGACCGAGTTTCAGGACAGATTTGTAAGCGAGCCAGGCCGGACATCCGTCCTCACTCATGACATAGAGCTTACCTCGTCGGAACCGGTAAGATCTAAGACGTATCAGGTGTCACCTCGCCGGCTTGAGCTAATAAAAGCAGAGGTTAACAGGATGCTGGAATTGGGTGTGACTGAGCCGTGTGAAAGTGATTACACTTCCCCGTTAATTCTCGTGGAGGTACCCGGCAAAGATCCGCGTCCTTGCGTAGACTATCGTAAGTTAAACCTCATCACCAAGGATCAGACATACCCAATTCCCCACATTGAGGAATGCGTCGAGAGGGTAAGCAGCGCGCAATTTATCTCAACGCTAGACCTAGTGAGAGGTTACTGGCAGGTGCCGCTTACCGAGAGGGCGAGCCGGTATGCTGCATTTATTTCACCATTGGGGACATTCCGCCCTAAAGTGTTGAGTTTCGGCCTAAAGAACGCGCCTTACTGTTTTTTCCAACTTAATGGATAAGGTTTTGCGTGGTCAAGAGGACTTCGCATTGCCTTACTTGGACGACGTCGCCGTGTTTTCCTCGTCCTGGCCAGAACACTTGGCGCATTTGAGAGCAGTACTGACACGCCTACGCGAAGCAGGTTTAACGGTAAAGGTGCCCAAGTGTCAGCTAGCACAAGCAGAGGTACTCTATCTCGGGCATGTTATCGGTCGAGGGCATCGCCGTCCCTCTGAAATGAAAGTGGCAGCTATCCGAGACTTTCCCCAGCCCCGAACGAAAACCGATATTCGGGCTTTTCTTGGAATAGCTGGTTACTATCGTAAGTACATCCCTAGATATTCCGACATTGCCAGCAGTCTTACTGACGCGTTGCGCAAGACCGAGCCCCAAATGGTCGACTGGGATGAGGAGAAAGAAAAGGCTTTCCGCGTTTTGAAAGCGGCCTTGTCGAGCCAACCTTTGCTTAGTTCACCGGACTACTCGAGGCCTTTCATAGTCCAATGCGACGCTAGTGATAGAGGCATGGGGGCAGTTCTTAGTCAAAGGGATGAGGGGGATCAAGAGCATCCCGTCCTATATGTTAGCCGGAAACTCACCCTTCGCGAGCAGGTTTACAGCGCTAGCGAAAAGGAATGTGCGTGCTTGGTTTGGGCAGTCCAGAAACTGGCTTGTTATATTGCCGGAAGCAAGTTCATTGTGGAAGTGGACCACTGTCCTCTCACCTGGCTACAGACCATGTCCTCTAAGAACGGCCGCCTGCTGCGTTGGAGCCTCGTTTTGCAACAATATACGTTTGAAATACGCTACAAAAAGGGTGTACTCCATGGCAACGCTGATGGCTTAAGTCGATGCCCCTGACGCGAGAGGATGTCTCGAGAACTCTGGCATTTTTTTTCCTGACCTAGACAAGAGCTAGTGATTGTTTTTTTACTCTTTTAGGTGTACTTGTTTGAAAACGTTGAAGACACGGCTATCCAGGGTTTCGGGTTCGGTGTGCTTCCAGTGTTGTTGTTTTGTGTCACCTTAAAGTGTGAGTAACATTTTGAATAAATTGTGTATTTCCTTTAATATCAGTTAAAGGGGAAAATTGCCTGGTGGAGTTTGGCGGAATTGTCCGGCGCTCACCGGCTGAGTAGTTGTGTTTTCATGTGCGTATGTGACGTCTGTTGAGCCCACAATGAAGCAGGTGGTGCCCTCTACTTCATCAAAGACGGTCGTCACCAAACCGACTGCCGGCGCTGATCTCTCCGGACAGTGGCTGCAAACCTCAGCCCATCGAGATCTTCACCCCCCGCGCGAGAGACTGTTACGACCGGCCCTGGGGAGCCAAGCAGGGAGAGTTTGGGGGAGAACCGGTTCTTGACCTGACGGTGTCGTCCACCCCCACCTCCCCATTCGGGTTCCTCCTCGCCGGGAGAGCTACGGGGTCTGCTGTGCGTTCGTGACCATATTTGGTAACATTTTGGGGCGCCGGGACCATATATGGTGTTGGGTTGTGCCACTCCTTGTGTTGTGAGAGGTGTTTTCCCCTCCCTCGTGGCCGAGGTGCCGGCGACACCGTATTGGCTGACGATGCGGACAAGGCGCCCAGTGTCAACAACGTGGCGCTATAAAATGCCGAAGACGTTTTGTATCGCACGCACTCTTCTCTCTTTGGGTCAGTTGACCACTTCTCCACATCTAAATAAATCTCTGTTGTTCGTTCGGGCGCTTCTTTCTCGCTGAATTGTTGGACGATGGATCCTGCGACGGGGCCAGCTACCGAAAACGAGACCGGCAGGACCCGGAGTCCCAACACCGGGCAATCCTCAAAGCACATGAGCACGAAGCGCCGCGAACGTGCGACGCAAAGGAGAGGAAACGGCGTTCCAGAATAAATGAAATGGCTGCATGCCATCAAGAAGGTGCGGCCGCAATACATGACTGCATTATCGAGCCAGGTTCATTCCAGCTTAGTTTGGACATAGGGTAGTGTGGGTGCCATGTCACTAAACTCAAACATGGTGTAAGCAGTTGACAATGAAGAACCTTAGCCGTGGTCTGCATGCTGGCATAAAACTCATTTGCCATATTGTTATGGACAAATGATGAGTGTTCGCCATTCTCAAATAAAAAAAAAATCGTCTTGCACAGATGTTGGTGGCCGCAGTACGCAATAACGGATGAGTTCAGAGCACGTTTGTTTTTAAGACATGAGCCATGAGAATACATTCATGTAAAAGGTGAAGAGTTAAATGACAATTGATTAAAAACTTCTTTAACAAAGTAATCAATTATTAATTGGTCTGATGATTCAGCAAATCAAAAGTGTCACTACAGACTGTGTGCCACGTTTTCCATGCTTGAGTAAGAATTGTATCATGGGAATCAAAACAGAAGAGCATATATTGTACATACGAGAGTACCACATTAAGGTCTCAAATCTCTTATGGCATGAAAAAGTTGTCACAAGACTTCTACCATTACAGCAGCACCATACGCTAGGTGGGAAGAGGGACACCCATTGAAATGTACAGTGGTGGTCAAAAGTTTCTAAAGCTGTGGTAGCGCAGTTTGAGAAATTATGACACCCCCTGTACTTATTACATAGTGCATGAATGAATCAGCTTGGCTCCACCCTTTGGTTACACAGGCCACTTTGTATAAAGGAACTTTGAGGCAAATGCTCAACTGTAGCAAATGACGAAATGGCAAAGCTGCACGTATGCAGCTATCGGTAAGCTACGTAGGCATGTATTCAAAATTCAGAAGGAACTTAGGTCATGCGACAAGATCGAGCGGACTTACTGCTAATGTTCAGAACAGGTTCCTCAACAATTTCCCTTAGTGTTGGAAGAACAACCGTAGGCGGCCTGCAATAAGAACAACACAAAAGTTTTAAAAAGTGAAGTTTAGGTGGTGACAATAAAGGCTAAACTGACTTCTTAAAAACTATGCTTACTAAATCTGTCAACCATAATTGTATGTGTCACGCCCCACTGCCAAGAAATCTGCAGCAGAGCCTTTAAGGCAGAGCCTTAATTAAAAAAACACTAGGCATGAAGGCATTAAAAAGACACTAGACATCATTTCAAACACAACTTTCACGATAATTCTTATCTGCTTAAAGATCAGTTTTATCATGAAAGCTGTGAACATACTCAGGCATAATGAGCCAACTCTTTGTGGTGATTAAGATTAAAGATAATAGACCTGACACCACTGATTCTGTCAAATAGTGTGGAAATTCGTCACGCTATAATTCTCAGTCAATCACTGTACATATCGTCAAGCAGACCACATGCAACAACGTCATTATGGTGATTTCGTACGAAGCTTACATGTGACAGGTTCTCCTTTAATACTAGCTACCTTAGATAATTCTGTACTATTGGCATAAAATGAAACGTGAATAGCAGAGCGTATGAATCAAGCATTATTGAAGCTATGCAGTGTCCGCCATCCAGTTATCTTCACTGGAAGTCTCCCACATCCGGTTCGGCGGCACTGTGCGATTCCAATCAAATATTTTCACTACTGTTTCTGTTCTGATATGGTTCTGATATGGTTTTAGTTCGTTTCGAACACCAAAACTACAAAATACGAGAAAATATCTGACTTCAGGGCACGAAGGAAGAAATATTAAAAGAGGCGAAACTCCCATTGGAACGGGCGTGCGCAGGCGTTCAATAATGTGACATAAAATGCAAAAATAACATACCCCGACAGAGATATTTCGGTTGGCAGTGCCTTGCGATGCATAGCCACAACCATAAAAAAAAGAAAAGGCAACGCTACCGGCGGAGCGCAACTGAATGCGCTCCGCGTCCCCGCTTTGTGACAACGGCGGAACGCAAGCAACGCGCGCAAGTGGTTCGCTCGGAAACCAAAACGGCAGCAATTCCCTTTTCTGCCGCAAGATGCCGCCAGGATGATGTGGCTTTCTGGCAATGTGACATTATTTGGCTGCCTCAACGAGCGGAGTTGCACCCCCTGCATGTTTCTTTCTCCATGGTGTAGGGGGATCGCTCAGCGCTGCCAAATCAGGTGTGTGCACCTGTCAGTGATGATGACTAGACTGCATTCACTGTACTCTTGCTAGCACTTGATCCACGCGCTCCTCTGTTCGCATTTCGTTTGACGCCAATAGTACATCTATCAGGTACAGTGCAGTTTATGCTTCAACACTTGCTACAGTGTTAATGCACTAAGAGTAATTATAATAAAGAGTTCAAGTAAGAGCAACTACACCTGATATCATTGCTACAAAACCAATTTAGTATGCGCTCAATATTGTAGACAGTATATATAGCATAGGCTCTGGGCCAGGACGTCTGCCGAAGCCATCAGAGATGACACGGAGTCAGTAACAAGAGCGAAAGATCGTCAGTGTTGCCCTGATCCTGGCTCACTACCAGCTGTCCCGCCAAAACCTTGTGAGCCTCTGAGCATGAGTACACCCCAGTCACTCGTCATTGTTAATGAGGACTAGCGCCCCCAAAATAGATACTACAAGTTACCTACCCAGTTACCATGATAACATGGTGACCATAGCGAGAAATCACACCAACAAGTTAAGAACAATCCAAGTTGTTTTAACTGTTGCACTCAAATATGGCTACTAACTGTTAACGCAGTGGAGCCAATGTTACATTGGGACCACCACTGCAGCTACTGTGTTATGGGTGTTTCTTATGGCTTTAAGTATAAGCAAACTAGCTCTGTGGCAAGTTCTACCAAACTTGACAAGTACAGACAGCTCACTAAATATGGTGCAATGCTCATGGATATAAAAATATAGAGAGAGATTGCCTTACGGAGACAACGTCTTCTCATTTTCTCTCGTGCTTTCCACGCGACCATCCTGCGTGGAAGTGGTAGATATGACCATAATGCTGCTTTGGCTGGGGTTGCTGAGGATGGTGATGTCGCTTGCGCTCTTCCGGAAACCCGGCCGGTAGAGGCTGCTGTGCTGGTCGGGAGTCACGGTCTCGATGCTCTCCTCGGAAACATTGTCTGCTTGCAGCGGCACAGACAAAAGTTTGTTTTTAGCAGTCCTCATTCGGACAGCCGGTGATGACTAGGAGGAGTGTTACTTAACTGTTCAGATTTAACCTCACAGAACCATCACATGAGCACTCCACTATGGCAAAGATGCTGTAGTGGAGGGCTCATACGTTCTTTAATGTTAACACGTTTCCTGCACTCCTTCACGTGCACCTAAATGTAAGTTTATGGGCCTCGATAATTTCCACCTCCATCGAAAATGTGACCGTCGCAGCCGGAATTTATCTTTATCCTTGGGCAAGCACTCGAGCAGTATAGCGCTAGACCACCACGGCAGCTTGCTAGGAGGAGCAGATGAACGAAAGAGGTGTGCGAGGCTGCGACGGCTACAGGAGAAGCAGCAACAAGTTGTTCTAGAACTTCACATTAGCTCATTAAATGTAAAAGTGACAATCTTGACAAAGTTACAAGGAGTGCCACAATGTGGAATGACTTGACTCCTTCTAGTTTCGGTTACCTTTTCAGCACTCATTACAATCTTCTTAATGTTGTGCATTTTAAATGACTAGTCCTGTAGCTCTGAACTACTACTGGTACTTCACTTCTGATGACATAAAGTTATACGAACCTAACAAGCCAATGACAGCACTCTTAGGCCAAGCAACAACAAACAATAAGGCAAGAAAACAATACTCGTAATTTTGCACACTGCCTCTGGCTTACAAATAGGCTCGTGCAAACATTCAAGCATTACACAAATGAATATTACAGTATTTTATTTGCTTCGACTCAAATTCAAATTATCAGAAATTTCAAAGTATTCAAAATGAACAAATAACATCTACATAAATTTGCATATAACCGTCCCTGTAAATGTTGTTTCACTGCAGTGCAGAGATGTTACAACGCGAATACACCTAACCCAAAAAAAAAGTCTGCACTGCCGAAGAGCCTCATTTCAAGGTTAGAAGAACACATCAATTCATCATTTCTTAAGTGTGAAAGCTCGTTTATGCCAGCTTATATGCTCTAAGTATAGTAAATTTTTAAATGTAACATAATTCACAGATTATCGCTTGCATTCTACAGACAGTGAAATTCTGCTACTATTCACAGTTGCTTCTACTTCCTTTGAACCAAAAAGCATGGAATTAGCACATGCCTTGATTCAATTTTAAAGAAATATTGTGCAGGTTCATAAAGTGATGACAAATTTACTCATTTTTTTTTTATAATATGCAATATATACCATTCGAATTAAATTCAAGATTATTCGATCGAATCACTATTTGCTTTGAACCTAAAATACACCATTCGCACAAGCCTACTAAAAAATATTCAAATATTCCTTTTTTGAGAGCAACACAGAATGGGCACTCATGCGATTTTCTTTGTTACGATCAATTTAATAGCCATTACTTCATAGATTAGCCTCTCCGATTATTTTCCGATCACCGATTGATTGATTGATTGATATGTGGGGTTTAACGTCCCAAAACCACTATATGATTATGAGAGACGCCGTAGTGGAGGGCTCCGGAAATTTAGACCACCTGGGGTTCTTTAATTTTCCGATCACCGAGCACTGCCTGAAAGGTGCTTCACAGACACAACTTCTACAGTGCCACGAGTGTCCCAAAACGACTGTCTATCCAACTAAATTCGTGTGCTCCCTGAGCCTGTTGTGCAGACGTCTACCGGACTATTCGTTATACAGTCAGACCCCAGTATAACGAACACAAATATAATTAAATATTGGTTATAATGAAGTAAATGAACAATAGTCTTGAAATAGCTATACTAATAGGAATATATAGAATTTGCCAGAACTCAAAATAAGCCATTTAGGCTTGTAGTGGACAAGCTGCGCATCGAAAACGTTATTTACGTCCATGACGCCGTCTCTAAGTCAGTTATACGCTCAGGCAGATAGCTAGAAGGACACGTACAAACGTTTAGGAAGCCGGAGCTGCATAAGCCTTGCACTCCTCTATCACTAACAGTATCATTCACTAACATTAGAAGCATCTTATCCAAACGTGAAATAGTGTCATCTTATATCGATGATAGCCTTTCTGATATTCTTGTCTTCACTGAGACATGGCTTAACGCTGACATCAATGACAATGAGATTTTTACGCATGCTAACAGATACAACGTTTATCGAAACGATCGTCCAGACAGAAGGGGTGGTGGTGTTCTTATAGCTGTTAAAAAAACCATCACGTCTTATGTCGTCGCTTCCTATTATAAGATTGAAATTATATGGGTAGTTTGCACAATTCGTTCCACAAGGATGTTGCTCGGCAGCTGTTATCGTCCACCCGATTGTCATCATTCTTTCTTAGAAGAGTTGCGCAGCAGCATTAATTCTGCCATCGAAATCTGTGAGGCTCGCATCGTATATTTATTCGGTGATTTCAATCTACCATTTATTGACTGGGAGCAGCTGTCATCTTCTTGTAAGTACTCAACTGACTTTATTAACTTAACTTTAGACTTTCATTTGGCCCAGGTTGTCACTCACTCAACTCGCGGTTCAAATACACTTGACCTCGTTCTTACAACTGCACCTGAAACTATAGACCACATAAACTGTTTGAATGGCTTTAGTGACCACAAACTGCTGCAAGTTGATCTTTCTATCTTGCCACCTTTTGCAGGAACCGAATCAAAGAAAATTAGAGATTATAATAAAGCCGATTATGATGTCATTAACAGGAAACTTGAGTCTTTCCTTGACAATGTGCTGCTGCCTTCCTTTTACAGTCACTCAGTTCAGGAAAACTGGGTTCTTTTCAAAAATGCGATTTCAGCCCTAATAGAAAAGCACGTGCCTTTGATAACGATTACGAATGATAAAAGTAATCCATGGTTCACCAAGTCTTTGCGCAGACTTAGAAACAAAAAGAAGCAGCTTTATCGGTCTGCAAAAAATTCGCATTCACACACGTCTTGGGATAGATACGAGGAATGCCTAAAGAAATATTGCCACGAAATTACAACTGCGAAAAATAAATACTATTCCCAGGATTTGCCTTCACTCCTAAAATCTAATCCAAAAAAATTCTGGAAAGTAATAAGTCCTGATCGGGACGATAACTTCATTTCATTACACGATGCAAATAACACTCCTTTTGCCGACACTGATTGTCCTCATGTCTTTAATTCATTCTTTTCATCCGTGTTTACTAGCGAGCATGCTCATCTTCCAGAAATTGTTGAACGAGATTACTCATTCATGTCACCTATAGATATTACAATTGAAGGCATAGTTAATATTATTGAAAATCTGAAGATGTCATCATCTTCTGGTATTGACGATATCAATTCAAAAATATTAAAGAACACTGTTTATGTGTCTGGCAATATCCTGTTTCACATTTTTCGGCAGTCGCTCACTACAGGAATGTTGCCTTCTGACTGGAAGATAGCGAAGGTAGTGCCAGTTCATAAAAGTGGTAGTAAAAGTTCACCTGGAAATTATCGCCCCATTTCCTTGACGTGCATATGTTGCAAGATTCTTGAGCATATCATAGCTTCTAACATTTATGCGCATCTAGAATCTAACAATTTCTTTTTCTCAAACCAGTACGGGTTCCAAAAGGGTCGTTCTTGCGAAACTCAACTCTGAGTTCACCGCCGACCTACATTCTAACATGAACAATAATCTACAGACAGACTGTTTATTTCTTGATTTTGCAAAGGCATTCGATCGTGTTGCTCATTGTCGCTTGATATTAAAACTGTCATCACTAAAACTTGATTCACTCACGCTAACATGGCTCAGAAACTTCCTAACTAACCGCCAACAGTTCACTATCGCCAACAATCACTCTTCATCACTCTGTTACGTTTCCTCTGGTGTACCACAGGGCAGTGTTCTTGGTCCCTTACTTATCCTCATCTACATTAACGACCTGCCTGACAACTTATCCTCATGTATGCGTATATTTGCCGATGACAGCATTATCTATCGTCCCATCCGAAACAATAGCGATCATCTAGCTCTTCAAAAGGCCTCGAACATATAATTGAGTGGTGCAAAACATGGCAGATGACACTTAATGTTTCCAAATGCAAACTAGTCACCTTTAGTCGCAAACGTGATAACTTTAATAGCCAATACAAAATTAATAATAGCATAGCAGAACGCACTGATCAATACAAATACCTAGGCATAAACTTAACTTCTACACTTTCGTGGTCCACACATATCACTTCTATCTGTGCCAACACATCAAGATCATTAGCTTTTCTGTGCCGAAATATATACAGTGCTCCCTCCGATGTGCGCAAACTGGCTTATCTTGCTCTAATCCGTCCTCAACTGGAGTTCGAATCCTCCATTTGGTCACCATATCAACAATACCTTATAGATAAGTTAGAATGTATACAGAACAGAGCTAGTCGATTCATAGCGCGTAATCACAGCTACCCTTCCAGCGTGACACAGATTAAACATAGCCTTGCACTTGAGCCACTGAAAATTCGCCGCGACATCTCACTTTTATCACTATTTCACAAATGCATCCACACCAGCATGATGCCATCTGTTCACCTTAATCTAGCACATCGAACTTCGAGCAGACTACATAACACCTTTAGCTTATCACGCATGTACGGCAATACTAACGCTTTCAACCAGTCGGCTCTTCCACAAGCTATTCGTTTGTCGAATGATTTGCCAGATGATCTTGCGTCAGAACAAGACCACACAAAGTTTTATATACTCTTAAAAAATACTTATGCACCAAAAACTGCTCTATCGCATCTTCATAATCATCAGTGTTTCTAGGACTGTTGCCAATGTTTTTGCACTATTGCTAGGTTGTAGTTACTGTTATAATAGTTATTTTTGTATTTCACCTTCACATACTGTAACTCACTTTTCTAGTATGTATTTTGCTGCCATGTTCATAAGTAGAACTGCATTTTCTATTATATTCATTATTTGCCTATGTATGTGTAGATATTACGTATATGTATTTTTCTAACATATTATCTGTACCGCCCCCCTTACACAATGCCCCTCGAGCGCTCTGTAAGGTACTGTAAATAAATAAAATAAATAAATAGAATATCTTTATAAGAAATTTTCGGATATAACAAAAATATTTTTGTGTAAAATGCAACTTTGTTAATGAGGTATGAGTGTACCTTTTCCCGCCGGGTCAAGGGCAGCAAGTAGACAATGCCTTCTCACGCTAAACGAACTGCTCCTTGTGCTTTCTGGTGCATTTTGCTATCGTTTTTGCATCAGAGTTAACAAGCAAACAAAGTTTGGAAAGCTTCTCAGGAGCTGAAAAGATTACGTCAGCAGGAAAAAAATACGTTGTTGACATAACCTTTTCCACCCTAACCAACAAGACGTTAGACAACATTTGCAACTGAGCAGTATATATTCATTTGCCTGCCCATCAAAATATGCACTCTCGTTGAAACAAATGAAAGGTCCTCAAACAAGAGCAACTAAAACACAATTTGAGTGGTTTAGTTAGCACAATTTTTGTCATTTCCTTGGCTAAGTGGCTTGGTTAGCTTAAACCAATCCTATGTGCCAATCCAGTGTACTCATGAATTTCACAGTGCATGCACAGCACATGTTCTGTCATTAACCTTTTTTTTTTTTGTGCACCACGTGTAGGCAAGCAAGCTAGTGCCAAACTGACTGTGGACCTCTAGCATTTGTTCTGCATGAACCCTCCTGTAATTATTACTTTTTTCATTCATTACTGCCAACGCATGTGCTTACAAAGAATAAAAGAGAAAACTGTAGCATCCTTGTGTTTAATACAGCTTTTATATAACACAGTTTAGCTTTCCATGCTGTCCAGAGACAAGTTTTGTAATGCCTGTTAAGAAACTCTGGAAGAGGGAGGAGGGCTGGAGGAAGAATAATACCTTATGGAACCATACCGCCATAACTATAACTCATCTCATTGCGTTAGCTAGCACTCGGCTTCAAGCAGCATATAATACGGTGCGGTGTATAACGTGCACTTGTATCATTTTGTACCGAGAAGCAAGGAAACCATTTGCGGTGACAGAGGCACCAGAAATTTATGAGCGTCATTCAGGTCTATAAGCCCCCAGATTCAAAAACCTTTCCATTTATGCCCTACAAATGTAATTAGTTGAAATTCACTAAGAAGCTGACTAAACTGTGATTTCGTATTGACATCCACGAAGGCTGCAGACTCGGGCTTACCTTGTGCTACTTTACCAATAGATGACGCATCGGACCCTTTCCTGATGGTCAAGCTTTGGCTGTGAAAAGAGAACAAAAAAAATATTCAAAATAAGAATGGTTAAACTTTCATGCACTTTCAATTGATAACATTCCTTTTGAACTTGTTTTTCTTTCTTTTTTTCCAATGTCATTCAGTGCTGAATGTAACGTTGTGTTGTTTGAGACTTATTCAGGCGTTCCTAAGCATTATCATTCCTACTGCGAATCAGGGCAATAACATATAGTCGATCAAATAATATTAATAGAATATATGCTGTTTCTGATACTGTGAAAACTGAATTTGCAAGCTAGTTTGCCGTTGAAAATTGCCACTGTGTGTCTTCACACGTGCATGCCTGGTTGCATGCACTCAGCATAATGAGCACATAGTGCGAAAGAATTTTAAGTGGATACGGTACCATGTCACGTGATATGTCACAAATGCAATACTCCAAAGCAACTCATCAGTAATATCATCCCATAAAACACTTTTGAAAGCTACAACTCCTGAAAAAGCATAAACATGAGTTGCCGAATGGTTGGTATCTATAGGACACTGTGCTTTTGATTCACTAGTAGTGAATAGGGCAGCAAAGAATGATTCGAGCTTTAATAGAGCTATTGTGCACATTTTTAGGTTATATGGCTTGAATGTTCACATGATCAATGTTAACTTACTTGGAGTAGTTGGTTACCATGTACAAAACATTCCTCAGTGCCCCTTTAACTAAATACAGCATAAACTCAATATAACAACATAATAATGCTATATTGTTTCCTAATAATTCATTTAGATATAATGAATTATTCAATAGAGCTAAGTAAGCGTGTTTGTCAGACACCGGCTCGCCTTCCATGCACTTGACTGCAAACTAGCATTTTGCCCAATAAAGACAGACCTAATGTTTTCTGGAGCAAGAGACGAAAGTGCGTCCACAGCTTCTGGTGTCTCCAACGTCAGAAGAATCTCACCGTCGCACTGCGGACACCTCTCTGATTCACGAACATCTAGAAACCATTGGCGAAAATAAAATAAAGTAAAACTAACGTCATAAACAAGAAAGGTTTTTAGCGTCTTACAATGTCTTACAGGTCCCACAAAAAAATGAGGTAACCCCAAGAAGCAATCACTCATTGAGATCTAATTGATGCAGGAATTAAGCACTGTGAGGAAATTTCTTTTATAGTTCCTCAATACTTCTGAGGGACTTTGATACGAATATGAGAACAACCAGTAGTACTTTTCAACTGATGCCACAAATTCCAGAATGATTAAAAAGTGATACAGAAAAATCATCATACAATACAATACAACTTCGCTATATTTATGACTTGCATCCATAACTTAACTAAATAAAATACTATAATGAAGTAAATACAGTTCTCCTTGAAATATCTGTAGATACAGGAGCAGTAGTTGAAACATCATAATAACAAACTAAAACTGTCCAATTAACAAATATAACAAACTATAGTAATTGTGTCTAAAAGCAAGAAATACCCAATCATTGCGCCCTGAGCAAACCACTTACTGCCGAGTTTGGCATTAGTTTGGCACAAGTGTAAAAATTCCCTCAAAGAATATGTCAGTGACTATGTGTGCGCTTTTTTTTTTTTTGCACCGGGGCAAAGAATCAGTGACAAAATGCAATGTGCAGGAACAACCAGAAAACAATTTCCAGCTTGTTTCAGGCAAAGACAGACGCGGAGTAATTACCTGTGGTGATGTTGTCCTTCGTTGTGCTAACGACCACTTTTCTGACTGCCTGTTTCGGGAAATGTGCATTACATTTCACACACTGCAAAAGAGGAGACCAAGAATGTGCAATGAAGAAATAGTACGCCATGACGTGCGCTGTCACATTGAATGGCGTAAAAAGCTCTGTGTGTAGCGGAAAGAAAACAGTGCAAAAAGACAGAGCAACAGAAAAAAGAAGACACGTACGACAGAACTCAAGATTTGTCAACACCGTGCAATACGGTATATACTTGTGCAGTCCAAAGAAAATGAGGAATGATGAACCAGGATGACATAAACAAACTACAAGCATCATCACAGCAAACCATGAACAATACATGTGCAACCATCTGGAAGATAATCCGTTTCCTTGGCTAACAAGGCAATTATCTTCCAGATGGTTATACAATGCATTGTGAATTGTTTACTGTAATGATGCTTAAACAGCTGCACAGAAACAATTCTGATCAGGTATTAAAATGAACACCAACTACACATAAAGGCAAAAAAAAACACAAATTTTGTGAACAATACACTCATACAGAAACCAAAACTTCTTGCTTTCATTTACTTTATATTATGGTCAATGTTTATTTTAATTGTCTTCCCTTGTTGCAAGCATATCAAAAGCATCCCACCTGCGTTTCTTTCCTGCAGACATTAGCACATTTTTTGGGGGGCTGATATATGTAGGCACGGTTGCAAATATGGAAAAGTATATGTATAACATGATATTTTCAGCTTATTATCCCAAGGTTCTGACATGTCTTAGCTTTGCTTTCTCCTATACAAGTTACTCTCGATAACATGGAGTGCTTCACTGAAGCACAAGCAATACGATGCACGCCGAGCAAACGCCTTATGTTTGTTTCTATTGTGTAAGAACTGATAAAAGAACGCCAAAATTGTTTTATTTAGCCAAGAGCTTTTCTTATACTTAAAGCATTCGATCTGACAGCCTTGTATACTACACAAAAGTCAATGAAAACCCAGCATCCACATTACCTGTAACATTTCAGAGTAGAGGTCCTTCCAAGCCTTTGCCTCCACAAAAGGTTGTAGCAGTTGCACAACTTCCTGAAAGTGCACACACAGAAAAAATTCTTTTACTAACAGGTTGTAATAACAGCCGCATGATGGTGGTTGTAAGAAATGTATAAACAAACTCAAGCAAACTTGTAGTCTGGCCATCATTCCACACATTATGTTCGTTATCAATAGCATTAACAAATACGACGTTATAAGGATGTAATTTACATTACAAGACAGTTTGACTAACCTGTGCTACGTATAAGTATGCTAGTAACAAATCACTGTAGCATAAAATTATCATGAGAGCTAAAAAAAAAAGTCACACTATGGTAATCTAGCATGTTCACTTACTAATTACTGCTGGTGATAAAATACATTAATAACCAATGTCAAGCTGAGTTTTGAGACAGCTGGGTTTTTCAAGTACGTAGTACTTGCACTGCGAAGCCTGGTTCTACTGCTATACCTGAGATATATTTTTTCCAATTTATACATAAAGTATACATGTAGATTATGCGAGAAAAATTGCCAATTCAAGAACTTCTTTAACGGTTCTGTTGCAGTGGTAAGTGTACTTTTCTGAAAAACATGATGACAAATATTCCAAGATTAAATTTTGAGTGGTCAGAGCCAAGTCTGAACTCGATGTTCATTTTATGCACTAACACACTAAAGTATCTTTAGATGAATGTTAAACATTGCAAAGTGAAAACAACAGATGCTGTAAATAACCTGAATGGGTGTCAGTAAAAAAACAAATAATGGCAATGCGCTATCATGCTTTTCGCAGGATTCACATTGTAGAGTTTAGCCATTTCAATACTGCACACAAGGCAGCTCTGAACATTTTGTGCATTCTCGAAATGTGCTTGAGATAACTGGTAATTAAATGTATGACCTCCTGCTTAGCAGTGTGATGCAACAACCAGCGTTTCTACTATGATACTTCACTTCTAGCAGTTGGTATTAGAAGTGACAAAGAGTATAATGAAAAGACAACATTAGGATGTTTGTATAGGCTTCATACACACACGTTTGCCATCTATAAGATAACCGAATAATCAAAATGTCAATGCTGATCACTAATTTAGCATTCAAAGTCATCACTCGAATTATGTTTCTTTCCACTGCTGGAATATAAGTGCAAAACTAGAATAGAAGTGCAAACAGTGACTCCATTTTTTAAAATTCAACAAGAGTACTCATGCACTAAATTATGTATGCAGCACAATGTGACCGAAGAACATGTGATTAGATGTGCCTACAAACATTGATACTACCATCTATATCATGTATTTGAGTACTAGCTTGTAAAGTAATTATTAATAGCAAATCGACAACCTAAAGCCATCAGATATGTAGGTAAATAAACAACACATTTCTAACCTCTGCGTCTTCACTGCTGTCAAAAACGTAGCATCTCTCCTTTTTACTGCGTATGGTCGTGTCAAATTTTAGCTTCACAGTCGTGTCGTCATGCTGCAAGGTAAAAACAGGTAAATGAGCAAAGACATTAAAGTTGTGACAACACTGAATATATGTGTCACTACTCTCTTAAAATAACATACTCATTGCTTATAGACATTTTGTAGAGCCCCTTTACTCTTGAAAACGGTTACAATGAACAGGCAGGATTTCATGATATAAATAATTTGACACAGCAAGCAATTCAATATCCTGATACTCGCTTAAAATAAACATGAACAACACATTTTAGTGCATTTGTAGGGAGCATTGAAAAGGATCCACTTATTGTAAACCAGATTACACATATTAGGCAATAATTTTATGCTGCATCTAAAATGTTTGTAGGCGTCGCCAAGAACACTCTTGACCGACAAGATTTTGACGACCTACTGCTGTAATCATTGGTGAATGTCAGCGCATGTGACAGCACACATCAAACCTACTTTAGTTTACATTCCATGTTTCGGTCAACTCGAAGATGTTATCTTGCACGAGTCAGTGAGTTTACCAAAGTTTGATATAAAGAAAAATTTTCTTTATCCTCATTCATTATATCCAAGTTCGATTCTAACTTCCTTTGCTCGAATTGTGCTGTCCATTTCCTTCAACTGCTGAAGACCCAGGCCTGCGGTAGCATGTGAAATACAATACTCAATCACTTAGGAAACAACCATACTCAAACTTTTTTTTCTTTATTCTTATTATGAACACATTACACTCAAGAAATCCAACAAAGGCGTTAAAGGAGGCTCCTACAATCAACGACAGTATGCTGATGGACACCATAGCACCACGAAGAGGATCAGCCACTGAATCAATAGCAGCATTACAGCATTCCTCTATAGTGCCACATTAAGAGGCAAGTACTTGCACACTCAAAAAATAGTAAGCTCTGTGTAAAACCAAATGCTAATTGACGATACGGAGAACTGAGCAAATGCAAAGCCTCGTTCACATCGCGTACCAAGGTCACAGAAGTCAGTATGTTAAGGTCCAAGCGCTGTAAATCTTCCCAGATAGGCTGTCACTCTCCCTCATGATGTCGTCCTTCACGCCTACAAAGACTGATGTTTCATTGCCGTCGCTACATTTCTGGACAAGGAACAGCTTGCTGTCCATGTCTGCAAAAAAAAAAAAAAAAAAAAAAAAAGAAGATAAATTATAGCGGTGCTGGTGAATCGATTAGTTTCAACACAACGTTCTGCAAACGGACTGTAGACGACATAATAAGTTCTCTTGTCTGTCTAAACGATTCACATATCATTAAAGGGACCCTGAAATGGCTTTGGCGATTTTGTACAAACACATTGGGCTGGTAGACCAAGTCCCAAGGGTTATATAGAGAACAATTTGAGCTCTGTGCATAAACTGTGTAACTCCTTACAACGTCTTAAAGCTGTGAATCACTGCAGATCGTTGGGACTCCGCTAAATGTGTTTTCGACTGCCCATTCACGAAATGCGTCGGCAGCCACTTTGCCGTGGCTGCTGATCTGATTGGCTGTCATGGGCTGTAGGATGCACGGAAGTGAGATTAATTGGTAGGGTGGCGGCACCTGTCGGAGCAGATATGAACCACTCTGAGATTTTCGTGTCTGTTGTCATACAGCGTGTGCGTGCTGCACTATGTGATTGCCTCCGAGACTGTGCACAAGCTGTCGGCATGCGATTTCGCCGGTCTAAACTGGTAAAAGCTCAAATCGTCGAGCGCACTCTTGAGAGCTCTGCGATCACCAGCGATGCCAGCGTGCCTCATATGAGTTGAGAAGGCCAGGCAGAGGTAGAAAGGGAAAGTATGATATCATTCTCCGTAGCGGCCTAGGTGCATGGTGTGTCACTAAATTTGTGGTGCGAATGATTTGATGATGCTCTAACCTAAGCGCCTGAAAAAACTCAAAAAAACCTTTTCAGGGTCCCTTTAATGTTTGACTGCACGAAGTGCTTTCTTGAGGCACATAGAAATAGATTCCCCCCCCCCCCCCACTCGCTTTTTTCTTTTTTTTTTTGCACTGTGCTTTAATTAAAGTCACAACTCTACTTCACCACAACAAATGCCTCTATGTATCTTCGCATCTATGTATTTTCTCTGTCCCCCAGAAGCAAGAATATTCAGAACACAGTGCACAAGTTCCTGGCGATCTTGTTCTCCCCCCCCCCCCCCCCCTGAAGAAACTCATTTGTCACTGGTACCCCTCCAGTTAGAAAAACCTGGTGCTGCCTCTGCAACTCAACTAACCGAACCCGGACCTCACTTTTTCATGACGATAGTTATAGCGCGAGAACAAAACGACGACACAGAGACAAGAAGGACACGAAAGACAAGCGCTACACGAGCGCTTCGTGTCCTTCTTGTCTCTGTGTCGTCGTTTTGTTCTCGCGCTATAACTATCGTCATGCCATACCAACTAGCCCAAGCTGCCACACTCACTTTTCCACTTCAAATCAGCATATTGGATGAAGAGGACCAGCACAGCATGAAGTAATTAATCAATGGAGATTACAGCCTCATGACTTGTAGTCAAAGCAATCTTACGACATCACAGTCGCAGCATGGAGGTCTAAAATAGTGTGTGGGCTTCTCACAAGTCTCACTGTTTCTGCACTCTGGATTTCACTAGCTCATTATGACTGTTCTCGTCACTATCATTTCCATTTCTGTTTCTTTTTTTTTTAGGTGCACAAGGTCATCCGCCAAAAAACATTTAATTTTTTATTATACCTGGCACTATGCTCGTTTTTTTACTGTTACTACAGTGCAACGATATATACTGGTGGGGTGCAACTTGCCTTCGTTAGTTTCTGCAGTGTCTGAGGTCGCTTCACTCTTGGTCGTAGTCCAACTGAACCCCTCCGCTGGGGATAGAACACTGGACTCATCCAACGGGTCAGGTGGCACCTCGTCAAGCACGACAACACCTTGGCTTAGCTCAGAGATTCGCCTCTGGGGGCCTTCTTCGCCGAAGCAATCATCTTTCACCTCTTCCGCAACGTCTTCTGATTTATCCCCGACTGGCTCCTTGAAAAGGACAGTTTTGAGCGATTCCGCACGTCCTGAATCAGAGTCGCTGTGCATGTCCTTGGTGTCACACGACCCCACCTTACTTGCTGTCAGAAAGCCCCCGTCCTGTAGCGTGTGGGTACCCGGTGTCCCACAGGGCGTGCTCTGAGCGTCGGGCAAGTGTAGAGCGGACACCCCAACGAGCCACTCCTCACCAAGCCGCTCTTTCCGGCTTTCCAGCTGGCTTTTGTAGGTAAGAAAGTCATTGCGCAGAGCAGAGACTGCAAAGTACAAGAATCAGAGCTTGAACTTCACTGATCCTTTTCTCAACAATTAACATTCCAAAGGGGAATAGATTTATAAAGAGAGACGTTGCAATAGAGGACGGTAGGTCATTTTGACCACCTGAAGTTCTTTAATACGCACAAAAAGTTGCATCTACTACAACTTTTTCTATTGTATCGTCATCTATATGCCATCACCATAGGCCTAAATTGCACTCTCTACATTGTATTTAGAGAAGCATACTTAAAGAGGTACTGACTTAAATCTGACAGCTGAGGTAGCCTGTGGAATCAGTTCCCATTAAATAAACATATCGAGCGAATATGAACAGGAAATATAGCTTGGAAGGTAATTTATATAATTTTGATGTTCCTGGGTGCGATCCCCCACCATACGCCGCACCTCCTAACACTGACATTACTGGTGGCTTTAAGGTGCCCCAAATGTCCCCCAACTTCAGAGATGTCACAACTGCAGCCACGCTCCAAGGCGGGGCAGCTAGTACGATGACATCGTAGTGGCCACTGCCTTTTGGCCGCACTTGAGCCAGCAGGCTATGATTCAGGCAGCTTGCAAGTCTGCCCACAGCGAACGTGTGTGAAGTGTGAAAGCATTGAGGAATCTGTTGCCATCATACAACGATAAAAACGGTGACGATAAAAGTGAAGATGTCACATAGCGCACGCAGCCGCAAGAAAACGTGAACAGACGATGCAGGCAGCGTGGAAGTGTGTCACTGTCCTGTGTACCATTTCATACGCTAGATGGTGTTATTTTCACCCAGCGACTTGTTCTCGGAGCCTTCCCAAACTGAAGACGAGACTATTCAGTAATAAACAAGCAGTAATTAATTACCTATCATGCACTGCAGCTGAAGAGCCCAATATATTTCGACGTAATGTCGATGAGTGAGCATTCTAGGTGCAGTGATGCTGCGCTAGCAAAATGCGAGCCCTCTATAGTCTGAGACAAGGCACGACTGACACGAGGCATGATTGACTCGACTGATGTCAGCGCCGCACCCTGACAGCAGTCGGCACAAAATGTGTTATGCTGCATTTTGTGCTGGGGACGTTACTCAGACTCCACTGCACCTGCGTCTCTTTATGATAGGGAGACACCGGGTGTGCTCGAATGCGAATGTGTCAAGGCAACGTAGCGCAGCACGCGTGGGAGTATAGGGCAGGCGGATTTGTGCCTGCCATGGCACTGCGAACGTGACACAATTAAACAAACCCCAGCATGCATGCTTTGTGAACTTTGGAGAGTGTTTAGAGGCCCCCTGCAACAGAGTGCAGCAGAAAAAAAAAAAGACAAATTTTTCTGTCAATACCCTTTTACCCCGGTCTAACCTAGCCGTGAGTTAGTAATCATCGCCTATTCTGCTGCTGCTGCTTTCTCCTCCCTTATACCACTACAATGAAGTGGACCTAAAAAGGGACTCTTCAAGCATATCCTATCAATGTAAAGTATGGCCACTTGCAGCATAACTTGGCACAAATCATGTATTCACCATTTCCACTTTCTGTAACAGGGGCCGCATATCCTTCTGGGTCCAAGATGGCTGCCACCCTGCTGGATTGGCGTTTCCTAGGTTTCTTGCTTTCCTTTAGCCTTCTGCGAACCATGGGGTCCATCGCTTCGACACTGCTGCATGAGCTGCAGTCCTGTTCCAAAGACGCAGAGAGCCTTGCTTCGCTGCTCAAGGGCAACGCTGATGTAGAGGCCACTGCCTCGCAGCCACGCTGCTCCGTGACTTCTCCCGCCAGGCTACTGCTGTCATCCGACTCAACCGTGGTCCGAAGAGGGGGCACCGAAATTATTGGATTTGGCACTGGCACATCGACTGCCCTGCTGCTCGGCTGCTTGGCACAGGTGGGCTGCAGAAGATGACAAGATAGAAGGCTTATACTCGATTTCACTTACAGCATACAGTGCTATACAAAATAGGCAGATTTCCCATCATTTCTTGCTTCCTTTGTTAAAAAAAAACAATGTACCACACGTGCAAACAAAGAAAGATAAGTTTGCGACACTCACTCATTTCTTTGACCTGATGGTGTATAGCCCACAAAAAATGGCACGGCTCAGGCCATTGATTGATTGACTGATATGTGGGATTTAACGTCCCAAAGCCACCATATAATTATGAGAGACGGAAATTGAGCACCTGGGGTTCTTTAACGTGCACCCAAATCTGAGAAAAATGGACCTACAGCATTCTCGCCTCCTATCGAAATTCAGCTGCCGCAGCCGGGATTCGATCCACGACTTGCTGGTCAGTAGCCAGTGGTCTAGGGCTGTACCTTAGTCACTAGACCATCGCAACGGGCCACGACTCAGGCCACGCCAGAGTGCTTCAGAAATTTCGTGATAGTTTTAGACTGTACTGTTAAGACTGCATGCAGGATGCAAGTAATAGAATTTTAATCTGGAGCTAACACAGGCACCAGTGATAACGCTAGAAGGTTCTATAACGCAAAAGGCCCCAGCAAATTTCGTGGAAAATCAGTTTATCGACGACCGACAAATGTCTTCGCCGTTATTCTTGCACCATGCATGCTACTTTTTTTGCTGGACACAGGTCCACCAAATGAACCCTTCAATACTTGGGTTCTGCTTACTTCACCATCACAACAATGTAACACAGTGTGCGATGCATAAAACAATAAAGCAACAATGTTAAAATATTGTTCATGGAATAGATTACGTAATTTTTACATGAAAGGTGTCACAACTCAACCAATTTACATCTCAATGCCTGAATCGACAACATGGCTTCGGCAACCAGACGAGACAGGGCACTGCTTGTACCTATAACCAAAATGTTGTTTTCTGCACACTGACAGTCCAAAGGAGCAGAAATGATACACGGCTTGATATAATCTTAGGTCCACAAGTTGTAGATTTCTGTGATACAGCTATACCTTAATACAGCAAACGTAAACGTAACCAAATGCCTGATAAAAGAGTACTTCTGTTATTACAATTTCGTGTTCATAAAGTAGCACGTACGTTCAAGGTCAATGTAACAATGCATGTTTATCTGTAATGTCAGTACAGTAAAAGCTCGCTAATTTAAACTCCAAGGGAGCTACAAAATTGTTCAAATTAAGCGGAGCTCGAATTACCAAAGATGCTAGAATGTAAGGACATTGCACGAAACTGCGCAGGCAGATCCCAAAGAATCATTATGACGAATTAGGAGCTCCTAAGCGTTCACAAGAGGTGATTCCGTAAATTAGGTTTATGGAGCTCTAACAGCGAACAGAACTAATTTATTCGTCAGTGATACACCAGAAACCAGCACCGACATGCTTTCATGAGAACAGTGTGCTTTGCTGTGAAACATATGATTCTACTATGTTCTAATATGAGTTTATTTACATGGCAGAGAAATTGCAATCAACATTAAAATTAATCTGTAATTCCCATTTGCTTGCATTTTTTCTGCTGCAACTTCATGAGCATAGCTTGAAGTTTGTTTGCCCAAGAGCTGCAGTGAAGTATCTGAATTTTCATATTTTGAAAAACGCTGCTGTTTTGTTGTTTCGCATCTCTAGTAAAGTTTGCTTGGTTTGGTTTTGCAACACACCGTCATCACTTTGGGCCATCTTCTGCGAGGAGCGATAAAAACCAGGGGCTCCAAGTTCGAATTACAGGAGCGAGGTAGACTTTCGTGGAGACATACACAACATCTACGAAATATCAAGGGAAAATGTAGCCTAGAACACATTTAAACTCAATTTTAATGTGCATGCCACGCAACTGAGCGAGATGCGCAACCCCTCGCAATGCCAACATCAACATGGCAGCAATGTAGACAAGCCCATGTCATGAGTTTGCGTTAGCTGGTTGCTCGCGCTTGTGCTACCTGCGATTTCTTCCTCCATTTCTGAAGCTTTGCGTGTGCTGGCTGTGCTAGCTGTCAGTGCGGCACCCACGTCATAGTTTTGCATGGTCATGTGGCCAGCTGCGTTTACCTTGCTGCCGGAGCTGCTCCTGCCTAGCTCACTGCTTTTTGAAACCGAAGCTGGGACTGGGCATTCTAAAAACATGTCTAAATAAATAACCATCATGCACTCGCACAAACGAGGTTTCCAGCTATGATAAGTGCGTCATAAGCTAACTATTGCTACTACAACATCAACAACAAAAAAACAGGGTGTGAATTTTTGTGTCAGTGCTCTTTTAACTGTTGTAGATACCGATGTGTTTGAATTATCAGCAGTTATCCTCCATAGATATACACAGGGCTGTGCCATTCCCAAGGCATCAGTTCGAATTAACTGTATGTTTGAATTAACAGAGTTCAAATTAAGGAGCTTTAACTAAATAGCGAAGTTTCATTGCTACCACGTAAGAAAACCGAGGCAATAATGTAAGACTTCTACTAGTGCCAATGGACCAACAGTTGTGTCACATTTAAGCCACTTTTATGAGCAAAATTTGGAAATCGCACACTATTAGACCGAGTGGGCGCTGCGCACGGAAGTCTTCTCTACCAAAGGCCAGGAGAAATTATGCACCTAATAAACTCTTTTCCGCATAGAAGGAGAGCATACACCTCGACACATCATGCTGCATGTAAAATATTCTCTAATATGTACCCATCGTACTTCACAGTTACTGCATGCTACTTTTCAGTGCATAATCACAATTCTTTCCTGGGAAACGGCAATGTTGCACTGTAATCAATGAAAAATATGCATGATGTGTGCATGACCTTGGTACTTCGTTTCAAGACTGCCTGCCATGACTAGGGGACAGGGGCAGTTTTGTTTACCTTGGGCTTCACTTCGGCGGCTTCATTATACAGCATATATTGTACTTTCACGTTCTATAAACAGATACAACAAAATAACTATAAAGAGTGTTACCTGTATGTTTTAGATGTTTCTAGAAATAAACGGCAATGAGCGAGTGTCGTATCAAGTAAGGGAGAGGGTCCTTGTCACTTGTAGTTACGACGCTGTGAGTGCTCGCCTTGTAAACATGTCAAGGAGTTGATTTTCTGCATGAAAATTTTTCTCGGGTGCATTAGCAAGGGTACCTTAAATGTGCTACAGCCTAATGACATACATTTTCATTAGTATTTTTTTTAAAACAGTAATAAAAGCCACTGTCCCTTCTTGTTCTGCAAGTTTTTAACAATGCACGTGGGGCTAAGGATGAGAGAGGGTAAAGTGAAGCAAACGAATCAAGAACTTTGCAACCATAAAATAAAATCAACATGCCCAGGACAGGGTGGGTTGGAGATCATTGAGAGAGGCCTCCATACTGAAGTACACATTCGGTGTTGAAAAACTTCAATGCTCGCACGCCCTTTATACAGCACACATGAGGTATTCATATTTCATAGGAAGCAGTCAAAAACAAATGAACTCACACAAGTGCGCCTCTGTTCCAGAGTTACCTCGCGCATGAAATGCAGTCGAGAATCACAGAAAGACGGGAAAGTTTAGGTACTCACAGAACAAGGACTGAAGTAGATAAGAGGTGCTAGTGTTGTCGTTCTCGTTAACTCGCATCTGCGTTTTGCCTGCTGCCTTCTTGTACTGATATAGCATGCGATCTTCAGTACTTTTACTTTGCTTTGAAGGAAAGCTATACACACAAAGGAAAGATTGTGTGAGATACACACTGTTAAGAGAATTGTCTAATCTTGCCTCTGGTTCGGTGCACTTGGGAAAGCTCGGAGCTGCCCATTCGTCTTGCCCAGTTCAAAGTAGAAAGCACAGGCTTCCATTGTCTATGAGTCTTGTCAGAGGTATCGAGCAACATGCACATATGACAGTGTTGGGAACTCGCTGCCATATACCTTATGAAAATTTTTGTATAACAAGTTTTGTGCAAGAACTGAACCTTCATTTTAATGGAGCTGGTAGAGTAAATAAGACAAAGATTAAACTATATTGTGTGCATGTGTGTCAGTTAAAAAGAGACTGCTCTCCGCCCCCCCCCCCCTCCTCTGTCTTCTGAAGCACTCTGCATTTCTCCCTCAATTTTAAGGAGGGGGAAGGGACCAAAGCTTTTGTACCTAAAAGCATTCAGCATTTACACAATTACATACTATACACAATTTGCCATTGAATTTATTCTGAAGAATGATTTTATTTCGTATGTCTTCCCAGTGGTAATGCTACTATGGCATCAACATGTTGCATATCACACAGTGAAAAATATGGTAAATGCACCGAGTCTAGATGCTTATAGTAATAATATTTTTTGGGAACGATCCAGAACCATCATATGATGAGAAACGCCGCAGTGGAAGGCTCTGAAAAGTTCGACCACCTGGGCTTCTTTAACGTGCAACTAAATTCAAGTACATGGGCGTCAAGCGTTCTCGCCTCCATCGAAAATGCGGCCACCACAACGAGCATTCCATCCCGCGACCTGCGTTTAGCGGTAGAGAACCGCCCTGGCGGGTTGAGTGTAGATGCTGAGACACCACAGAAGACAATCAGCATGGACCACCACTTCTTACGCAAAGTGCAAACGCGGTTTCTGAAGGCTTACTGAATTGGCCTTACCTTGATGAATTTCTTCGGGAGAGGTCTATCGTCCAGTCTGAATCTTTCTGTGACTGCCTTGCGGTGTAGATGGCACACAACTATTGAGAGGTACTCTGGATGGAATGTGATGGGGTTGTCCACGAGGCGCAGCTGTTTGGCAGAATGGGCGGAACCGAAAAACACGGCTAAATTAGGCTGTCTCGTAAAAGGGCTTTGACAGTTAGTCGGCAATGAATCATGCAGAATACAGAACAAACTATATATGAATTGCAAGAAAGCGAACAGAAAGGGAGAAGCAGCTGGCATTCATATTGTTTTTTTTATTGAGTCAATAATAACCAGCTATCAATCACATTAAGTTTTCATAATGAGTACGACAAGGAAGAAATTACGAAGACAAGAAACACTCAGAAATTTGGTACCTTGAGGAAGGAACCAGGGCTAAAGTGGTTAAAAATGGCAAGAACTCAGGAACAACACTGACGTAAGAGAAAACGCTAGACACATTCACAGATTTGCAATGGCTGAAAGAAACATGAAGATTAAAGAATAAGTAAGAGACCTTAAACTTCCCAATTATTTGAAAATGATCAGCAATGCGTGATCTCCAGCTTAAAGAGTTTGAAATTTAGCGATGACTACAGCAAGCAAGAGGTTTCAAAGTGGTCATTAAAATAAATACAAATTAAAAATGTTCTTTATTTTAATACAATCTTACTAGTCTGCTTGGCATACCCTTCAATAATTTACCACTACTACGAAGCCATTAAAGTTATCAAAATCCAAGAGGCACGCATGTTTCATTAGACTTAGTGTTTCATAATATTGAAATACTATTATTGAAATATTTGGCCTTTGCTTTAGTTCGCTTCATGCTCTGTTGTAGTCTCTCCCGGACAGGCACATCTTAGATCTACCTGAAAGTTTCTATAACAACAAGAAAGCACCCTTTGCAAAAGGTAATGTGGAAACTGTGGTAACAACAAACACACGCATAAAAAAGACAGAAAAACTTCCAAGTGGAACAAATGCTGGCTACATTTGCCAGGCTAACGCAGCGACATTACTACTACCCTTACCACCAAGATTAAAAAATTGGGACTTCGCCTTTAAAGTCAAACGTGATAGCGTTGTCCTGTCCCAACTGCATACTTGATTTAACCACTTAAAGCATACTTTTTATTGTACGATGTCACTAAATAAGTTTATACTGTGGGTTACTATAATGTAATCAATAAAGTTTAAAGTGGCTTGTGTCAGTGAAGCATTCGCACATGACTGCATTCAGTGCAATGAGTAGCATGCCTTGAACCATGAGCCATTAAGCACGTGAAACGTTCTCGAACTTGCTATGCACCCACTACGTGGTCCTAAAGGAATACGGCCAGTAGTAGGTGTGTCCTTATAACGAGTGGCTGGCTTTGAACTATAAAGCCATTAAGATAATCCCATGTTATGACGACCAATGGCAATGTATGCTTGTACCACATGATAATAATGCGATATTAGATGTTGTATTGCGAAGCCTGCATGCAGGACGTGTGCATTTGTAAAGCATAAAAGTTTACTTTCACTGAATTTTCAAGCAAAAGAAGTTATTTGCAATGTATTTCCAAGTAGACAACGGAAGAGGGAAGGTGGTTCCAATCGGCGGCTGTTTTCGGTAAGAAGACTGCTGAAAAGAATTTGGTGCGGCAAAACGGAATGGCAACCTTATGCTGATGATCAATGCGCGATGAGTGGTATGACGGTTGTGAAATGAGGTCTCGCTTCATTGATGGATTGTGAAAAAATATCTTATGAAAAAAATGCAGTCGCGCCCGAACATTCTTAAATGGATTGAATGCTTTCTGACTAATCGCACTCAGTTTGTAACAACTAATGGCTATAACTCACCTCTTTCTAAAGTAACATCCGGTGTACCCCAAGGTTCCGTATTAGGCCCTTTACTTTTTCTTATATATATTAATGATCTCCCAGACAGCATTAACTCCGCTATAAGGTTATTTGCAGATGATTGTGTAATTTACCGCGAAATAAACAATGAATATGATAACCAATTTCTACAGTCAGACCTTGACACTGTCTCAACCTGGTGCAATAAATGGCTTATGACTCTCAACTCTAACAAATCTAAATGCATGTCAATAACGCGGCGATCTATTTCTCCCCCCTGTACCTACAGAATTAACGCCGTTCCCCTCCAGCATGTCTCTTCATATAAGTACCTCGGCGTTTACATTACCAACAATCTATCTTGGCACACGCATGTTACCTACATCTGTAATAACGCTAACCGAACGCTAGGATACTTACGCCGCAACTTTTCTCGCGCTCCGCTGTCCCTCAAAATTCTATTATACCGATCACTAATTCGCCCAAAGCTTGAGTACGCGTCCGCTATATGGGATCCCGTGCAGCAAAATTTAATTAACGCGTTAGAATCTGTTCAGAACCGCTCAGTTCGGTTCATTTGTTCTAATTATTCCCGTACTGCTAGCATATCAGAAATGAAATCTAATCTTGACCTACCCAATTTAACTGTCCGGAGGAAACTGGCGCGACTGCATTTTTTTCATAAGATATTTTTTCACAATCCATCAATGAAGCGAGACCTCATTTCACAACCGTCATACCACTCATCGCGCATTGATCATCAGCATAAGGTTGCCATTCCGTTTTGCCGCACCAAATTCTTTTCAGCAGCCTTCTTACCGAAAACAGCCGCCGATTGGAACCACCTTCCCTCTTCCGTTGTATCAATAACAGACCCTTTGTTATTCAAGACTGCAATTTTTCAGCAATGCTTGTAACTATACGCAGTTTCCATTATCTATCTTTGTCTTGTATGTGCTTGAATTCTTATACAATTTTAGTTGACTTATGTTGCCTTCCTGATTTGCGCATCTGATACTTGTTTCTTTATTTTGTCTTTTTTTCTTGTGTGTTATATATGTTGTACCCACCCCCTCTGTAGTGCCCTACGGGCCCCGAGGGTATTCTAATAAATAAAATAAATAAATAAATAGACACGCGACTGTGTAGTAGAATACCTGCTGGCCACGCAAACGACCTGAATTCGATTCTCAATTGGACACGTAAATTTTTATGTCTATTTGATTTGCATTTTTCTCATTCTTTTAGTCCATGGCCAAGATTATTTTTTGCTCACAACCAGCACCCTCACTCTGATACCGACGCCTAAATCGCGTTAAAATGCAATACAAGGACATCAAGGGCAGCACAGTAGATGAGTGACTTTCGCCCCCACCCCTCTCTTGCCCTTTTTTTTGGTCAACCTATTCTCCACTGCAGAATCCTGCAGCAGCGGTTCCTACTGATTGAACTTCTGACAGTCTTTAGTTATTTACACGAGTTTATGATTTCTTAGGACATTTACGGTATGGTGCTTTAATGTTGCATTCTGAATTGTGACAAACTGTCGGAACGTTTCAATGGCTTGCTCGAGATTTGATGTTATTGCAAGGCAGTGCGATTGGAGATCATCAGGACGGGTTTTCGTCCTCGAGGGTACATAGGATAGACTGATGGTAATTATAAAAACACAAGTGGGAACACACATCTATTGTCCTCTAAGAAGCGAAATCTGCTTACAATGGCCAAAGAATAGAGCTGCTTGAAGCCAGCAAGCGAGGAGCTCTCTGCGAGGCAATTGTAGGACAGGTCGAGCTCCCTGAGCTGCCTCAACCGTTCCAGGCCTGCGATTAGTTTTGAGGCAAAACTCACAACAGGTACAAAGTGACGGACACTTTCATTCTTCGAGCAAGCTTATTTCTCTGCTCAATAGTAAAAACAAATAAGTGGCACTTCAATACGTTTCCTGTGTCATTCTGAGAGCGTAAAGTTTGGCGTATTCAAACAATTTTCAGATAAGTTTCAAAAAGAGACTGAAGAGAAATACATTATATCACTCTAAACTAATAAATTACTTTTTGCTTAATCTACCGCAGTTATTTTTGAAATCATAGGTTTATTATTTAAAAAAAATATAGGTCAGTATTTCTTTAAAAGATATTTCATGTCGAAGCTTCAACATTACAGCAGTATTACTGCTGGTCAACATTAAGGCATATATTCCCTGTGTTGCCTCAGTAAATGTTACAAAAACTTTCTACATTAGGCATGTGACTCATTCACGAACACAAATTTATTCAATAAATAATTACAAAGGCATTAGATGATAGAATGAAATCTATGATGTCACATCAATACTTGATTTGCTTTTTGTCATGAAAACATGAAAAGTACAACAATTAATTATAATATTACAAAATTATTTGATGAGCAGACAAGCGGGAGTTTGAACATAGGGACGCACGTACCTGAGGTGTCTTCAATGAAGTTGTTTCTTAAGTAAAGCACAGTCAACGTGTCGCAGGCACTTTTGTTGTATATGCTTATCTTCTGGATATAATTGAATGACAGGTTGAGCACCCTGACGTTGTGAAGAAACTGAAAGAAAAAAGAAAAAGGTGTCATGATTAACAAACAATATGTGCTAAAGCAGTCCCACAACAGCAGAGTTTGTAAGCGTCAGCAGTAGATTCCTGACCTCAACACCCTTCGCATCAGAGATGGCGTTGTTGCTGCAGTCAAGATACTCGAGCCTAGGAAGCAAGGTCTGCAAAAGAAAAGTAAACATTTGTCAATTGTGCTAGTTCGATGCACACGAATGGATGCAGCAATTCATGGACAAACGCTCAAAAACACTAATAAGCGAGTCAAGTATGCACATGTTACCCCAACCTTATAGTATATTACAAAAAAATAAGCAATCATTAACACCCTGTCTACACTGTTTTTGAAGATTTGCGTTACACTGTACACTACTGCAGCTATGTTAGCCTTACAGCGATACAAGTTGGAGCGATATTCCAACAGTATGAACAGCAAACAAATTGAAACACTAGACAAAACAGTAATGAGGAAATCAAAATATTAATGAACTAAGCTATTTGGTGGCTGTACCTTCTTTATGTGCTGTGCAATAAAAGGATAATAAGAAATAGATTACAACGTATGTTCTGCATCGTTTGCTATTCTCATCTTTTTAAGTACTATACAGCATAAAAATTAAGTATGAAAGATTCCACATCCTTTTATATAGAGAGCACTTGCACCTGAGAGAGTTTCGCTCGGAGGATTTCAAGCTGGACGGTTGTGCCCTCGCGATCTCCGACTTCAGCGTAGCTCCCGCCGACTGGTTCGCCCTCCGCGGTCTCCTGATGCCGTGCAGCTCTCGCATTGTGGCACCCCGCCCTTGGACTGCTTCGACCGGATCTCCACTTTCCTATCTCCTTCTTTTTTCCTCTCGCTGGCTGGCGGCTTCTTATCCATCTATTTTCCTTCTATTCTTTTTATTCCTTCTCTCTATATCTTTTATTCCCCATATCCCATTCCTCTGCTGACCTGTTGAGGTGTCCTCGTAAGGAGAGACAGTTACGGGTCGGCACCTTTCTTTTTTTTTCTTCTGATATAACCACAATCTCACCTGAGAGTGATGACAATCGTGGGAGTCATCACCTTTCAATCAAGCTTAGTAGTTTGTCCCCGTCTCCTCATGTAACAATGTCAGATTTGTAAACTTTCAATGCTATCTATATCACGCATACAATATGATTAGACAAGTCTTTCTCGTTATCAAATTAGTTACAATATCAACAGCACTTGCAATAACAGTATGTTTTGTGTGAGAGCATTGACATAATAACAGTTCTGTCATGTGCATTTGGTAATATCAGTGACCACGGCAGGACAGTAGAGACTGCCCCCATTGTTATCCTCCTTTGATAGGAAGTGACAGACAAGTGGGCAATTGATTGCCTTGAGCTAGATTGTGTAGCTGGCATTCGTCACAACAAAACAAAACAATAAAATGTTTGTAATAAGTGACATTGTCGTGTGTTAGGTTCGTCACATAGCAAGGCGTGTGACGCGAGGAAGATGGAGACAGTGAGGAAAACAAACGGGAGTTATATTGGACGAAGAACAAAAACTATTGCACATACAGTACTATAAGTTATACACACGCGTAGTTCACACACAAAAGAAAAGAGTAACCAGTCTCACAGTCTGTGCCGTAGCCCGGTGCCTTGAAGTGGGACCCGTTGCGTGCTCGGATGCAGTCGTCGCTTGGGTGCCAGGTCAGCATACCACTGTCGAGGGCATCACCAGGTCTAGGCGTAGCCGCACACTGTCAGCGACGTCGGCTCGGTAGACGTGGTCAGCAGCTCCGGTCTTTCGAGGGCGCTCGCCGTACCGGAGATGTCCACAGGACCACTCACCGAGAACTCGTGCTGGCCACGCCGACACGCCGTGCCCCGAGGACGTCAATGGCTCGAGGACAGGAACCCGGCCTTTCGAACCTCGCGCGTAGTTGCGGGTTCGCCCTAGGCTCCCTTGCGTCGTCTTGCCGGCGTCCGAACGGCTTCGTTCTCCACGAGCGTCTCCTCTTCTTTTTTCAATGGGCGCGCTGCAATGCCCCTTCATTCTTCTCATCTTCTAAATGATGTGGTGCTGTCGTCTGCTAGGCTCGCATTTTTAAGGTACTACATCACATCACCCCCCACTTAAGAAAGTTCTTCCGGTAGAAGAACTTGAGGGCACTGGGGCACGTTGGTTCGCAGTCGGAAACACACACGTAAGCACCACTGCACACTATAGCAGTTCCGAGCCCCGCACACTCGGCACATTCGGTCACAAAAGTACACACCAGGAAAAAAAATAGAAACAAGTCACCGAACTAAAGCGTCATAATACTTGTATAGCGCTGTAAGGTTTACATCTTAAGCAATTATTACCACTGAGCATCGATTCTTTATGCAGACGTTGCTCACAGAGTTGGCAAACGGCCCATGTAATCTACGCACTTCCATAAAGATGAGGCTCCACCGTAACACGCAGCTGTTCAAATGCTTGGCTGACGTGATGTACACAAGCGGTTTGTGGTCACTCTTTAGAATGAATGTGCGTCCGAATAAGACGATATGAACTTTCCGGACCGACCACGTAAAAGGCAGGGCCGCTCGCTCCACTGTAGAGTAAGCAGCTTCGCATGGTTGCAGTATACGGCTTGCGTATGAGACTGGGTGAAGTATTCCTTTCGTTGGAATGGAACGCATGGTAGCTCGTCGCTTTCGGTGTCATTCGCCCGGCAAACAGCTGATGCTTCATGCGGTGGTGCAGGCAGCGGCGCCTCATACTTTTTCAATAGGTTGATATGGAATATTGTGCTGCTGGTACCGAGATCTATTAAATAATCGACATCATTTCTCTTCTCAAGGACATAAAATGGTCCCTTCCACGTCACAACCAATTTGTTGGTATCCGATGGAAGCAGAAGCAGAACCTTGTCTCCAGGGGATAATTGACGTTGTCTGGTCTTTCGGTCACAATGCATCTTCTGTATCATATTTACTTTCTGAAGCTCCTCTTTGGCTAATCGGCAGGTGTCTTCAAGATGATTCCGCAATTCGACTACGTACCGATAGGATGTTTTCACATCATCATCAAGATGATCAGCGGCCCATATTTCTTTCAATATCGCCAGGGGACCTCTGACGTAACGGCCGTAGAGCAAGTCGAACGGGGAGAAGCCTAAGCTCGACTGGGGAACTTCGCGACAAGCGAAGAGTAAGGGCGCCAGGTACCGGTCCCATTTCTTCGGACACTCCTGACACATCCTTCTTATCATTTGTTTCAGGGTGCCGTTGAACCTCTCTACAAGACTATTAGCCATGGGATGATATGGGGTTTTTGGCAATTGTTTGAAGGAGAGAAGTCGGCTTAGCTCCTTCATTAGGCGTGACGAGAATGACGTGCCTCTGTCACTGATTATCTCCCGTGGGACACCTACACGAGAAAACATCTCCAGAAGTGCCTCAGCGACTTTCTCCGTCTCGATGCTCGGCAGTGCTACAGCATCGGGATAACGCGTTGCCATGTCCACCATTGTCAGTACGTACTTGTTTCCGCCCTCTGACATCGGTGATAATGGACCCACAATATCAATGGCTACTCTCTTGAAAGGGGTGTCAATTATAGGAGTGTTGCCGAGAGGTACACGACCCACCAAATGCTTGGGAATAGTTCTTTGACATATATCACACGATTTAACAAATCGTGTGATGTCTGACTGAACCCCTGGCCAGTAGAACTCTTCGAGTACCCGGTCGGTAGTTCGTTTAATTCCCTGATGGCCCGAAAGGATGCCTTCGTGGGCCATTTTCATAACAAATTGTCGGAGGCACCTTGGTACCACAAGCTGATTCACCTGCCTCTTAGAGTGAAGGGTGTACTTGCGATAGAGGATACCATTCTTCGTGAAGAACAATATTTTAGCAAACCTGGTCTTGACCTCTTTGTTGACGGCTTCGAAGCATTTCCGCAGGCTGCTGTCTTCCTCCTGTTTGGTTTTAAAGTCCTGTGGGCTGATGTCTAAGGGGTTTATAACTGGAGCCGGAAGTAGATGTGGATTTCCTGCCTTTCGGTTTACTGCAGCAACTTTTGTCTTGCAACGTGTTTTCCTTGCAGCCGATGTTGAAGTCTTTGCATACAAGGGTCCGTGTGCAGAACCGAATTTTTTTGCGCCAGAGTACTCTTCTGCAGTGTTCTGGGTGTAAAGACGGCTCTTCCAATCGTTATCAGGATTGTGAGCATCTCGAACGCCTTCCACATTTCCCAAGACAACATCATATAAAGGAGTATCCATACAAAGGGCTCGAGTTTTGCCAGTGAAGAACGGTGAAAAAATTTCCACGTGTGCTTCAGGCAGCTTCATCAACCGTCCGTCCAGGAGGTAAATCGAGGAAATCTTTCCAGTCAGCTTGCTATCCGCCACAAGAGACCTTTTGACAATGATTGAATCGCATCCGGTATCTCGCAGTACTGTTGCGGGATATCCTTCGAGTACACCTTCGCCCGTGGGCATCGATTTTTCCTTCAGCTTGGCTGGGCGCGTTTCTGCGCACTCCGGACTATAAGGAACACAAAGGGAAGCCTGCGACTCTGAATTAATTATCTTGGCTCCATCTCTTTGTTGAAAAGAGCATGAGGCCTCCTCAACGCTGTTGGCCCTTTTGGAGCAGTCAGCTGTTTTATGCCCGGTGCGGCGGCCTTTTCCACAAAAGGGTGGCTTTGTACCTGGGCCCTTTGTGTTGGTCCAGCAATCAGCTGCTCTGTGACCCTTTTTGTTGCAAAGGAAACACTGCGGTCTCTCTTTGTCATCTTGCAGCTCAGACGTTCGAGTTTGACCTGGAGGCTTGCTCAGGATATCGCCTTTACATTTGCCAAGGTTAATCAACCCCTGGGCCTCCAAGTAGTGGTCTGTAGCCTCCGCAAGTTTTTCAAGGCTTTCACAGTTTCTTTCCTTAAGAAACACAGCGAGTTTCTCATGGCATTGCGCGAGAAACTGCTCCGAGACAATTTTGTCTCGCAGAGCATCGTAGGTCCGGTCTGTCTTGGCCATTTCTTGCCAATGGTCAAAATAACCTAATAGACGCCCGGCAAACTGCGTGCCCGTTTCGGAATTATCTGGTTTGGCTGATCGAAACTTTGTCCGATAGCCTTCTTCTGTGTACCTGAAGCGTTGTAGTAGCGTTTTCTTCAACGTTACATAGTCTGTGGCATGTTCTGGTGCCATCCTACCAACTACACTCAAGGCTTCTCCGGTCAAGCAAAGGCTAAGTGATAGGGCCCATTTGTCTTGCGGCCAATCTTGACTAGTAGCGACGCGCTCAAATCGCTGTATATATGCGTCCAGCTCATCGCGTTCCTCGTTAAAGGCTGGGATGAGTTTATGTGGACTTCGGTAGCTCTGCGTGGTGCCTACGGGCGCACCCTCGGTAAGCTGCCCAGCAGTTGTGCTACCTGCTGTCACACCTAACTGATGCAACTTTAACTTGAGCTCTAGAACTTTCTTCTCTGCTTGTAATCTAGCGACTGCCTCTGCCTCAACTTCTTTCGCGGCATTTCGTTCAGCCAGACGAGCGTCACGTGCCTCTTTTTCGCGTGCGCGTTCTTGGTCCATCCATTCTTTTAGTGCTGATCCACTTAACCCCAATTCCTTTCCAATCGCCGTCAGCTTATCTGCCTCCATCATCGACCGTCACAAACGCATATGCGATGTGATACTCTCCTTAGATGTAACAAGAGTAGTCCTGTCTCGCGGACGCCAGATATGTCGTGTGTTAGGTTCGTCACATAGCAAGGCGTGTGACGCAAGGAAGATGGAGACAGTGAGGAAAACAAACGGGAGTTATATTGGACGAAGAACAAAAACTATTGCACATACAGTACTATAAGTTATACACACGCGTAGTTCACACACAAAAGAAAAGAGTAACCAGTCTCACAGTCTGTGCCGTAGCCCGGTGCCTTGAAGTGGGACCCGTTGCGTGCTCGGATGCAGTCGTCGCTTGGGTGCCAGGTCAGCATACCACTGTCGAGGGCATCACCAGGTCTAGGCGTAGCCGCACACTGTCAGCGACGTCGGCTCGGTAGACGTGGTCAGCAGCTCCGGTCTTTCGAGGGCGCTCGCCGTACCGGAGATGTCCACAGGACCACTCACCGAGAACTCGTGCTGGCCACGCCGACACGCCGTGCCCCGAGGACGTCAATGGCTCGAGGACAGGAACCCGGCTTTTCGAACCTCGCGCGTAGTTGCGGGTTCGCCCTAGGCTCCCTTGCGTCGTCTTGCCGGCGTCCGAACGGCTTCGTTCTCCACGAGCGTCTCCTCTTCTTTTTTCAATGGGCGCGCTGCAATGCCCCTTCATTCTTCTCATCTTCTAAATGATGTGGTGCTGTCGTCTGCTAGGCTCGCATTTTTAAGGTACTACATCACAGACATCAATATAGTATACATTCACTTTTGAACAGCCTGCCATTTATGCATAGACAAGCCTACAACAGAATACTATTTGATGATTGACTGACTGATTGATCAATTATGTGGCAAGGTTGCAATCTGCCACAACAAATGGGGAGGCAAAGAGCATTGCTCTTTTTATTTCACTAATGTGTATCATTATAATAATAGTGCAGTTAACTCAAAAGCATCGTTACTAACCAAACTGTCATCCAGAGCCGTCATGCCATTGTAGCTGAAATTGGCCACCTTAATTTTCATCCACGGTTGAGGCACTTTGTTGCGACTTCGAAGAATTTCCTGCAAAGCAAAACCCAGCAAATAGTAATTAGTGAAAAGAACGAAATAATTTTGTAAGCAGCTTTCAGTGTAGTTTCCTGCAATTACACTTCAAGCTGCATGACCGTTTCAAGTATTAAAATTAACTAAATGAGAATATGAGGCATGCCATAGCTACGGGACTGAGTGCCAAAAGCACTCGAAAGCACAGTCATTATTAAATTTCGCTCTCACTCCAATGTGCCAATATGTGGCCACCAACCTGCGCAGAACAAAGCATGAGATTTTTTTTTATTACAGGAACAACTAATCCCACGTCATGAATGGGTAAGTCAAGACTTATGCTCTCACTTGCCCCCACATGTCACTGTCTATCGAACTTTGGTGATGGGTTTCAAGTTCTCGTGTACTCTTTGCAGCTGACATTGAATTTTTATGCTTTTAAGACAAGTGGTAGTCCTCAATAACAATGTCAAACCTCTAAGGTGGGCTATTAAATGTTTCATTAAATTCTGCAGTATTTATACAGCAGACATGTTGGGCTACATTTGCACACATTTTTGTGCTCTGGCGTACTATTAAAATTAAAGTGCTGCAGGTGGGAATCAAAACTATGCTTTCATGATCAGCGGAGTAGTGTACTGTGTAGTCCATGAGCCTGCTCTATGAATGTAAGGAACGCAATGGCACCTTCAGCGGGGGTTTCCCGCTAAATCACTGAGGGGAACTCTGCTGTACTTAACATAAAATTATAAGTGCCCCCCTAGAGTGAATGACAATTCGACAAAATTTCGAGAGTGGGTCCTTGCTCGGTTACAGATTGAATTCAAGATGGAGGGGGAAGAGCCACAAAGAATAAAGAAGGCATACCCGTAGTCCTAATTACACACTTTCTTGAACACGCACACATGCATCGTTTTGATTTGCCTTCGTTGGGCAAATATAAACGATAGTGGGTGACGATAGTGGGTGCTTGCTCTGGTAGGGGCGCTTACTCAGGATTTTATGATGCGCTCACAATTGATGTAATGACGAGCTAATCGTGTGCATATGCACTAATGCCCTCCCATGCAAGCTTTCGTACGTGTCAAGTCAAGGAGACGACCAGGGGAGTGTCCAGGCGTAGGCGGCTAGATAGATCGATAGATAGAAATACTCAAGGTGCTTCAGGTTCGTCATAAAAAGCTTCGCACTTAAAAATTGTATAATGATTGTACACACACATTAAGACTCATTGAATCGCTGTGCATTGAAAACTTTAAAAGCTTGAAATTTAGAAGGTTAAACTGTAATTAATTATCTGATGAGGTATTTATAATGACCCCTACCTAGACATAATACTCTTAAAGATAATTCTCCCATGTACACTTAAAATAAATCAGCAAAATAAATTAGTAGCATTGCAAGAAGTTTCGTAGCCACCAGTACAAATGAAAGGATTTTTTGTAGCATGAGGCGAAATATGGAAGCAGGAAAGAATAGCACTCTGTCCTATTCCTTCCCGTTTCCATATTCCGCCTTGCGCTACGAAAAATCCTTTCATACACAATACCAACAAGCCCGCATTGCAACTCTCGTCGACCAGTACAAAAATTACACTAATTTCTGTAGCATATAACCATCACTAATGTACAGCGGCTCAACGATTGCAGCGAGGTAGCTCCTTCTAGAAACTAAAGCAGAAAAGCTTCACCCTTCAAAAGACTGCAAGTTACTATTTGAAGTGCTTTAATGATGTGAGTAAGAAGAAACAATCACCTTCAAAGATGCGATGTTCCTCTGGCAGATTAATGTTTCTAATTGAAGCACTAAAGTTTCAAGGCCAGTGAGAAGATGTGGCGGCACTCTCTTGAGCTCAAGAATCTTCAGACCGTGAAACTTGGACAAGTCAAGGCTGCCCTGTATAGTCTGTGAACTCTGAACAATCTAGAAGAGAAAATGAACATGCATTAGGTTGCTTCACTTATTGACCCATAAAGTTCAATGAGGGGGTTACAAATGGGTTATCGTACTAGAGGCTTCCAATATAATTTTGAACATCAACTGAGATCTTTCTTACATATGGCTTGCACTGACATCACTGAAACAGCCATGTTGGTGAACCGCATGGCTCACGCAAAGTTTTGCAACGTCACACATTCATGTCGTCATTATATCAGCTGCAAGATCTTTCGTTATCGATGGGTAGAGGCCAATAAAACTCTGGCCGCGTCGTTATCATATTGAAGCAGGTCAAGTGCGATGTGATTATGCTGCCTCTATGTCATCAAAGCCACCTTGTTGGCGAACCAGTACACTCTGAAGCTGCGTCGATGACGTCCCTTGCAAGCTATCTATACATCTGTTAACTCACCCAAGCATGTTTCCACAGTAAAATTCAATTCAAAGTGTGCAATGTAGTGCTTTGCAGCCATTAATAAAGAGCTGACGCAAATCTATATTTCCCAAAACAAGCACTCCGTTTCTTTTGCTTTCTGGCTGTCCTCCGCGGTGGGTCAGTGGCTAGTGTGCTCGGCTGCCGACCCGAAGGTCGCGGGTTCGATACCGGCAGGGGTGATTGCGTTTCGATGGAGGCGAAATAGTAGAGGCCCGGGTACTGTGTGATGCCAGTGCACGTTAAAGAACCCTACTTGGTCCAAATCACCGCACTCCTCCACTACGGCGTCTCTCGTAATCATACCGTGGTTTTTGGGCTGTAAAACCTCATACGTTATTGTTATTATTGCTTTCTGGCTACAGTTACTCCAACGTTGTCCACATTGTAACGGATTACCAAATGTCTTGCCACAGCGTAACACGGTTAGCTTGTTCTTCTTGTAATCGATCCCACGTTGTAGCTCTGAAGCACACGCTTTCGCACTCAAGACTTTTGTGCAAGGGCAACCCAAGATAATAGGAGAGAGAATATTTTGGTAGACAGCGCCAGCGGGACAAGCTATTCGCTGCCCACAGAAAAGCTGAAATTCGCTTGGGTGTCGATACGTCGCGTAACAATAGGAGGCCGTTCGTATACCTTCAGAGAGCAAGTCTTCTGCATGAAGTCGTGGAGAAAGAAGACGTCATGCACGAAGTCCGAGTTGGCACTGCATCCGAAAGGAACGTCGAAAGATTCGTTCTCCTGGGCGCCCAAGAACTGGCGGAATATGTAGTTGAGCTCATTAAGACACGACGTCGTCAGCGTGAGCCTTCTGGTCCCGTTCAGCACCACATCACCTAAGGACGAGATATGACAATCGATGAGGAGTGAACGCGAGATGTGCACAGGGGGGGGGGGGGGGGGGCAGTGTCGAAGCACTCACCGTGCTCTCGCAGAAACGCCGCGAGGGTTTTTATTCTCTCACACCTGTTCGAGTCCGGCGTCATCGTCACCTATTAACTGATTTAGCCAACAATGGGAGAGGCTGTGTTTCGAGCCTACGCACGAGGCGCAAGTGGGTGAGGCACCAGTGTAATGCGCGTTAGCCGGACGGAGGATTCAGTCGGCGGCGTACGCCTCTCCGATACCGCGTTTTGGTCAGGCAAACCATGTTTCTACGCCATCGGACGTCACTGAAGACGCGGAGCGTGGAATCCGCGACTATCAAATCATTTGTCACGATTGCAATGCTAATAAGACAACGACAACGCGAATGGAAATGTAAGCGCAATCAGCTGGTCGCACAAACATGGGCTTTAATCAAGCCAACTGCAAAACTTTGCGCAATCAACGCAATAAAAATTGACACACATTTGAGCCGTTTTACAAATGTAAACGAATGTAGCGCTACCTTCATTGTAAAAACTAACCTAATAATAACTAATATTATAAACGTTTTACGACAATAAAAGTTTATTTTTTAGAATAAAACAGTCGCTGTTAAAGTGGTATTACTACGCTAACTAAAAACAATTAAGAGCTATTGACATTATAAAAAACTTTATTACTGACATAATTTTTTTCAAAAAATTACTTTTGTGAGTAACCATTGAGTTTTATACAATCATGTGAAAAACTTTATGGCTACTTGAGTGTGTTTTTTTTTTTGCAATTAACGTGTCTAGCAGATTAAACTCCCTGCATAATTTCGAGTGAACAATATTGCTTTAAAAGTATATTGTATTTATTTTGATACGTCAAGGAACATAAATTTTACATTGTGTTTAAAGATGAAGTCGTCCAGTGGCAGCCAAATTCTACAACACATTCAAGCAACGCTGAAAGTTACGTCTGAGCATGCGTGAATCTCGAGCCGCTGATTGGGCGAGTCGTTGAGCGGCTGAGATCGAAAAATGCAGCGAATTCGCGCGCGTGCTGCTCACGCGAATGAACGGCTGTAGAAACGCGTTTGTTCCCGCGTAGTTCCAAACCGTCATTTGCGTGTGTGCTGCAGTTAAAACCGTCAGCAAGTACTATAGCCGGACGAAGAGAACTTCGGTGTCGGTGGACTGCAGAAATGAAGCCTGCGTAAGCTACGCCACCCTCTTCTTTTTGTCAGTGCCCGCGCAAACGTTTGTCGACGCTGTTACGACGGTTTAGCCTCGACGCGTTTCAAATTCGGCCGCTCTTACAGAGATGACAAGTTGTTACCTGTGTAGTTCTTATGCTCCTAGTTTTATAACCGCGGATTTGAATAGTATAGCCTGTCGTTCCAGTCTGTTTTCGCCTTCGTCATATTCGGTTTTCGGCAAATTGGTAACGAACGTCACGTGCATGTTTACGTTTGCTTCGGTAACTTGAGCTGTCACAGGGCGCGGTATGGCGGTTGTTTCGAAGGTCTCTTGCTGCATTGATTTCTTAACTAAACCTGGTTTGTTGTTTCGTGTAGCCGAGGGAAGACGCCGAAAAAGAAGGGCCCCTCCAGGCCGGCGTCCACCGAAGCACAAGACCCGGTCGAAGTGTACTGTCGCATCCGACCGTTGCACAATCCCAACGATGTCCCCGTCGTGCGCCGCATTGACAACAAGATTGTCCAACTCGAACCGCAGGAGACTAACGGACAGTCAAGGAACATACTGAAGCAGGTGAGGCGAAGCACTGCGTTGTAGGTAGAACGAGAACTCGCAATAGGCGTTCTGGGATAACCTGGAAGATTGAGCCTACATCACATCAGTAAAGAATGGCTGCAGCAAGACTAACCAAAGCAAATGGGATAAGGCATGTTTAGACGTTTGTTACTACGGTCAGCAATGCCAATTCGAAACGGCCGTGAGCAGCTGACAAAGGTTACAGAGGTCTTATTGAGATCCGTCGTCTTTGATTCTACCACTGGCAGTTTCACCTCTGTTGCTGTATGCGAAACTTTCAGGTCTGTGGCATCGTGGATCAAGCACAACACTATTAAGTGAGCTAGCTTCTTTTCTTTTTTAAGTAAACTGCATGTAGAACCATTGGTAGAACATTCGTTTTTTGGGCAGCATTGGTACTAAATTGAATGAAATGTTGCATGTACAGCAACTCTAGGATGCACAAGGTTAATTTATTGCCAGTGTTCCTTACGAAACTCGGCAAAGGAAAGGTGATAGAACCACAATGTACTTGAATTGTCAATGCTGAATGCTAGATTGCGGTTTTGTCATCTGCATCCATTAGGACATGTCAAACAATATGACAGCTATGGGGGTTTTGCAGAAGTTATGCTCGCATATTACTAGCGTGCAGTAATAGTGGCGAGCCATACGTATCGGCAATGGGGGGAGGCTTTGTTAACTGCAGTTTCAGACATTGTTTATTATCACCATACTTTAAAGGGGCCCTGCAACACTTTTTGAGCATGGCCAGAAAACTCTGTCGAAAACGCTCCAGACAACACGCGAGCCAAGTATTATAGCACAGCACGCGGTCTGGAATTCACAATAAATTATATAAATCGGCTAAAAATTGCTTTTTCTTTCGACAAATGACAGAAGACACTCAAAAATCACACGTAGCAAGCCCATTTATCAATCATTGGCTGATTTGAATCAATATGGCGCACTCTGTCGTTAGAGATCACTGCGAGAGGCCATAACTTGTCATTGCGCGTGCGCGCAATCACGCTGAAAAAGCCGCACATTCGAAGAAAAAAATATAAAAAAGTGCTCAAGGTCATGAGGTGTGCGTAACATAGTTTTTTGCCCCTGCCATCCCTCCCTGCTTTTTTTTACATAATTTATTTATATTTATTCAATTACATAGCTGCTGCCTGTCTAAACTGTCCATAATAGGCAGCCTGTTTTGTGCTTTAGAAACAGCTTATTAAAAAATTTGAAGTCATTTGCAAAAAAACTGAAAACTTGAAAAGGTGCACAGTACAGACGGAACCACATTTGTCTAGAGTGGTAAAGAGCGTGGTTGTAGACACTGTTTTGTTGGCAGCTGATACCCCGTGCTACGCACAAACATTTATTCATGCTTTAATTATACCACAAGGACCGAGCATGTTGTATGACTGTGTTAGGTATCATTACGGCATTGGTCTATGCATACTGCAGAAAACTGCAGCTGGCGGGGCAGTCCAGACAAGTATGATTCAGTCTGTACTGAAATGAAGCACAAGTAAAATATCCTATACTCAATGCCAATCAAATTATTTGATTTTTATCTGTGCTGTGCCTTGGGTCCCATTTGGGTTGTGATCATTTTCTGTACCCATCTGAAAGCACCTGCTTGGACCTTGTGAGATGTTCCTCTCTGCAATAGACCTCTCCCTATTTGTAAACAGTGTGACGTCACTGCGGGCACCCCGCCCACCATACCGTCTTTCGGAGCAGGTGCTGGTTGGCAAGAAAGTTCCGCCGGTGCCTTCTTTCTGCATGGCAGAGCTGCGTGTCTGCATTCCTTCGACAGCAATTTCTAGATCGCCATGTTCTAAAGTCACAGCTTTTAAAAAGAAGGGGTCGCCGAAGGTTCACTGCTCGTAGTGTGGAAGTTTGCTCGTCGTAGATGGATGGATGGAGAAACCGTAGAGCACTGGAGAGACGTGACTAGCACGCAGTGGGCTTCACCCACGTAGATGACAGCCACAAAAAAATCTGATCTTTTTCAAAAGCGAACGTTTTCAATGCACTCGGTGACTGGCACTTTCAGAAATATTTGCATGGCATGGATGTAAACTTATTCAATTTCCATGGTGGCATGTGCAATGCAGTTTCAAACGAGGTACAGAATTGGCGGCGGCATGCTTTTGAGCTGCTGTGCGCGACGTCACGGATAATACTCTCACTCATTGAGCCAAAGTCTGATCGGAGAGAATGAAAAAAAAAAAAAAAGAAAGAAACTTCTTGCCGCGCGATAGGTTTAGGTTAACGTGTCTTCGTGAAAATTAAAGTGAAATTCTGCCACCACGATTCTCAATAACCCAGTGAAAATTCATCGGATGTAAAACCCGACTACTTAATAATATATAATATTATCTGGCACAATTATCTTGCTGCATTTGACACTTATAACGTGTTTTTGTACCTATATTGCTCCTTTAGCCTTGATACACAAACTTCTAATGCGCATTGTCACTTCACAAGGATCGAGCCGTAAAGTACAAAGTGGATAAGAAATGAAAATCTCCGCTGGTTCGATTAACACGTATCAGGTATCCGAAGATACGATTATAGCCGTGGTGAAGCGTATGTGCAGATTCGGCAACACTACAGCATACTTGTAGCTCATGTGTAGTCGTATATATCACCCGGAGATCATGCACTTCTATTTTTCTGCACACCGCGCATACGCTGAAATGTACCCACTCGCAGGACGATCGCGTCAAATGCATTTTTACCTTGACCAAAATGTCAGATCGTGAAGTTTCATCGACAACCGGTTACTGCAACCGGCCCACAACGAATATCAGTGTTTTCGCAAACAGGACGCATCACGTTATTCACACTGCACACACCACGCACAGTATTCCCAGTTTCACCGTCCGTATACAGGTGAACCAATATTGTCGATACCTTTCAACGCACACTACATGCCGCAGTCAACACTGCACATTTTCGAAGACGATGCCGCTGTTCCTCGCCCAGGCCGCCACGTGTGTTCACTACTCCGAGATAAACAGCCAGTCAGCGTGGCAAATATTTCACCAGGCACTTTACCACAGTACCTAGATGTTCTCTGACACATACCACAGCTAATGTTGCCACTGTGAGATAAAGACTAAGCTTTCAAAAAGAAACAAAAACTTACCCTAAGCACCGAGCGACTGCACCTTACTCGGCCACCGGTGGCAGTGTTTTGCCAACCACTGCCTTGCACGTGCACCGGTGACGTCACGCTGTGACGCACCCCAGTGGAGGTCTATTGGAAGTTGTTGAATGAAGGAATAAGATGCATACAAGACAAACACAACGAGTAACATGAACGAAGGTGTTAGTTCGTGTCATTTGTGTTTGTCTCGTATGTGCTTTGTTCCTTCTGTTGAACATGCACCAATTAGCGCAACAAAAAGTTGTAATGAAGACTGCGTTCTAAAACATGAAAAGACAAACGTGGGTAGTTTCTAGATATGTGAAAAGACAAATTTATTTATTAGTATTTTAAAATTTATTGAATACATTAGTCTGAACTATTCTTGCAATTGATGTAAGATGTTGACATTCTTTCATTCATTATATTAGTCTTAGAATCTAAATTGGAACATCTGGAACAAAGTTTCGGATTCTCTGCACATGCAGGATGCGAATGATGGTAATGTCTAGCTCTCCAAGGGTCGTGTGGCCTGCAGCGCTATGAAAGCATGCATGTTTCATGCCTACGTTGGTTGAAATCAATCGTGTTTAGGTAAACTTTACACTTGAGTTCCATTGCTGTTTAGAAATATGTATAAACAACTTTAAAAATTACTCATATTTGTAAAAAAGGGGCTATTTCATTTGAGAACCAAACTGAACTGGGTAATATTTAATTTCAAATTTTCTAGTATTCGCTCATATCTGAATGTTTTATAGCTTTCACTAAGTCGATAGGACGACTAGAAGATGTATATTTTTAGCTTGTGTGTATAGTTTGAAATATTTGCAATAATGCACGAACATATCGGTGCTTCGATTTGGGCATGAAAATGAGCAACCTTAGATACTGTCTGCGTATATTTACACTTCAACAATGTGAAACATTGCAAATTTTTAAACTGAAATTTTATTGTGAAGATAACGCAAATGCAGATTTGTAAAGAATACTTGACTAATTTAATATTTCTCTCTTGAATTTCCTCAAAAAGCTGATTTTTTTTTTTTTTTTCAAGTAGGGTTGCTTGGGTTTTTTCTCAACTTTCACAACAATCTTTTTCCATTTTCCATTTTGTTTCATTTGACGAATCTCGGTGTTGGTGCTTTGCTGGTTTGCACAGTAAACAAAAGGAAAAGCTGCTGTGGCACATGCACTCAATCATACAAAAAAAAAAAAAAACGGCTGTACGCATGTTTGAATGCTGCAACTCTGCAATTGCAGCGTCAATTTTGTGTTGCCACAATTGGTAACTGAAGTTACCAAAGCAAATGACAGTATCAAGTGTGCGAGCTGAAACATTCATCTTGTGATATTCAAGCAGAAGCTAGCTAAATGTAGTGCAATATCTATACTTTTAATAAAAGTACTCTGTTACGCTTCTTAGATAAATTGCTTCTAACATTTTTTGTTTCTTTCTTTATTTCCATTCAAATTGTCTAAGCCTCTGTGGCAGGGGTTTAAGGACTTGTGCCTGACATGTGGTCTCAATTTTGCAGGTCTTACAATCAAGGAGATCGCTAGTTTGTTAGCATCCTGCCCAACTGTCTTCATAGCAGCATTTGGGATGCAAATAATGCTCCCGAAATCTGCAGCGTGAACTGGTTATTTGGGATGTTGTGCACCCGTACATACATGCATTCTCCTCATTTCTTACAGTATCGGTACACATTCAAATATGTGTTTGACGCCATGGCCTCGCAGCAAGAGCTCTTTGAGCACGTTGGCCTGCCCTTGGTCAGTGATCTCCTTCATGGAAAACCAGGTAAGTCTTTCCTGTGCAGTAAGCTATTGAACTTACGAGATTGTGTTTTACAGTAAGCTCTTGATGGATTAGGCATTCTTACTGCAATGTTCACATTCTCATTTGCTTGCTTTTTCTAATGTTACTGTCATGAGCTGCACTAAGGAAGCTTAGATGATAACCAATACTAACTCGTTGCTTCACTATGATTTTATCCAAGCGCCAGCACTTTGCAAATTCATTTACACAATATACTGTAGTGAATTAGAATGACTTTCCATCGCACATCACTACTTTCTTACACTTACCCTCATTGTCTTTATTGTTTTAGTGAATTAGAATGACTTTTCATCGCACATCACTACTTTCTTACACTTACCCTCATTGTCTTTATTGCTTTTGATCATCTGTTTTCAGCACATAATAGTATTGTACACAAAGATTTTGTTTCACGTACTGCACCCTGTGGTACTCTGATGCCACATTGTGGCAGCGCTGAGCGGCCTATTGCACTCTTCCACAGTGTGATGTAGTTTCGAGGCCAGAAAGGTGTAGGACTCTTTTTATGCCTTGGTAACAAGTGTTGGATTTATTTAACCTTTCAGTATTGCGACCGGCATGTACAAGTACTGGAGATGACAGCCTCACGCCACTGAGAATCCGTCTGCTAAAAGTAATGTTGGCTCCAATTAAGTGCTCACGTTGAAATTACGCTGATTTGACATGAACTGAAGACGGTGCAAATTAAAGCGTGTGCTCCACTTATCGCCAAGCTGTGTTGTTGCAATGCGTGAGCTCTTAACATCCATATAAAATAACATGCGATGCACTAGACATGGACACGGGAACACACAAGGATAGGTGCTGGCTGTCATCGAAGCTTTTATTGTGCTGGCACAAATGTATAGCTTATGAAAAGGGGAGATGAGGAGGAAGGAGGGTGGGTGAAAGGACAGTAGTTTCAAATTCACATGGTTCGTATTATAAAAGAACGAGTGCGTACATCATCAAGATAGCCTGAGGAAAGCACAGTTTCTTGTCGTAAAGGTTGACTAATGGAGCACTGACGCACTCTAAAGCCGATGCGCGTCATTGTAAGAGTATGAAACCCTCACATAATGAATGTCAAAAGCAGGTTTACAACCTGACATTCTAGTCTTGCTTTTCGCGCATCTTCAACAGTTTAGGAAGCGCTCCAGCTGGGACGTCACCTGGGATCGGTGCTTGTGAGCAGTGCCTAAGGTAGATATTCTGTGGTCAAACAGTATGAGATTACTGTTCCGAGGGAGCGTATTATTGGGCTCTTCAAAACCAAGGAGCCATGTTTTGTTGTGCTGCTGCCTTATGTGTAATATCGAGCATAAGAATCTCGCTCGGTGTTCAAGTGAGTCTCTATTCTTCAGGGCTCTTGTTCACTTATGGAATCACGTCATCTGGCAAGACGTACACCATGACGGGGCATCCGCAGGATGGAGGCATTCTGCCACGGTGCTTGGACGTTGTTTTTAACTCCATCGGAGAATACCAAGCTAGGAAATACGTACGTTTACCTTGCTGTTTACAGTGTTCAGTTTCGCAACTTTCATTTTTTTTTTTTTTGAATTTGTAGATGTTCTGTACCCTAGTGCTTTTCACATTCGTCATGCTATAATTATTCATACAGGAAGATGTTCTAGAACTAGTAACAACTGAAACATTTTACTGGCAGCCGTTTAGTACTATGGTTTCAGAATCTTGTTACGGTCAAAAGGGTAGAGATTAAAACTGTTACTAAACTGATTTTTCTTCAGTAGAGAAATCTCATCAGCAATGCTGAGAGCATAGCTTTTGTTAAATTACCATGAGTTGCTGTGCACATGTTCTCAAACATCCTACACACGCTACCTTTTCCAGGTGTTCAAGCCAGACAAGCTGAATGGCTATGACACGCAGACAATGGCTGAGGCCCTGGCAGAGTACCAACAGGAGATCATGCCTCACACACCGAAGCCACCGAAAATAAGGAGGTGCGCAAGGCTTTTTTTTTTTCTTCTCTGCAGCAACTCGAAGAGAGTTTTCCCATACAAATGGAACAACAAACCAGTGTTATGCGCTTACAGTGTTCCCAGACTGAGTGGCTTAGTTTTCATAAATATAGCGTGACGCTCATTAGTATCACATAGTGCATAGTGGCATGTTTTGGATACAATAACCTGTCATGACTCCTAGCTCATTTGGGCCGGTTTTGAAAGGGATCCTTCTATCTCCACTAGTAAATATTTGTCTAAGCAGTGCATAGCCTCCTATGTAATGTGTGCATGGCCTCCTATGTAAAGAATTGCAGTGCATGGCCTCCTATGTAATGGCCTCCTATGTAAAGAAAAAAAAAGGACATTGAGAAGTGGGTTGTGCAAAGAAAAGTCCATGGTGACAAGAATTGGTCACGCTTTAAACGTTCTGGCTGTGCAACACTGCATCGTTAGTCGGGTGCCAGCTTTTTCTCGTAACTCTTAAAGGCCTGTATTTTGCCGATTATGATTTGTCAGCAACGCACTGGATGATGAAAGAGGCTGCAGAGCCTGTGGCCACCTTCTCTATTGTTAAGAGTGGTAGAGTAGTGCAATGCCTCAAAGAAAAAAGCTGATTTACAGCGTGACAATATTTAATGCTGCCTTATTTTTCATTTCAGGAGGGACGACGACGCAATGGACTGGTCTAGTCGTATGCATGAAACTGCCAAGGTGGACGACGTCGACGCTGACATGGCATATGCAGTGTTTGTGTCGTACATTGAAATCTACAACAATTATGTGTATGACCTCCTGGAGGACAATCCGATTGACCCTCTCAAGACAAAGTAAGCTATAGTGAAGGCACTTCTCTTCTGCTATTAACAATTGAGAGGGAATGGAACAAAGGTTCATATTCTTTGTTGGGCACAACCTGTTGAAACCAACTGGCAGTGAAGCTAACAAAGGTATAGGGGGTCATCATTTGTAGTCTATCTGTAGGGTAGTAATCATGGTAAATATGTATAAGGAAATTAAAGTGGATCAAAACACAACTTGCTGTGGGTAGGCCTGCTACCTTCAGATGACATGTTTCATGCACTTCTTGAGCTACAGCGACAGTCATCCTCCTATCCACTCTCTGGGTGTTTCCATGCCTGCAAACCTGGGAGTGTTATCCAGCTCTGCTTGTAACCATGGCATAGCCCTAGGGCACATTTTAAGTTATTGAAACTGTGTGTGGGTGGATAAAAAGCGAGCAAAAGACACGTTGGGCTATAATAAGAAAAGATGTAACGGGCATTGGCTGGTATTATGTTATTGTTTATTCGTCACCATTTAAAAGCATATTTGTTTTCACATGAGCCTGTTGCAACAGCTTGCAAGGAGCCTGTTCTGTATCCATGTCGTAAATTCATAAATCAGATCTACGGTTGAGATAGCAGGCATGAATACTTGGATCGACAGCATTTCGTATTGTGTTAAAAAATCTTTCATTGTATTTATCAGCGGGCCATCTTGCTTTCGTCTGTATCCATTTTTGTGGTATGAAGTGGTTACGATGTTCGCCTGCTGGCCCAAAAGTCGCAGGTTCGGCCCCTGTTGTAGCTGTCGCATTTTCAAAGCAAAATGCTGGAAGCCCGTGTTGTGCGTGCGCATTGTCGTGCACATTAAACAATAGCGTATGGTAAAAGTTTTTCTAATCCTCCACTACGCTGTGTCTTATAACCGTATTGAACTTTCGCCACGTTAAGCCCCGCAGTTACTGCTCTCGTCAGTGTGTGCTTTAGGGTAGGCATAAAATGGTCAGTGAAGCCCTCCTTTGCTCTGTCCAGGCAGCTGCAGTCAAAGATGCTGCGAGAAGATTGCAAGCGCTCTGTCTACGCCTTTGGGGTGACTGAGGTTGAGGTCAAGAGTGCCGATGAGGCATTTGACGCTTGGTGCAGAGGACAGAAGCGCAAGCGCATCGCCCACACCGCCCTCAACGCGGAGTCGAGCAGGAGCCACAGCGTCTTCAACATCCGGCTCGTTCAGGCTCCCCTCGACGCTCAGGGCCTGGATGTAATACAGGCAAGTGTCGATTTACAGTGAATGCTATGGCAGCCAGGTGTTATCTGTATTATTGGGTGATTCTGCATCCTGCAAGGCGAGTGACCTGCGCAGCAAGACAATGACCAGTGCAGTCATTTGTTGCTGAGAGGTGATCTATTTCCACAAAGTGTCTTCTTGGGGCAAAGTGTCTGCGTCAAATGATACCTGAAAAGCAGCAAGTACTGTTCGTGATGGAGTTGCGTGCACCATCCAAGCATCACCATGCACAGGCACTGCATATGTGTTGGATACTTTCTGTGACGCATAAAACCGGATTTGTGCACCTGTCAATAGTGATAACTAGAGAGCGTGCACTAGTATACCGTTGCAAATGCTGTTTGGATTTCGTTTCATGCTGATAGCACACAACTTACATTGTACGTTTTAGCATGATTCCTGGTAACGGGATGATTACGTGACTGTAAGTTTGCTGTTGATTTTAATGAATTCAAAATTGGAATTGCGTAGTAGTGTACAAGAAAGCCAAATGCTATCTTTGTCTGAACTGAGCATACGGAGTGTGAAAGCAGAACTGCTGATTCCGATCACGCTGGGCTTCAATATGCCATAAAATTCCGAGTAAGCTCCCACTCCCCCCCCCAATGAGTCTAAATTGCCTGCTAATGCGAAGTGGCGGAGGAGGGGGGGAGGCTATCTAGGAACAGCACCAAAATTCAAGGTGGCGGCAAATTTTTCGCCAGAAAAGAAAAAAAATGCAGTGCACATGGATGCAACTTTACTACAGTGAACTTTCTTTAGGCCCAAGATTTATTGTAGTTTATGATCGCTTTCAAAACCGTCAAAAAACTCCTTTGAGTCGGTTGTGAAAAAAAAAAAAAAAAAAACAAGTTGCAGCATTTCGCATAAAGTCGGCAGCGGTCTTCTGGCACGACAGCTCCAATATTGGCCAGTTTGCTGCGCAGGTCGCCGTCCTCAGAGCCATCGAATATGTTACTAATACCGCATTCCTTGAAGGACCGTGGCACTGTCTCCTCAGGTACACTGGCCCGTGCCTCGGCACCAAAATCGAGCGCACGGTGCTGTGGTGGCTTCTTTAAGTTTCCTTTCGGTGTTTGTGATTCTTCACTTATATACTGCTCCCACAAACGCCACAAGATGGACTTGAACAGCTTATTCCAATACACTGTCTGCAGGCTTCAGGACGCTTGTGCACCTCGCAGGCGCGTAAAGCACGTTTGTGTCGTACGCCTCGAGGGCATTTTTAGGTGGCTTGTCTTGTGGATGGGCTGCCTGGTTCAACACCAGTAAGAGCCGCACAACATCAAAGTTTGGGCCCCAGACTCTCGAATGTCCATTCTTGCATTTTCTCCAGTGTCATCCAGCCATACTTCGTGGCAGTGAGACGAACATTCGCTACGAATAGGAAAAAAGTCGGCATTGTAATAAAACGACAACGTGACCCCTCGTTCCCATCTAAAAGTAAAATTATTAAGTAATTAGTAAAAAGTAAATTAGGCTGGCAATGGTCCTGGCCGGAATTTTTCCGGTTTGCTCCTTGAATGATAATGAAAGCCGAGAGCTTGTGGCCAGTGGCGCAAGCAGCTAGGCTGACCGTGAAGCCTCGCCGAGCACATCCAGTGCAATTCGTATGGTGCTTTCGCTGACCATGTTGTTCGTCCTGTTGGCGGGGTCGTCTATTCGCGCCATTGTCTGATCCATGTTGACCATGTTATATAAGGTGTGGCTGTTGCGCCGTTGCAGCGAGTCCGCCGAAAACCGCAAGGCACTTGCTGCTTTCAAAAGTTCCCCGGGCGTCTTCTCGCTCTCATTCGTAGTGTGGCGCGTTGCAACAGGGAATCGCTGTTTCCAGCGATTTATGCAATGGCTGGAGGCTATTAAATTTCCCAACTGCATGCTGTTGGCAATTTCGACGGCCTCTTCAGAAAGAATCCGGTTGCTGACGGCATGTCCTGCACTTCTTTTGCGCTCAAAGTACTCGAAGAGCACATCGTCCGCCTGTTCCCTGAACACTGATGCACTGTTCCATCGAAGTTTCCGTCGAAGTTTTGCCTTCCAATAACTCAGCTGCAGCAAATCATCGAAATTCTTCCATTCCCGTATCTGCTTCGGTCGAGCTTGAAGTGTGGAAACGTCTGGTGCACGTTCCTTCTGTTTTCTCGGTGCCATCGAATAACCTCGATTTTCTTCGCCACTGTGTAGGACTGCACAGGCATAGCTGATCTCTCACCGCAAACCGCAAACACAAAGCAACAAATAATGCTGAGCAATCGGGCTGTAGTGCAAAGCAGGATTGGATTGGGAGGGGGGGGGCTTGTACGGGTAGAGGCACTTGCTTGGAAATTTAAAGTAGTCGATTACATCACATTCTGCTTTCTTCAAAAAGTGTTGTAAGACCCTTTAAGGGGGGGGGGGGGGGTCTTAAAGTAGCACAATATTGTAAAAAGTGCTGACTCTCAAAAATTGAAATTTGAGGTATTTATAGTCAAAAGTATGTTTTGGAAAAAAAAGTTAGTATTTATATATTGTATTTTATACAATTTCTTTTTGTAAAAGCTTAATATATGAAATCACAAATGTTTTTAAAACTGGAAACATAATTTTCTTTGAATTGTTATTTTTGTGAAGTGAATCTGCCTTACGATAGTCTTGAGCAAGTTTATGTGAAGACATCTAAAACTTGGTACCATTCCTTTCCACAGCACTTGAACTACTGGCTAAAGTTTCTATTTTTCTCTCAACTTTGATAGAATTGTAACTATATGACAAATACCAGCTAATTACTAGAAGATCATTTTTTATTTCGCAAGATCAAAAATTATTTATGATCAAAGAAATAACCATTTTGACATCTAGTTCACTATAGCATGTGGGATGAACATTTTAGAGGAAACATGTAGTTTTGAACCGTAACTTTATTGGAAGTTACCACAATGACCCATAAGAAATTGTCTAATTACAATGTGGAAATTTGTCATTACTTTTTTCTAGATGACATACTTGAAATCTGTTTGCAAATTTGAAATGTCCATTCAATGGTACACATGCATGCTAATTTTCATGGAAGTAGGAAAATAAATAAAAAAGTTTTCTTAAAACCCGCATTTCCCCTTAATTAAAAAGAAATTCAAAGCACACAAGATGGCTATTGTTGTAGGGCAAGATAAGGTTTAATGTGTGTAATTTTCTTTAAAGTTGCAGTGATAGTGCGCCATTGTTTAGAAAGCACTACTATCAGCTGCAGGAAGATATGCATGCATAGATTTGTAAGCTTGTAAAGCTTTTTTCATCTGAACCCTGTTATCAATGTTAAGAATTATAGTTTGATTGATGGAATGTATGCAAGGGGTGCATTCTTAAATTTCTATACCTCACTGGAGGTGGATACTAATCTTGCTATCATTAGTGTTTGAATACAGGCACACCATAACCGGTTGTTTCACACTGGTCTGATACCATAGGTGATTATTAAGCATGTTGTAAGGGTGCGAAAACCCCCCTATAAAGTCGTTTGCACCTCGTGGCATGTGTGTCTTGCGCTTAGGCCGCATTGCGGGCTCACAACTATTGTATGGTAGGTGGCGTTGCGCTCCCGAGCGTTTGTACCACCACTGTCGTCATCAGAACGGTGGCACTGGCAGTGATGCCTGGTGGCAAGCCTTGGTAGTGGCACGGGAGATATGAGCGGGTCTCTTTAGCGTGTGGGGGTTGGTGCGAACGGTTGTCTCTCGCGTGGGCCCCCGTGCACGGCACCGCGGGTTTTCCGCCGGGGGTCCTCGTGGTGAGTCATGCACTGGCGAAGCCACCTTCTTAGTGTTCTTGTGTTTGTTATGTTGTTGAGGGTTATGTAATTTTGTGTAAGGCTGTTATAGGGGGTTGATCACAATTTATGTATAATTCGGCTGATATCGTCGTTCTGAAAGCAGTTAATAAATGTGTGTTGTTTGGTTCATTTCGACCGCCTCTACTGTGTCCGTTCACTCCAAGAGCATGGCGCTCTCAACATCGAGACCCCACAATGTCTAGGTAAAATAAGTAGAATTCGTGAGGGTTATGACTTCTCTTTTCCATACTTGGGTGATGTTTACTAGTTGTCGCATTCTTGAGACAAGATGTGGTGTAGCGAAAAGTAGGGAAGCTAAACTACTGTTGCAGCTTGTACCTAGCAAACCATGGAATGCCTGCAGTCAGTGACGGAACCGAGCATAATTGTCACTGGTCAAAAACTGATATAGGAGGATCAAAAGTATACGTAGTTCTTTTTTTTTTTTTTTTCAGAATAGACCGCAGTTTGCTTATGCGGCACTCAGATTATAGACTAGGTTATTCTGCTATAGATGATAATAAACCAACAATACTATTTAAAAAAGTTTCCGGTGTATGAATGCATATCTCGCACAGAGCGAACAACACTGTCACAGCTTTTAGACTGTGGATAACTCGTCACACTGTAGCAAGAAAATTAAATAGGTGTTTGTACGTTCTTTGTACAGGACAAGAATGCATTGCTCATCAGCCAGCTTTCGCTTGTTGATCTTGCTGGCAGCGAACGCACGGACAGAACTGGCAACACAGGTCACAGGCTAAGGGAAGCAGGTGAGCTTGGTCCTTTACACTTGTAACTACAGCTTACACTTCACGGCCAGTAAGCGTGATGCTGAGTGTTCAACTCCCAACCACTACATTACACTAGTGGCAAGATGCGAAGGTGTTCGCTACAGTCAAACTCCACTTCAACAAACTTCGCTGCAACGAAATTTCCGCTTCAACTAACGTTTCTCGATTCTCCTCTCGCATCACATAGGCTCTAATGTATTAAAACTTCCTCCACAACAAACTTTATTATTCTCCCGGTTCAACAAAATTTGCCCAGAACTCGAGTTACTCGACCAGCCACGAATTGAATCACGCTAAAGAGTAAATTGAAGTGACAACACTTTTTAATTTGAGAACTGCACGAAAAAAATACTCACGACAGCGGCTGTCTTTTCTTTTTTTTTCTTTCTCGCAATATTTCTAACAGGAAATTCTTATTAGGTAGCCTGAATTCACTCTACATAAAGCATTTTCTTGGTTATCTGACCGCTAAAACTATTGTAAATGCACCAAAGTTGACCTAAGTCCACGTAACCCACCAGATGCTGCAAAACCATCACACGATGGGGGGTGCCATCGTTTGTGGTTGATGACGATAATGTGCAGCATTTGGTGAAGCATAGAGTTATGTCGTGAACCTGCGAGCTTGGCCAGCCGAAATTGAGCCGAATCCACACGCTGGAAATTGGCTGCTGGCTACTTTTTTCCCCCCCTTTTTCTTTCCCCTGTGTTCTGTTGTGTTGGCAGTGTCAGTCCTGGTTAGTTCTCGCCTTGTGCCCGTCTCGTGCTTCATGTCGTTAGCTCAGTAGATCAGTAGTCCGGCACCTTGTTAGCTGCGACCTGCGTATTTTTTTTTCTCAGTCTACGGCAGCGAGGGCTTATGCAGTGCCACAAAGAAAGAAACGGGAGTTTCTTCCGCTAGAGCAGATGGCGGAAATAATTGCCGGGGCAGCAGCAGGACGAAAAAAGGCATGTATCCTCGAGGAATACGGTACCTCGCTGAGCTAGCTGTCAATAATACTGAAGTTCGAAGTGAGCATCCTAAATGCACTAGCGTCAGGCTCGTCTGCCCAACGAAAGAAGGTGACCCAGCCAGCCCATGAAGTACTTGACAAGGCAGTGTTTGCCTGGTTTGGCGAAACGAGAGCTAAGATGATGCCGACCAGCGGTAGCCTAATTCAGCAGAAAGCACTGAAGTACGCCTGCATTTTAAGCATCAACGAAAACTTCTAGGCAAGTGCCAGGTGGCTCAACCGATTTAAGGAGCATCATGAGATTGTCGGAAAGGTGCTGTAGAGCGAGTTTGCTTCTGCAGACTGCGGCAGTGCGTCATCGTGGATCGCGTCAAATGCTGCTGACATCGAGAAGTACGCTGCATCAGACTTGTACAATGTGGACGAGACCGGGCTCTTCTATGAAATGCTACCAGCAAATACGCTTGACTTCAAAGGTAAACAGTGCCACGGAAGCAAGCAGAGCAAAAGTGAGGCACAGTGTTGCTCTGTGCAAATATGGACAGGTTCGACAAACTGCCCCTTCTCGTTATTGGATTGGCAAGAGCGCCAAACCCATACCGCGGTGCTTCAAGAGCACGAAAAACCTGCCAGTGAAGTACGTTGCCAATAGCCGTTCATGGATGACGAGGGCTATTTTTACCGACTGGATTGTTGCATTTGACGACACGAAAAAGCAAGATCGCAAGTGTTTCCTTGCTGCTGGATAATTGCTCAGCACATCGCCTGGACAGCTGTCAAGCTGACGAACGTTGCGGCGAAGTTTTTTCCACCAAACTGCACGTTGCTGATTCAGTCTTTAGATCAAGGCGTCACAACAGCTTAAAGCACGCATACCGATCAAGGCTTCTTCGGTGAATTCTGTTGAACACAGAGCATGTCCACAACACCAAAGTCGACTTGTTCATTGCTGTGCAAATGTTGGCTGCTGCATGGATGTTGATACAGCATGACATTGTTAAAAACTGTTTTGCGCACTACAGGGTTTCAGCCCAAAGAGATGAACTTGGCTAGCACAAGTGACAACACACTAAGTTGCCGACAACAGTTAGACCGGGGCAAGACGCGGAAACTGCCACAGCATGAGCAGCTTTCGAAGAATGCCCGAGAGTCTTGAACTGAGCGATTAGTTTAATGCCGGCGTTGACATAATCGTGTACGAGCCGAGTGATGCAGAGATCCCCAGCAGTGCTTGTGCAGTTACTGCGGGTGGTGTTCTGGCGATCCCGAAACCACTGACAGCGTCACAGGTCATGGGCTCTTTAGATATCTTGCATCATTTCCTTGGCACCCATGACGACAATGTCCCCATGCAGCTCCTCACAGAATGTGAACAGCGCATTCTGTGAGGAGAGTGCACTGCTCACATTCTGTGAGCTCACTTATTCTCGACTCGCGTGAAAACGCAAGGAATCAAAAGTGATTTTTTCAAGCTTTCAAACAAACTGCTGCCTTAAGTGTCGTGCATATTTTTTTTATTTTTATTTACCACTTTTTTCACGACAATGAAATTTTCGCAATCTCCGTGAATTTCATTGTAGCGGAGTGTGAATGTATACATGTTCAGTATTTTCCAGAATGCCAACATGCCATCAAATCGATTGCGTGCGCTTCTCTTATGGTTTAAAGTAAAGAAGTAAGAGATATATTATTACATTGGACCTTCTGCACAATATAGAAATTGAATACTCGTTCAATTTTACGGCCAGGATATACTGTCAATTTTAGGCTTCAATTAAACAGGAAAAAAGTTAACGAATGTTGTGTACACAGAGGGGCAGTTTATTTATTTGACAATTTTCTTTATCTCGCAGCTTCTAGTGTAGATATTAGCAATGCTAAAATATAAAGTCTTTAGTCTGGACAAATTTTCTCTCTTTTTCTTTTCAGGAAACATCAACAATTCCCTCATGGTCTTGCGCACATGCATTGAAATCCTGCGGGAAAACCAGACCACTGGGTCGAACAAGGTGACGTCTGTCTTCTTGATGCTTCCTAGCTAAAGCTCTGTAACAATCAACATTGTTTTTTTTGGAACTGTATGGTGCGTTAATTAATGGCTTGGAAAAATATTGCCAACAGTTCATAGGCCACGAACTCATACAAATATAACAAGCCCATCGAAGCTTCTGTTTTTCTAGGCAATGCTTTCTGACTAGCATCCACCATATAGTGTGCACTTAAGCGAGAAATATTGTAGCCCCAGGGTTGTCCTATAAGTTTCTTTACCAATGATTTCAGATGGTGCCCTACAGAGACACAAAGATTACCCATCTCTTCAAGAACTTCTTCGATGGTGAAGGCAAAGTTAGGATGATCGTCTGCCTGAACCCACGGCCAGACGACTACGACGAGACCTTTGTGAGTCTTGGGCCTGCTACAGACGGCTACGAAATTTTAAGGGAAACAAAATTGGCCAAAGATGACTTTTTTGTCAAGTGTGGGACACAAAACTGCAAAAGCAAGTTTTAGTATTTAGCTATTTATCTATACTTAGTACAGTTAGTAGCTTTAGGCACCTAAACAACAGTCACTAAACGAGCTGTGCATTACATGAGCAGAAGTAGGCATCTATTGTAGAACACTGATTCAGTAAAATAGTGCGACTGCCCCGCCGCGGTGGTCTAGTGGCTAAGGTACTCGGCTGCTGACCCGCAGGGCGCGGGTTCGAATCCCGGCTCCGGCGGCTGCATTTCCGATGGAGGCGGAAATGTTGTAGGCCCGTGTGCTCAGATTTGGGTGCACGTTAAAGAACCCCAGGTGGTCTAAATTTCCGGAGCCCTCCACTACGGCGTCTCTCATAATCATATAGTGGTTTTGGGACGTTAAACCCCACATATCTATCAATCAAAATAGTGCGACTGAGGGTACTGCTGCTAGTGTTCAGTAATTAATGTATAATTGTACGTATTTCCATATAAGATAAAAGCACTTTGGAAGTACTGTATGTTCTTAACCATTTTAGTTTGGGTGTGTCATTCTTTTTCTCTTTTCGTAGGACTTAATTTTGCTGCTGAACGTGAGGTCGTGGGTTTTATTCTTGGCTTTTGTGACTGCTTGGATAAAAATGAGTTCTAGGAATATTTGTGTACTTGAAATTAATAAATTCCTCCTCTGTGGCAGTCATCGTAGCCCTTCTTTGCTTCAATAAGTTAAACTTTCTGTATTCTGGGTGGAGGGACAAGTAGCATTGAACATTGATCTCCTTTGGCTGGTTAGCAGTGCGAGAAGTTACCAGCAGCACTGGAGTCACGCTTTAAGAAAAAGCTCGAGAATGTTCATTTTGATTTTTGTTTTCCAGCACGTGATGAAATTTGCGGAGATGGCTCAGGAGGTCCTTGTTCCGTGCGCCTCTCCGGCGACACCAGCAGCAGTGCAAAATCTCCGTACCGGTCGCAGACGGCCCATCTTGCCACGTACAGCGAAGTTTGGCGGTGAGCTAAGCCTTTGTTTCTTCATGCACACTTCAAAACTCTGTCACTGTTTAAAGCGCTGTCAAAAAGTGCTGTGCTGTCAAAAAGTGCAAAAAGTGTTTAAAGTGCTGTCACTGTTTAAAGCGATAGCAAGTAGGAATGCTACAGAGGGCCTCACTTAAGCAGTAAGCTTGCTGTCACAGTAGCCAAAGACAGCAACTGATTTCTGTTTAGTGTGAGCTCTGTCCTGATATTCCTGCAGCAGGTTACTAAGGCATCATGACTGTTGAGAGTAAATAGCTTAGCCTACTTAGCTGTTTTATTTTTCTTAACTTTCTTTTTCTTTTTAATGTATTACCCGATTATTTTCAAACAAACCGTAGATTCATCCTAGTGACACAAGTGGAACTGCTGTGCCATGTGCGCCACACTGTATCAATTTGCATCTGTTGGGCCATCCTTGCGTCATCAATATCGTCAGATGTGCTCTTCGTGGCGTTAATACCATCGCAAAACAATCAGTTTCCCTGCTGCACACTAACTGTGATAGGCTAGCTGCTATCTCTGTCAATCTCGTGTAAACGCTGGCGGGAGGGATTATGGCCGCTATAGGAGCGAAGTGGTTTTCATTTCGTCATCTTAGCGCGAAGTGAATGGGCTGTTTTCTGACGTCTGCCGCGATAGCGCACCCTAGCGACCTCGTTCTCAGTTGCTGCTCCAGTGATGCAGTCCTCCCTCGTGCCCCCAACCTCCACCCCTTCTTCAACGCTTCGCCTGACAAGACAACCAGGGCGCGCTTCCTCTCTGCTAGAGGAGCCATCGGCTGTCTAGCATGTGGGGCAATTGCAACAGAGATGGCCAGCTCGTGTTATCACTGCTTCATCTGTGTTTCTCCACGGCGATTGCATGCTTTTACTTGCGCGTAGAACGCATAATGCGCAGGTGATGTTGTCAATTTGGGTTTGATGCGGAGCATGAGCGATAGTGAAAACCCGCCGAGAGTGTCCATACAATTGCTATCACAATAAGAATAAACATTTCAGTTCTATCATCTTATTTGTAGATTTCAGCAGTTCTGCTTTGCCAATGTGAGCATTGAAAAAAATTTTCTCTGATGTGTGTAGTCAGGTTTAGCTCTGCAGTGCGTTGCTTATCGCTATTTCCCTCTTAGTTTTTATGATGGCTGTAGTGGTTAAATGACATGAGTGCTAGCTTTTTATTTTTTTAGGGTCTCATTGGGCTCGAATGAAAGTAACATTTATTAGAGTGTCTCTAGTCTTCAGTTGTTCATGACAGCTTCTGTGTTTTACTAACAGGGACATTTCCATTTGTCAAAGGTCAAGTAATGACTAGCTATACAAAGGATCACTTATCTCTTTCCTCAGAATTCCTCTGTCAGCTGTGATGTTGGAATGATAGCAACGCACACACACCACATTGTGTGTGTTAATTTGTTGCAGGTCTGGTTGGTTCATCAGTGTTCACTGTCACGTAAAAACCACTGGAATTATTGTTTCCTAGAAATTAAAAAAAAAAAAATCTGTTGACATCAGTGTCTGACCCAAAAGCTAGCTTGTATTGCTCCAAAATACATCTTTTTGTGCTCCAAAATTGCTCTGAAACTTCTTTATTGCTTCATTGTCCAAAGCTGCTTCAAAAGACTGAAGCCGGCTGCCTACCCCTGTAGTGAGATTTTTCTCTACAGAATTTGCGTATGTACCAGAAGAAAAGATACTCCGAAACTTGCTATATTTCAGGTTTCAGCATAATATGCAAGAAACTAGTTCAGCATTAATTTTTTACCAACTGTCAAAGTTTTCGAGCTGATTTGGTATCGCTCTCTTCAAACAGATTGTTTTTCTCACCCTGTTTTACACCTTTGCAGGCAGCCTAAAAGAGCTTTCCACGTTGCCACCACCAGAGATCCCGAGGGAAGTAATCTGTGTGCCGGAGCTGCAGAACTACTTGGTATGTCCTTTTTTATTTTTCTTTATTGTTTCAATATCTGTGTAGATGCATTAGTTGAATTAGAGCTGACATGGAACAGTGCTTATTAAATTATTGCTCTCTGGTGCTCCACCCTTTGTTTTAAAAATACAGGACTTGCAAGCCTGGACCCAAGGTAGAACTCAAGACACCACAAATGACTAACTTAATTTTGTGGCAGTGCCACAAAGTTGAGTTGTTTGTCAGCATTCGTGGGATCTTGATTTGTCTATTGTGCCCAAGTTCCTATGCCCTGTCTCTTTAACATGAATACTACCAACTAGTTCAGCTCTGTTATCCTGAACTCCAACCTACTACTTCATTCCCAGTAAGAAAAACTTCTGTTTGGAAATTGCTCTCTCACAATTACAAAATCGCCAAATTTGGTATGAGAAGACACTTGCTAAGCAAAAAAAATCTCAAAAAGGAACATCAACGTGCAATTGTTAACATCATAATTCCATAATTGCCATATTCAAACGCGCTCATACTGCTATCAGAAATTGAATTGGCCTGCTTCCTATGTACTAGGATAACATTAATCTTCAATCACATGCGGTGTTGCTAAGAGACTGCTTTGGTCTTTATTTGTAATGGCTGCAACTCTGATCCTTATTTCCTTAACTGCGCAGCTCAGTGATCCCTCAGACGGTGAAGTCCTCAAGCGTATGGACGAATGGCTTACCCAGAAGATCATATTCAAGAAGGATGTCAAAGCAAACAACATGGCCCAGGGTAAATTAAAAGCTTCAATTTCTTCGTATAAGTTGTGCCCATCTGTCAGGTATAAACAGATATTTCTGAATGCTATACATAAGAATGCTAGATGCCTGGCGTTTGGCGTGGCTTCGTGGTCTGGTGCACAAAAAAACTGTAGGCATGCAAAGTCTCGAATCGCAATATAAATAACATAGTCAACTGAGAGCGTCAAAGTAATTTAACGAGTGTTTGTCCTTGGTGTTTCCTAGGGGCAACTTTTTACTCTGTGTTTTGACTTTAATCTTGAACACTGAACAGAAGGGCTTGCAAGGTAACAGCACTGTACTTTCCAGCGACTGGCATTAACTTTATTCAGTCGGATAAAAACAATTGAAATAAATATTTCTTCAGTCATTAATTTAAACTTGTGTAGACTTTCATCTGACGCAGGTACCACCTAGTGATTAGAATCTCAGCGAGGTTTTATTTATTTTTTACTTTTTCAGCTGAGGACCTCAGGAGGCAGATCATGCAAATGGAAGCAGAGAACGGCGTCTTGAAAGAGGTACGGGAACTATAAAACGACAATAACATTTCATTATCGTGGCTTTGAACATAATTAATGTTTAAATTTGATGAGCATTGAAATCAATGTTAGAACGAATTTTAAATGTGACTTGTGTAACCCCTAGTTCACACTGAAGCATCCGCTTTCTACAACGACCGAATTCTCCTGCCGCCGAAATGCAGAGTCGGTCGCATTTCGCACGCCCCGCGGCGCCGAATATGCCATCTACCACGGGGCGAACACGGGATGAATGCGCTGTCACCCAGTTGTTGTCACGGCTCGCAAATGCCACTAGGCTATCCGGTGGTCTACTCTTCAATGATTCTCATACGCAGAAGCAAGAAGAAGCAGTACTGCTTACTTTTCTGGCAAGTCGCTGTCTTGTAATGCATGAAGAGCATAAAAAGTCGCCCTACGCCAGCGGCGCTGGTGGTCTCGTCTTGCCTTGCAAGACCGCGACAAGCTCGGGCGCACCAACGACAAGCTCGGTAATAGGGGCGTGATGTAGGCACAGAGTGGGTTAACCTCCCGTTGGTTGCAACATTCAGTTATGTGCACTGCAACATGACAAGTGAGCAGGGCGTGGCCATCATTTTTCAAAACTGGTTGGTCCGCGGTGACCGATTCAGCGGCAAACGCCGCGAAAAGTCAGTCTGAGAGCGATCGGCGCGGCGAGTGCCCTTTCGGCGGCCGGAATGCTCGGTGTGAACGTGCCCTAAGAGCTGGTAGAATCTAGTGAAACCAACGTACAATGAAGCTAAGGTAGGAAAAGGGGACATTAGGTGCGTTTTCTTTAACATGGTAAAATAATTATTACATAAAATGCAATGAGAAATAACCTTGCCACAGGTGGGATGGTACCTACAACCTTCAAATAGTAATTGGCGGAGCATTGGACACGTTATACGAAAGTTGTAGTTTCGGTCCCTAGCTGCATCGAACTATTTTCTTCATCCACTTCAATTTTTTAAAATATTGTCGTAATTACTATGCGACAGCGAAAATAAATCAACTCAGTAACGTCTTCTATCACTTCTTCAGCCTAATTCTCTGTTGGTTTTCATTAGGCTGTGTCTAAAAAAAAAAGAAAATTGAGCTTCTAACCAATCTCCCCCCTTTCTTTCGTTCATTTGTCAAGGGTGGGTAAGTGTTGTTCACTCACCTGTTGTAAAAGAGCAGAAACATTTTTGTTTGCATTGCAGTACAGCCCTATTCATGATTTAGTGCTCATTATAGGCGAGGGCACTGTAGCAGAGGCATGGGAGTCATCGGGGCAGATGCGTGCTTTGCACTGGTGACTGTTGTCGTGGTTGACGCTTGTTATCTCTCTCGTAATTCGGTGGACAGTTGAAAAGTCTGGGTGAGCCAAGATTGCTGATCACTCTTTTCACTCTGCTTTGTGAAAGGAAATGTGCGTGCGTACAGCGCATAAAGCTATGAAAAGAAATTTATGCTGGTTGATCGGTGAAGATAGACAGCTGAAGTTAAATTTATCAATCCAGTGATGGCACCTGGTTCTACATGGCTTTTGTGATGGCTGCTCTACAACGTGGATTAACCAGAGGTGGATTTTTTTTTTTTATCAGGGGCATTTGTTCCAACGTGCATTGCAAGGCCTGTGGTGTTATTGAAGGAATGGCCCACTGCATTAGTCAATTGTAGGTTGCTAAAATAGGTACTATTCGCACAAGTGCGTGAGGGAGAGAATATTGCAGCAAGAAGTTGGCAGATTTAAGGCGGACTATAAAATGCCTGATTAATCTCTCCATTTGTCTTGTTTTTTTGCCTCCTTAGCATCAGCTGTTTGGCCTCCTGGTTTTCACTTACTAGTACCTAACATTAGACGGCTGCACTAGTAATGTTCTGGTGCATGGTTCAGTTTTTGTATCACTTGGGTGAATGTTTCAGTTGTGAAACTTCCTGAGGGGGCATACACATTTTCCTCTATAGCAACGTAAGGTGTCTCCTTTCTGTCATTGTAACAACTAGTAGCTTGGGAAGCAAGTCCAGCAAATGCAGCTTCTTCGAATGCAGCCACGTGCACCAGCTTCACAATGAGCATCCTTTGCCCTGTCAACTTTTGTGAAATCTGGTTAATTGATCACATCGTCCCTTGTTTCTTCTACCATATACAAGCTTGGCACTTTCACACACTTCTCGTGCCCAGATCACGGTCTAGCTGAACTAGTTCATTGTGCAATATATCAATTTTTTCTGTCTAGAATGATTGGCGCAGACCCATATGTTTAATTTTTTTTCTTTTTCATGCATAAGTATACAGCACCCTCCAACTGCTATACTGCAAGGAAAATTGGCTTGAAGCTATAAAGAGACAACAACTTTCTTAGTTCAACTATTTAACGTTATACATAAAGAATATTGTTAAAAAAAGCACTTCTTTTGCTTATCTAATGTGCAAATTTCATGATTACTGGGAAACATTGGCAATTCGGGAATACTTTTCATCACATTTGAAAGGTGCCTCGCACCGCAAGCAGACACTACTTGTGGTGAGCTTTATCAGCCAAGTGCGCAATTTCGTCGTGTTCTGACGCCGTCACCTTTGCCATCTTCTTTTCTGGCCAGGAGCACAAGGTGCTGCGGATGGACCTGAAGGCGCGAGAGCAGCAGGTGATTTTGCTCGAGAAGAAGCTGTCCAACGCGGAGCAGTCTGTGCAGGCACTCAACCTAGAGCTGGAAGGCATGTTCCGCCAGAAGAAGACTGTGGAGAACATGGTCGGTGTACACTCTAACTTCGATATAACGAACACGGATATAATGAATTATTGGTTACAAGGGAGTAAATGAAGGATTGGGTAGCAATTCACAGTGTTGAAAATTACCGTTGTAACGAATTTTTGTATACAACGAACTCATTTTCGGGTAAGATGCAACTTCGATGTGATCAGGTTTGACTGTGTAGTTGCAATTTATCGCATCGAGAAAACATTGCTCGAGGTGCCTTGTGGAATGCCCGACCTCATTCAACATCTCGTAAAGGCATTAGTGAGATCATGTGCCACATGTGTAATTGACATGAAGTACTTTTTTTTTTTTCATGCAGTGATTTGAAAAACTGTGTCCTTAAGAATTAATTTTTTAGTAGGAAAAGGTCCCAGTTCTTGATCACACCAGTTTTTGAAAACACTTGGTCTGCCTCGGTGGATCAGGTGGGCTAGGTTGCTCGGCTGCTGACCCAAAGGTCGCGGGTTCGATCCCGGCCGCGGCGGTCGCCAGATGATCGAAATTTCCAAAACCCTCTTCTACAGCGTCTGTCGCAATCATACCGTCGTTTTGGGGACGTAAAAGCTCGCATATTATTATTGAAAACACTTTTCAGTTGACTTCATTTGTACGTTGTGCTAGTACTGTGTGAAGTCCCACCTCCTAGGAAGGCCACACATGTGCTTTAAACCCTAGCGAAAATTCCGTACCAGTCATATTTGCACTGTTTGCACCATGTCTCAGTAGTGTTCGGTAAGTGAGTGGGAAGCCTTGTCTAGACGTTTCAGTTGTAGCATTTCGCTGCAGTGTTTGGTGTAACCACCAGGATTTGGCACTCTGTGGCATTTGTGCAATGCTAGGGTTGGCATGGACTGTCACTTCTCCTTTTTTATCCTGTCTTTTTCATATGTTACTGCATGTACGAGTGTAATGAGAATATTTGATGGCCAAGTTCGTCAACACTTGTTGTGCGTGCCTTGTGAAGAGAAATGGACGCCGAGAGATGACGTGGTAAAAACACACCTGACGTTTATGACAGAACACGGAAAGAAAGCTAAAATAAAAGTACATAAACGCTGAGACTAAGCTAAATGAGGAAAATAATGATTCTCCTCATTCCTCATTAACTAAGAATAATGAGGAGAATAATGAGCCATGTCATGGCTGTTCGCAAAACCACACATATGCTAGGCTCGGTAAGCTGGCTTTAAAAAAGAAGGTTTTAGTCGCTTTGAGTGGAAACTGTCAAGAACAGTAAAATATGGTTAAATACTCATTATGATACAATGCTGATCGGAATTGTGCCACTGGCAATGGTCTGCTTTGAGGTTGCACAGGTGATGTGACCAATGTTTCCGTCTCTTGTGACACCTGTGCAGCTGGACGAGAAGCAGATGCAGCTGAACAAGGAGGCCATGCAGAAAGTCCAGATGCAACACCGTATGCAGGAGCAGATCCAGCTGGAGCGGGAGCGCATGAAGCGGGCCATGGTATGGTGCTTATTGTGCAGTCCCTTCTTTGTTGCTGCATCAGCTGTCACGGGAGGCAATGTGCAACTGCTTGTTGCTGGTTTTAACTTATCAATTTCCAAGATGTCTGCCCTGTTTTCATTTGTGCTGTTAGCCCTTTTTCACATGGTTGGCCATAGTAGCTAAGGCATCAAATCAATATAGGAGGTGTTCTTACTTGTAAATTTCTGCCCTTTGTGGTGTTTAGACAATACAAAAGGAAGTTTTGTGTGCTTTTTGAACAGGCAAATATGAACATATGGTGCTAATGCATCCCTCTTGTTTTCTATCGAAGCGTCGTCAAGTGAATAGTACATTTACTGTGCTAAGGTGTCACATTACTAAGCTCTGAAGCACAGGCTCGTATCCCAGCCATGATGGCTGCACTTGAACAGTGGCAAAGTGTATCGAACACCCATGTGCAGACGATGTAGATGAACGTTAGATACCAATGCGGTCGAAAGTAATCTGGAGTTGTGCCTTTTAGGGAGCAAGCTTTTGTCTAAACTAAGAAAGTTATGAAGTAAATAAGCTTATCAAAATAATCTGATATCAAAACTGACATGCAATGCAACAAAAATGAATGTTCTAAACCAAGTAGAAGAACACTTGCCATGTGAAATTCTAGCTTGAAATTGACTCGCGCACAAGATGTTCCACGTACCATAATTTTTGTTCAAATAATTTCGAACATTCATTTTTGTTGCACTGCACACAGTCCTGATTCTAGATTATTGTGATATGTCAACTTACTTCGAAACTCTTAGTTAAAAAAAAAAACCTTGCTTTCCAAAAGTCACATGAAATATTTTGTATTTAAAAAAACACCCTATACAAGGAAAATAATGGCAAATTTAAAATCGGCACACAAAAATTACATTATGTAAGTGCTACATGAATTGTGCACTGCCCTTTCATTTTCACATTTATTCATATTGTGAGTTCTCACAGCCTTTGCTACAAGATTCATTGTTGGGGGGGCCAGCAGTGTCATTATTTCAGTCGCACACAATTTGGCACATGGTGGTTTTTTGCACTTACAGTATCATAACTTCAAACAACGCTGCCGTTACCAGTGAAAACGCTGGCTTCCATGCCTAGCAAGCAATTACTTGTGGCGATATTTCATGAGGTTACCATTTGATGTGTCAGTCACGCCACGCGATAATGTTCCCTGGCCCACTGTGTTGGCACGATTGGCATAGTGTAATCATCCGAAAAAACAACCCTTGCTTTACTGTGCCTCAGCTAAACTGCCATATTTACTCAATTGTAATCCAAAGGGCAACTTTTCATTGTGTCCAGGAAGAAAAAAGAATAGTGTGCGTCATTGCACCTTTTAGTCAGCATAGATGTCAGTATTCTATCGTGACGCAAGGATCAGCCTCAGGCAGCAAAAATCTGGAAAAAAAGCTCTCACTACATTTGAGTAAATATAGTACGCCCAGTGGCACTTTTGGCAGAGATTTTGTTGGCTGGTAGACCGCACCTGCGGTAGAAAACATGCTCCGCATACTTGCATGATCATAGGTGACTTGCAAGCACAAAAAAACAAAGGCAACACGATCAGCATCAGATCGTGGGACCACCCCAGTGTCAGCAATGTAGGAGCATTTCATTGGGCTGCTAGTTGGGGACTCCAGCTGCTTTCGCAACTCTTTCTCTGTGCAGTGGTATTCACTGTAAAAGTGTACACTCCCTCGCAGAATCAGCTGCTGGCCGACAAGCAGGCCGAACTGGAGGCCAAGCTGAGCGTCAACCATGAGAAGTTCCGCATCTTGCGCGAAGTGCTCAATAGCGCCGACTGGGACGTGCCCGCCGCTGCCGCTGTCGCCGCTCACATTGAACCGTCCGCACCCCCCATGTCATCCGAGAATGGCATCGCGACTCGCTCCGGCGTGGCCACCAGTGAGTCCTGATCTGTCAAAGAATTGTGCCGCTTTGAGCTGAATGCAGCGTCTGCGAAAATTCCCGAAGGCTTTTCCAGTACTGCTTGCGTGCATGCGTGCCTGGCTGCTTGAGCTGATTGGGAAACTTGCGTGCTGTGCTGATGCTGCTTTCCCGTTCTCGCCTGCACTCTCTGCTCACGCGATTGTTGAAGTTTTCGTACTTTTCACATACTGTACTTCAAGATTGCATAGCTGCTACTTGCATGTTCGTAATGGCTGCAGTGTTTTGTATTACTGCTGTAGTGGTTATGTATAATTTCAGTCGTGGTCATGCATCAATCATTTCCATCATATTCATTCAGTCCTCCGTTTACTGCGTGCAATGTTTTTAGAAACTACCTGTTCCTTGTATTTTATTCTGTGCATGGACGACTGTATCATCCCCTTGAAAGTGGTATTAAAACGCTCGTACTCGATTCTTTTTTTTTTTTACTGGTGTGCTATAAATGTGCTATGCATACATGACATGGGCATCACTCTCTGCTTTTCTTTTTTAGAGACATAGGCTCACTATAATGGCTTTTGTTCAGATTTCGATTGATGGCCTAAAATTGACTTGCATGCATTGACTGTATGACACTCGCCTGTGCACATCTGCAAAGTGAATATTCTTTTGCTTCCGTATGTAACTTTATCACATGGTGTGTATGTTGCTAGTGTGAATCTGTTTTTCTCTGGACGTGTCTAGTCAAGGATTGCCTTTACTTGATTGTCTTTTTTTTTTTTTTTTTAGAAACCTGGTTTTGCATGTGCCTGTATTGGTTTGGCACTGTAGTAAAACATTGTCTTTTTGGGCGTAAATTGAAATTATGCTTGTATTAGCTTGGAATGCTTTGTTTGTAAAACTTACAAGTGGCACAAAAAAAGATTGTTCCGTTTACTAGTACATTGAGAAAGTCTAGAGAGTAAGTTGCATTCTATGGTGCGAAGAAAATGGCCTTCTTGGCTATTTTGTTCATTTTGTGCAGAATGTAGGAATTGTTTGCAGATTTTTGCCATTGGATAATTTAAAACAATGACATGCTTGTTGACTGTCTCGCTGCTTGGTGAATGGAAATATTTTTAATCGCATGTAACTTCATTTCTATAGGTGTTTTTAAGGGTAAACGCAAGTGTCGGACTTTCATTTTTGATACTCGCATTCAGAAAGAATATGGAAGTGAATACTGTGAGATGTCTGGACGGGCCGACTTTTTGGCATTTAGTTATTGACTTGCTCTGAAAAAAAAAAAAAGAATAAAAGGGCAAAAATGTTGGTAAATTTTTATGGTGGTTATAGAATAGTCTGTGTAATATAATATACAGTAGCCTCTCGCTATACGCAACCTGAAAGGACTAAGAAAATGTGTTTCATTTAACAAGAGTTCGGTTTACTCAGAGATGAACAAGGGTGAATAATCCAAGTATGAGACTGATCATGCTGGAGGCAGTGGTTCCTTTTAAAGCAGCAGTTCATTTAACAGAATTCTAGTTACTCGGAGTGTACTGTATATGCAGCAGCTATAGCAATTTTTCATTTGTTATGAGAACTAGACACTGATACTTTCTCATATCTATCTTGTCTTAAATAGTTAGCCCTGGCTTCGTCTTATTCACCTTGTTTTAGTTTATAAAGAGAGGTTATGGAATTCTGGCAGCTAGTCGTATGACCGCACTCTCTAATGTGCAGTATTCCATTCGGCAATACCAATGGAACAGCTGAGAACCTCAGACTACCACTTTTGGGTTTTGAAATCACATGACCCACTTTATAGTTTTTTTTTTTTTTACGTGACCTTCCTCAAAAAGGTGTTCCTGCGACTGTGACTGACATCAAAACTAGTGAAGCTAGTCGAAAATGGCCATTGCTGTAGAAATTGCCTTGCAAAAGGCACACCTTTCAAGCAGCAGCGAGATTTCATTGCAAAGCACCAATTTTCTTTTTCGGGAATTCACAGGTCTTGCTCGCAGCTTTTCGATAGTATCGTGCATCTCTTTCCTGGCATAGTGTTCATACAAATGTAACCCACATTGGGTTGAAACGACATTGGCAGCACTGAGAAAAATATCCTATCATGTACAGTACAAGCATAAGAAAAAGTAATTATGACAGTGTAACCATCCTTGTACATTCCTCAGTTATGTATTTTCCTGTGTGAAACGCTGGGTGTCCAGTCCCAGCAAAGCATCCTGACACTTATCAGAACACCCTTTTCACACATCCTGGCAATGTTCATGTCCTGAAATGTTGTGCACAGTCATTGAGCTGGACATGCTTAGAGGGTATAAAAGTGAATTAGTTGGGAGATGTGGACAGCCACAGGTGCCTCGCAAAGGGTTTGGTCCTGGCAGAGATGCGAAGAGAATGCCAAACTTCCATAGATGACTTTTTTACTTTTCATGAAGCAATTCTTATGTTTCTCGTAGTCTCACAGGTATTGATGAAACTTTTGGCTTCTCAAGTGACATGTTGCAGTTCTGAAGACAGCTCCACTGAGACCACACCAAATCGCAACTTTAGTTGCAGACTGTGATAAAGCGGGGCTGCCTAAGCCTGGCCAGGGAATTTGGTGGGCAACGTCCATCGCCGCAGAATTCGCTGTGAAATTTTGCATCCGCTGAATAAGTCTGCTGTTGGGCATGTCTTGGGCACGAGGTTGACGACTATACTTGTGAAGTGGAGCTTGGGTTAAGGGTTAATATTTATTTTATGTTTATTTATACATACTGCAGCCTAATCATGGGCTATGGCAGGAGTAACGATAACATTAGATGTCAAGCGGAGATGAAAAATCAGTCATTGGCAAAGTGCAGATAAAACCTAGGCAAAGCATTCTAATCTTCAACTGTTGCAGAAAAGTAGCTATATTTGTACCAGTCCGTTCTAGATTTAAGCGGCAAATGATTAAGACTATGCGAGCTACAAGTACAGGAAGGTTGAGCAAACTGGAAGTGCACTCAAACCTCAATATAACAAACATGGATATATAACAAAATATTAGGTATAACGAAGTAAAGAAAAAAATAGTCTTTCAATAGATGCAAGGTTGAGAATAACCTGTATAACAAGGCGGCTGCATTTCCGATGGAGGCGGAAATGTTGTAGGCCCGTGTGCTCAGATTTGGGTGCACGTTAAAGAACCCCAGGTGGTCAAAATTTCCGGAGCCCTCCACTACGGCGTCTCTCATAATCATACGGTGGTTTTGGGACGTTAAACCCCACATAATAATAATAAACCTGTATAACAAATCTTTGGATATAACAAACTTATTTTCTTGCAAGATGCAACATTGTTATGATGAAGTGAAAGTGTACGGATTAAAGTGGCCACAGCAGAGGGGACTCAATCAAGGCATGCATGAACTTAAATCTCGCGTGGTGACAAGTTGACATTGTAGTTAGACTTGGATTAGAGAGTTTGGAAGTGAGTGAGAAGCACCTATCGTAACGATGGTAGATAAACCAAATAGCTTTTTTTAACGGACTCAGTCCTGTTGACGTTGTGTTGATACCCTGTTGATATCGAATAAGCTGGCGACTACCACGTTTGTACGCGTGCAGTGCCAAAACCACGTGCCTTTGGTGTAACTGTGTAAGCTTGTGTGTGGAACACTCGAAACGAAATTTTGTGGAACATGGCTTCTAATAGTTGATGCTATTCAGGCAATGCATGGTCATGTGCTTTGTGTCACCGCGCGATGCAGGCTGCTCAACAGGTGGACACGAAACTAAACTCGCGTGCTCGACCGACGGGAAAGAAAGGGCAACCTCAACGCCATCGCTATCGAGGGTTGGCGGGCTCCACGCTCGAACAGTGTGGTGAGATTTTGTGATGGCAGCCATTCAAGATGGTACCAAACCATGATAAAATTTAAAAAGCTCGGTAGATGAACGTATCTTGCTTACTAAATTGTAGAGGACTTTACTGCGTGCAATGTTTTTAGAACACTACCTGCCCAGTTCTTCCTGTCATAAATTGGAATCATGAGCTTGGCACTATTTCGTAAATCTTCTTTATGTCAGATGGCACACAGAAAGGTAATTATTACAGAACACCTATGCATTCGTTTCTATAGACCTATGAGAGGGCACTGAAAGTTCATTTTTGTAGTGGGAATTTTTCGTAGAATAAACTTCAGTGCAGTAGTAGTGTTGCCGCATCTACAAAATGTTCTTTAGAATGGGAGAAGACCCAACATCATCAGAACAACATGCGCCATCATCATGCAACATCACGCGCCAATCCATTGCTTTTTTATTGGCAAAAATCCTGCATTACCATACGTGCACTCGCGAGTGTGCTCATCTCTTCCTTGTGGTTGGCCCAGGGCAGTCTCCCTGCAACAAGATCACTGTTTGGAAGAAGCATGCTGTATGCTATTTCCCTATTGGTTTCCTTGCCACGGTGGTCCAGTGGCTAAGGTACTTGGCTGCTGACTCGCAGGTCGCAGGATTGAATCCCGGCTGCGGCAGCTGCATTTTCGATGGAGGCGAAAATGCTGTAGGCCCGTGTGCTCAGATTTGGGTGCAGAAACATTAATGAACATGTACTATGCAAGAAGCTTCCCTAGGAATTGTGCAATAAGCTGCACCATCATGTAGTTAGTTTAATTCATTTCTTCAGCGTGCATTAATGTGCATCGCGAGAGAGCATGTGCATCGCGAGGGAGCAAGAACAGAAGAGAACCAACTTTATGCAGGACCTTCTGGTTGTAATTCAGCTTCTCTCTGCTAGAGTACTGCAAACTTGGATGGTCCACTGCTTGGTGGCCAAATGATCATAAACTGGCGTGCACTTTTGTACTTGCTCATCAGTTTCTATAGATCTATTCTATGTTTGTAAACAAAAGTAGGCGCCGTCGATATATGTAAGTCTGTTGTAATGACGTCGCGGGGCGTAGACTCCGCCCAGCTGTCCCAGCCAGAAGCGCACTACCACCCCCTGTGATCACATGACAACAGGCGCAGCAGAAGCAAAAGCTGCCTTTGAGCACGGCGCGTTGGGACGCCTCCCGCTATGCTTACAAGCGGCGGTCAAAATAGAAGTAGTTGCAGTTGATGAGCCCTGTTGATGTGTAGCTCTAGTTTTGAGAAGCCTCATCAAAACATGAGGTATCTTGAGGGTGAAAATGTGGCTCATTTGCGAAATGTCATCGCCGTTGCGACAGTCTACGTGGCGTGTCAATTTGTCAACTTTGTGAACTGTCACTTTGTAACAGCAATCTACCTTACACGTGTACATTTTAATTTATCTAATTTGTTAACTAATGCAGAAGTGACAGACCTAGTTCAGTAAGAAGTTCTAGGATTACAATATGGAAATGCTCTGTGTAAAAATACACATCCACGAGTCGTTTCGGTAAGTCCTCGTGTAAAATAAATCTGCTGAAGAAGTTATTCATGCAAACGATCAGGGGCAATCTCGGCGACACTCATCCTCAATACGCTTGTGATAATGCTTCAACTACATGCTGGAGAAATGCAGTTACGTACTTGTCAGGTCCATGGCCTAATCAATTTGCTTAAACCGAGGCTGCTAGATGTGTACAGGCCATAAACAGACTCGCCAAGTTTCCGATTACTGTTTTTCCGTAAGTTCTCACCAACGTGAAAAGCTCGTGAAGCGCACCACAACCAGAACAGCCCTGCCCTATACACGGTTCGTCATTGCAGCTGCTATACAAACAGGAAAAGCATAGCCTTGGTCGATGAAGAAGGTGCTTAACAGCGCAAACGACAGGAGGGGATAGAAGAGACCAGAACAGAGCGCTGTTAAGCACCTTCTGTCGTTTGTGCTGTTAAGCACCTTCTTCGTCTACCATGCAGCACCAACCAGCCCAATCAAGCACCTTGTTATAGTCTTGGTAGTCCGTTCGTTTGGTGCTGCTTTGATTAACTGTGTCCACGCAGACAGACACTCATGCTTCATGACCGAGTGACAGCCTTAGTTCAGGCTTTGACACATCCATGATTGCTGCAGTTCTATCAACAATGGCAATCGCAAAAAATTCTTTGCACTTCTTCGCACAGGGCTATGCTACCCACAACGTTCACGTGCTCTGAGATAAATATGCTTGCTATGCCTTCATACAAGGCTTCATTCCAAACGCAGTGCAGCACATTACAATGACAAACACTTTACAGATCTAATCATCTTTGCTTCGTAAGCTGCTCCAAAACATAACCGATAAGCGGTCATAGTAGGCAAGTTATCGCGTGGCTAATCTTTGTTGCAACGATTTTTGTAAACAGAAAATTGAAAAAAAAAAAAATCTTGGCCAATCTTTCTCCTGCGTTCCTACTCAAATTGTCGTGAAAGCTGGTCGGTGCACCATTTTTTCTTTGCACGATGACAAACAGCACACGCACCAGTGGAAACACAGCAGCAACTGGGGTAGGCGCAGCGGCTTTTGCCTACCATGCGAAACTAAAGGCCCCAGGACAGCGCCACCACATTTTCGTGACGTATGTTCGGAGAATTAGTCTATACATACATGTCGGTTCATGTCAAACAAATCTGCTTGAGGTATTGTTTGTCTTGGAAGAAGGGGCCATTGAAGCATTTTCTTTAAAAGAAGCCTTTTGTATAGATGGGGCCCTCGGCTGTACACAAGTTTGTGAGTTCTTGCGGTTCAAGAGGAAATGAGCATGTAGGGCCAGTCATATTTTAACCAACTTTGAATCGGCCATACTAAAAAAATGTCCGACAAGTTTGACAAGCACTTGACAATTGCTGCTGCACTCTTGATGAGACGTTGGGGACTACTGGGCTGACTTGGTGCTGTGCTTGGGAAATTATAGGCATCGGTTTTTACATGGATCATGTCATGAAATTTGTTCCACGCCTGCTTAGACAGGGGCAAGAAGGTGTCTGCGGTTAGAAACCTTTGTGGTATGCAGATGGTGATCAGTTTTTTTTTCTCAGCTCCACAATTTTCCGCTGGGGATTTGCTCCTGTTGGAGCGACTGTCAATAAAGTATTTTAGAAGTTTTTCGACAACTAAAAAGGGCTATGCGAGAAACCCGTACAGCATTGTGGTGAGCAAGAGATTGGCTTATTTATCAGGATGCGTCAGTGCATACACTACTCCATCTGTCGCATGGTATTCAGCCTCACTCATAGGGGTGATGGTTCTCGACAAGAATTGCCAGCATTTTCAATTTCTTCTTTTTGTATTTCCCTTTGTAAAAAAAAAAAAAATTTTGCCCTCCCGATCATGTGAAGGTGGCTTCTTGTGAATTGTTCAGCCGCATCTAGATTGAGGTGTTCAACATGGTGCTTCTAACAGTGTCAGAAAATGTTGGATATGTGTACTGCCATGGATGTAAACTGGTTTGGACAGAACTAGGTGTACATTTTCCTGAATGTAATAAACTTAGTTTTGTTTTGGTCATGCTATTCATTTTGGATGGTGTCGCCATAAAAGGAATAACATGAGGAGGATGCTGAAGTAAAAGTTCAAACCGGGAGTGCAAATATATTTCCTTCATAAATTGCAAAATTATTCATTTGACAAGTTATATGAAAGGGAAAACGTGCATAATTTTATTTGGCGAGTAAGCGTATAAAAATCTCATCGGGAACAATTAAAATATCTTGTGGAAATGACACTCAAAATTAAATATAGGTGCAGATCAGTGTAAAAAAACTGGTATGCATACAATGTCACACTGTAAAGTTTTGTGTTTTGCTGTCAGATTTGCAAGTACAGTTCTCTTTTCATAGACATTGAGATCGAAAGGTGACAATAATGATCCTAAATCTGTATATAAAGAGTTTTAGAGGAAAATGGGAGAAAAAAATATTGGGATTAGGGAAAAAAGGATTAAAAGCTTATCTTGTAATTTTAGACTACGATAGAACCCTCACGTGTGGTAGAGTTTTATGGATGCTATAGTAATGGTTAAATTATCTGGAAAACAATAAGTGAAAACGCTAATGCGATTGAGTGGAAAAGAAGTGAAAGTATATAGTAGCAGCATGAGTAGACAGGTGAAAGGAAAAAATTATATATGTACAAGCGCTCTGTTGATGTCTTCATGCTGCTACCATATAGCTTCTAAAAGAACCAACTCTCCTTAATGAAGCTGCTTCTACTACAGCTGTAGATGCCCACAATTTCAACAGACAGTGCCCTATTAGATATGATACCCATCTCAAAGACTGCTGCTTTGATGCTTGCCAACAAGTTGTGAACAGATGTCCTTATTATTATGAAAAAATTCTGGATTTCCTTCACCAAGCTTGTGAGATTGTGTATACATAGTCTGACATGTGTCTTCGGAAACAGGTTAGCTTAGCCAAGAAAATTGAGCCAAGTAAAAGGTGGCCTCCGGGCTTCTGTACTATAGGCAGTGTAGTAAATGTCACCATAACCTTTGTGATGGACTTTATTTTTTTTTTTTTGCATCTTCAGGAGTGTATGCAGTACATACAGGCCTTCTTGAAAGCAGAGTATTCCAGAAATGAATTCGGAATAGTGCTGGGCCAGTGAAAATATATTTTGTGAGTGAGGCACTTCAAATTTCAGAAATAAAGGGAAGCATTAGATACTTTCTTGAGCCTCTTTAATAAAGGCAGCTTTTATGTGTGATTCATCATTATCATCAGCATATCATGCGCCCTCTGTACTTCAAGGGCCTCTTCCATCCATCTCCAATTAAACCTACCTTGCACAATCTCATTACATTTTATGTCTGCAAAAATTAATTTTATTGTGTTGGACTAAAAGGAGGTGCCTTATGGTCTCTAACATTATGGCCACACATGCAGCCTGGGTCTTCTGTTGCAAAGTGGTTCTGCTGGCTTGACTATATCGTGACCAGTGGCATGGTTTGCATTCATCTTGTTGCTTGCATGGCAGTTGCCCTGGCGCTCTGAATGTGGCGAGGCTGGTCTATTGCAAATACCAAGGCCGCTGTGTTTTATGGTAATGCGAAGCTTTCAGAAGTACAGTGCTCCATTGTTCACTTATTACATTTCCTTGTTTTTTTTTCTTTTTCTCTCTTTTTCAGGAAGATCAGCAGCTGGAATGTCTCCAGCTACATCTGAGCCCAGGCTTTGTGGCACACCAAAGGTAATGGCTGTGCTTATATATATATATATATATATATATATATATATATATATATATATATATATATATATATATATATATATATATATATATATATATATATATATCTTGATGAAGGCCAGACTCTAGGCCGAAACGTCGAAATAAACCACGTTGTGACCGCTCACGGAGGATCTACTGGACTATATATATAATATATATATATATATATATATATATATATATATATATATATATATATATATATATATATATATATATATATATATATATATATATATACATTTATTGAAAAACTTCTGCAGATGCAGCACAAGTGTATTACCCAAGGAAGCTGTAGTGTAGTTGTGTTTTTTGTTTGATGTTTGATTTTGCGAATACTGTCGTCATCCGATTTCCCGGACTCTCAAGGGACCGCAAAAATGTCCAGAAAATTGGGCAGTTGTATAAAGTTGCATAAAATATTGCTCACCTAGTGTGGCTAAAACAGTGATCCAACAGATATCGGAGTGATGTGATAGCTGTCTCAGTTGCTTACGACTTTCATGTTTGCACTCGCATTCAGGAGTTTCCTACTTTGGTCAGTTTCATTGTACTCCCCTGCCAAAAAAAAAGTAAAAGAAGAGAAAAATATAGTCAGGCTCCCTTAGTATTGTTCAGAACTACTGCACGAATGTTTAGGTGATGAGATTTTGTGAATATCCTTTTAGAGTCCTAAACCCAGGTTCCCCTACAGTCACTTACACGAATTCGACCGTTGTGGTACCAGTCAGTTTCATCAAAGTAGCAAATATTAAAGTTGGACATGAGTTGCTGTGGTTTTGATTAGATTTATTCCACCAAGATCCACGAAAAAATTTACTTGTACGTCCTGTGGTCTTTTAAGGCCGCCATGACTCCGACGACGCGTCACAGGCGTTCCAGGTCTTCTGGTGCAGAGATGTGGGTGGACCACAAGCCAGCTGGTACCGTCGATACCGGTAAGATTTTTGCTGCATTTCGCTAAGGGCCTCTCGAATCAATAGTTTGCGTGCAACCATACTTGTAAATGCTCGGATGAGAGATGAAGGGAGTGTCGAAAAACATTGTGAAGCACATACATTTACAAGCACGAATCCCGACCAACTGCCTCAAGCTTCTACTCTAGTGCATGCAACCAGTCCTGCTCATTCATTCAATACAATTGCTCAGTACAGACACACTTCTCGCAGTTGCCTAAATACATTATGGGAAGCTTGAGGTCCGGAATTCCTTTAAGGCCTCATTTTAAGCTGCTGCCTGATAAATGTTAAGCAAACTTTTGTTTATGGAGACGCATAATTTAAAGAAAAAAAGTCATCCCCACCTGTAAGGTTTTGAGTGCAGTTGGAAGGCTTTTACAACAGCTATCAGCGTTCAAGTAGAAGTTAGTTATGACCATCGTTGCCTTTATTGGTGGGCATAGATGATGTCATGTGGCACAGTATCGAGATGAGTGCAGATTCCTGTGAGGGGCCTCGTTCTGCAGTCGTCATAAAATTGAGACTAATGGTAGTGGTCTGTGCTAGAATAGTGAGCTCGCTTTTTTTCAACGATAAGACTGACAGTTAGAAACACTCACAACTACCATAACAAAAGCTCACCCTCTACGATTTCTCGCATCAGCATTGAAAAAACGAAAGCATAGTTATTAAGATGGCTGTCGTTGACCTCGTGGCTGCATATTCACATGTTTCGTGGTGCCTCTGCCAAGTCTGTTGTCGGCTTAGCGGTCAACCTTGCTGGTGCAGGCGCGGTGATGCAGCCAGTGATGAAGAAGAAGAAGTCGGTGGGCAAGCTGGGTGTGAAGGACGTCACCAAGGGGGCGTCAAAGTATGCACTGTTGCACCAGGAGCAAGATGCAGGTGGCGATGTGGAGGAACAGCTCTACAAGGTGAGGGCTGTCGGCATTTTCACGTGACACCCCTCCCACTGTTTTCACCCAGCCAGTCGGGACTTGGGTTTTGTTTTTGTTTTGTTTTTTTCAGTACAAAACAAGCTTAATGGAAAGCGGAGACTGCATAGCGAGAAACAATAACATGGTCAACTCAATGTTTAATAAATGCAGTGTGAATTAGTGAAGAAGTCGATGAAGCTGGTTTGAAGGGACACTAAAGTCTAACAACAATTTATGTCAGAGTGAAAGCTCAATGTATGACAACATCTAAAACGGCAAATATTATCAACAGCAGTGCCCTACTTACCGAGAAATTAAGGTAAATGCACGAGAACACATGCACTACGATAGGACATTCGCAAGATGATCGCTATTGCGTTACAAGTACCGCCTACAGTTAATCACTATTAATTGAACTAGCTGCACTAAATAAACAACCTTTCGTGCATTAAGAGACGTAATAAAGTGCTGCTTGTTCACCGAGATTCTTGTGGAGGGAGTGGGGGACGAGACACCGGAAAACAGCGACGAAACCGTGCGCCGACCTGCTTGCCGAAGCCCTTACTGGAATAGAAGCTTTACAAAGTTTCTTTTTCACTGAAAATCAATGAAAATGCAGACGCTTGGGCAGGGCACCCACCCTGTGGGAAATTGGTGGCATGGGACTGCCACTTCTAAAATTAAGGTCATCCCCCTTTTTTTTGTGTGTGTGTTTGAATCCAAATGCCAGGAATGTACTTTTACATTTGCATAATATGGCTTTGTACAGGCAGTTGTCTTTGAAAATAAAGGCGGTCATTTGAGCCTAAGCACTGTAATATATTCACATTATCGCTTCCTGGGTCAGGTATAAGATGGCCAAATGTTCTTAAGGAGTGAAGTGTTTGTTGCATGATTATACAAAATGCCACCAAGACAGATGCTACTGTTATTAGAGACACAGTAGGCTGGTATGTATCCTAACCAGCCATGTCCAAATCATATGGCTTAGGCCAAATTTGTGATTAAAATTAAGAAGGCTCAGGCCTATATAAATCTATGAGTTCTTGCTAGGACTTTTGGTAAGGATTCATACCATAAAATCGAAGTAGCTGCAGTGTATTGTAGGCTTTCAACAACTCGCGAATGTGCTTGTTTGATGTTTGTTTTCACTCATTAGGGAGACGTGATCCCTTCCATGACTGGTGGGGCTCAAGTGGTCTTCAATGAAGTGGAAACAGTGAAGCACTTGTCGCCAACTTCGAGTCAGCTCAGGTTTGTGAGGCGGCGTTTGAGTTTGTTCGCATGTGAATGTTTGTGTATGCGTTCCTGTCTGAATCTGAAAGAAATATCCTGATCTAATCGTACTGTGTTTCCCCATATTTTAGCAATTGCATTTGATATAATCAAAATTAAATTATATTATCATAGCCCTTTTAAGATAGGCTTTGATTCTAGGTATATACATAGTAAATAGGATTGCATGATTCAGTATATACTATAATCTAAAATTTTCTCTTAGGATACCGAGGACAAATGTGATATATTATGTCAACATTGCACCCACCAGTTTCAGAATAGCAGCAGCAATCTCAAAGCTTATGTGTGTGTTTACGACAGGCATTGATACTCATGTCATGGCTGGCATTATTTAGTGCTAGTGAAGGAAAGGAATACGTTACGTATTTACATTCCCGAGAACACCTGTCCACACCATTGAATGAGTATATTGATTAGAATAGCTAGGGCGTTTTTCAAGACCCTGGCAAACGGTAAATGACGAGGGGATGGGGTTATTGCATTGTTGACACCTCTATTCGACATCTTTTACTGCATGATGTATGCATATACAGTCTATAATATGTACTAGTATTCATGTTTGTTTTATTTCTGTTCACTGCAGGAGTAGTAGTGCTTACGAAGCGAAATGGGACAAGTTAGGGCTAAGTAACCCACCTAGTTTTAGTTCCACCATTCTCCGCTCGGGTCACATCGGCGTAATTTCGTCTCGGAACACATCAATCAGAGCCAACATCATCTTTACAAATCAGATTCATTGCATTATGATGTGATTATCTCGAGCAGTTGCAAATATTTGTCGCTAAAAAAATGTCGTGTTTTGAATCTGTAAGTGCTGTGCATTGATCATGAGAGCCTGGCACTGTATATTTTCATACTGAAACTAAGCTTCTGGCCTTTTTACATTTGAAGACAGGTGTGTTTCAACTAAGCATCAAGGACATTTAGTTTAGCATTTGTAAGCTCTTCACTCCAACAATGTAAGTTGACCATGCATGTGCAAGAGTGATTTGTACACGATGCTGTGCATGAATCTGCTGATATGTTGCTGCTTGCCTAACACAATTTGCAAATGTCTATGCCTTCTTGCAGGTGCAATCAGTGAGAAGTAAGCACCCACAAGCTTTCCTTCTTTCCGTGTGTGCTCACGTTAACTTTGGGAGCTCCAATCCTAAGAGCGTATTTTTAATTTCTTTCTCAATTATAGGAAGCGGAGCAATGGACGAGCAGCACGTGATGAGGATGACGACTACGTGTCGGCTCGTGTATGTGTAATTTTTGGAGTTCATACCTCAGTTTTGTTGGCTTTGCTTTGCTGGGTTGCTGCTTATACACTCAAACATCATTATAATAAAGTTGCATCTCACACGAAAATAAGTTTGTTATATACCAAAATTTGTTGTAAAGGTTTATTTCTTGCAATATGAAACTGTTTTTCATTTACTTTGTTATAATCGATATTGCATTATATCTGTGTTCATTATATAGACGTTTGAGTGTACCACATTTACATTATCTCATTTTTGTTCTTTCTTTTTTTCAGTGCTCAGTGTCCGTTGAAGGTCATCCTCATCCTTCTGTGATAAAGTAAGTGCATCGTATTGGCTGAGCCTGTCGTACTTTTTGAGATAATAATTGCAAACGTGAAACGTGAGTGCAAGAAACATAGGAGAAACCATTGAGGAAGGTTGTCGGTCTAAGCAAAAAAGCAAACTGCCAAGTGTGGACGTTTGTGATTGTCAGTTTGCTGTGCAAGATTTCAAAGAGGGCTTGCAAAAATGTTCCGACAGTGTTTGCACCACCCACCCGTGGCAGCACAAGACGCCATGTAGGAAAACATAGCCTTCTATATATTTTAAAATGATGACTAACTTGTTTACGAATTTTAGTTCACAGAATGATAGGCATTGATGTAGTATCAATTTGCATTAAAATACTCTAGTTTGAACACTTGTCTTAACTAGGCATGTACGTCTCTTTGAATGTTTGTAGGACTTCTGCTAATGGACAATAATGGGCAAGGTTATTTAGTGTTATTTATTTCATTTTCTTCAATACCGTCAAAGCTCAAAGGCATTACAAAAGAGAATGGATAACAATATATGCAGTGAACAGAATGAAATAAAATGATGAAGTTGCTAGCAGTATATCTGACGGACACCAGCAGCTTTATATGCAATTTAAAATGATCTGTTTGGCAACAAAAGGTGGGCAGATGGTTCCGGTCATTCAACGTGCTTGAAACAGAGGTACCATAGCTGTACGGGAAAGCATAACACATTCATTAGTTCTTTTATAATCAAATCTGTCTAATACGTAGAATTGCATAAAAATAAGATAATGTTTGAGCTATGGATCAGGATAGATATTATAAAAAGAGCTTCTGTACTCATTAGTTGGGCTACCACTTATGTACCTCCTTCACTTCTCGTTACAGACGATCAAGAGTGTGAAACCTTTGGAACGTCTACGTCATGTTGGCCTGTGCCGATTTTACTGCTGTACATAACTGCGACAAGGATCAGCGTGTCCTAGCGATTCGCAATTAATTTTATTCTTCAAATAAAGTGTTTTTGAGGATGAAGTGTCTCTTCACTGAGATCAACTAAAGTGATCATAAGTGCTACCATGTTATTGACAAGAAACAATGTGAATGGTTTGTCATTGTGTATCACTTGGGATCAGTGCATGTTGCATCGCTTAATACTGTTGATTGCAGCATTGTACTTTCGCTCTAATGTGGAGATACATTAGAATGTAGCGTGGCTATAATGGGCTTGAGCGTCACATATGGCGACATTTGGCTGCCCTTGGTGTGGTTACATCATTCGTCCTACGATTACTGCTTTGCATTACTTGGTTTTCTTGGGATCGTTATTCAGTCAAGCAGGCATGTAAAGTAAGTACTGGATTCTCAAATAATTACATTTATAGCATGGTAGTAAACAATCTGCACTTCCTAAGCCAACGTGTGTGGCCGTTTGTGCACTGGCACTGATTAAAGAGGTCCTAAATAGATCGGAGAGCTGTGATACTGGGGCATCATATTGTAATACCACAGGGGAAGATAAAACAAATGGGAACAATCAGAGGAAGGTCATCAGTCTTCATAAGTGATATGCTAACCGCAATCATCAGTAGCATAATCACTTGTGGTACCGATGCTATTGATTATGTTTCCGATTATGGTGATAAATTTTAGCAAGCACTTGATGTACTACCCATGCAGCATAGTGTGCTCCGGCATAGTGTCATGTTCAACAGGGGCACACCATATTGTGCAGGGAGGCATTTAGGACTGCCTTTATTTTGCCCTAAAAAGTGGCCAGAAGGGGCCGGGACACTATGCCGATACTTATATATGTACCGTATTTTCTCGGGTAATCCTCGCACTCGCATAATTCTCGCACCCCCTCATCGCCTGAGAAAAACACGATTTTTTTTTTCCTCGACTAATTATCGCACCGCCGAAAACTGCCGCGATAATGTCGTCTGCTTGTTCCAGCCACTGGATGGATGGATGGATGGATGGATGTGGCTGTACCCTTTAGATCGCGCGGCGGCTCACGCCACCTAGCCGTAATACTTAGTGAACTAACCATTACATTTATCTTTTTTTTTCCTTTAAATAATGAAGTTGAAGATTCGTACTTCGCAGTGAAGGGTTTAATTTTCACTCGTGCCTTGACTTTAGCCACCAATAAGATAACCGCCTTCTAGTTAGGTCTACCCGCTTAAAGTCTATTTTGCCCTCGCTGTCCCTAAACCCCAGTGCTTTGAAAAACTCTGTGCCATCATCCCGAACTATAGGGTGAAGCCCTTTACAGAACATTATCAAGTGTTCAGCAGTTTCTTCTTCCTCTCCACACGCACTGCATACTGTGTCTACCCCTTCGTATTTGGCCCGATATGTCTTGGCTCGCAGTACTCCCGTCCTGGCCTCAAACAGTGGAAAACTACCCCGAGTATTATCATAGATTCTTTCCTTGACAATTATCTGCTTAAAAGTTCGATAGATCTCTAGTGCGGACTTCTTAATCATGCCCATTCTCCACATGTCAATCTCCGTTTCCTTCACTTTCTTCTTAACCGATAGTTCTTTTTGGTTTGGCCACCTGCTGTTTTCTAAGTATTTACCAGTCAACTTCCTGGTTCGCTTCCTCCATTTTGTATCGACATTCTTCATGTACAAGTAGCTGAAAACCTTCCTAGCCCAATGCTCCTCCCCCATTTCTCTCAATCGCTTCTCAAATTTTATCTTGCTGCTAGCTTCCCTGCCCTCAAATGATGTCCATCTCATATCACCTTGTACTCCCTGATTTGGTGTATTCCTGTGAGCTCCTAAAGCAAGCCTACCTATTCCACGATGCTTAATTTCTAATCTTGCTTGAACTTCTGATCTCATGCACAAGACCGCATTGCCGAATGTCAGCCCAAGAACCATGACCCCTTTCCATATTCCTCTCAGAACATCATACCTATTGTAATTCTACAGTGCCCTATTTTTCATGACTGCTGCATTCCTGTTACCTTTGGTCGTCACGTATATTTTGTGTTCCCTCAGATACTCGGTCCCATTCCTTATCCATACGCCCAGATATTTGTATTTATCTGTTATCTCTAGCGTGGCCTCCTGTATTCTAAGCTCACTACCTTCGTTGTCATTGAAAATCATGACTGCTGATTTTTCCTTACTGAATCTAAACTCTAACCTATCTCCCTCATTACCGCAGATGTCCATCAATCTCTGCAAATCTTCCTTGTTGTTGGCCATTAGCACTATATCATCTGCGTACATTAATGCTGGTAGTGCCTGATCAATAAGTTTTCCTTGTTTGACTAAAGAGAGGTTGAAGCCCAGTCCACTTCCCTCTAATTTTGCCTCTAATCCTTGTAGGTACATCATGAATAATAAGGGTGACAGGGGGCACCCCTGCCTAAGCCCCTGTCTTACCTCTGCAGGCTTGTATACCTGTTTTTCCCACTTTATAACTACCTTGTTACCTTTATAGCTACCCTTTAAAAGATTAGTGACTACATGTTCCATGCCTAGTGTGTCCAGTATTCCCCACAATTCCTCTTGAACCACGCTATCGTACGCTCCCTTGATATCCAAAAATGCTAGCCACAGGGGCCTGTGTTCCTTTTCTGCTATTTTGATGCACTGCGTCAGTGAGAACAGATTGTCTTCCAACCTCCTGTGTTTCCGAAACCCATTCTGCAGTTCCCCCAGCACCCCCTCATCCTCTATTCATGCCTGCAGTCTTTCCTTTATAATCTGCATCGCCAGCCTGTAGACCACTGATGTCACTGTTATAGGACGGTAGTTGTTTATGTTAGATTTGTCCCCCTTTCCTTTATAGCTCATGCTCATCCTGCTAAGTTTCCATCCATCGGGAACTTCACCATTGATTATTATTGGGCTCACTGCATCTCTCAAAGCCTGCTTAGACTTCCGGCCTAATGTCTTTATCAGCCTAATTGGAATGCCATCTGGGCCTGTTGATGTACTACTAGGAACCCTTTTCTCAGCCCTTTCCCACTCTCATGAAAATGGAGCCATTGCACCACTTGATTCGTCCTTGTCTATTGTGGTGCATAAAGTACTTCTTTGTTGAAAATTTTCTGTCACCCTTGTTCTTATATACTCAATAGCTTCGTCCCCTTCTAGCCTAGCACCTTGGGCTGTAGTTATAAAACTCCGCTCTAGGCTCGTCTCATTTCTTAGGGAGTTTAGATGGTTCCAAAATTTCGCAGCTGCCTTTCTATCTTTTTTATGTACTTCTGCCAGCCACTGAGCTCCCTTTCTTCTAATCTTTTCATTGATCAGAAGGGATGCATCCCTTCTACAGCTTAGAAAGGTTTCCCATTTTCTTTCAACATCATCTGTCGGTTCACCCCGCTGCTTAGCATGTCTGTGTTCCCTAGAGGCTTCCTGACGTTTTGCTATGGCTCTCTTAACTTCCTCATCCCACCAACCTTTGGGTTTGTGTCTTCTTTGCCGGGGTGACTTGTCACGCGTCTTAGCAAGCTCTAGCTCAAAGAGTCTAATTTGATTCGTGTATGTCCACACTGTCTTATTATCCTCCGTGATTACTTTCTCAATTTGTTTAGTGGCTATTTCAATTTGCTTTTCTGGATAAAAATTTTCCTATAGTTGCTCATCTTGTCTCCTTCCCACTTTCACTGCTCTTCCAAAACTTAGCTTGATACGTTTGCGATCACTACCCAGACTTCTGGAGCCACCTTCATCTATGTGCATTCCCCTGAGCTTATCATACATCCTATGTGACAGCAGTGCATAATCTATCGTCGACTGCAGCCTTCCTACCTCCCATGTTATTTGCCCTTCACACTTCTCGGTACTGTTGCAAATGATCAAATCAAGCCTTTCACACATATCCATGATCATTTTGCCTGTCGGGTCGGTATACCCATCTATATGTGCGCATTCATGTCTCCTAGTTTAATTATCTCGCACTCTCTTCCTAACTCCTGAATGTCTTTTGATATACACTCTACCATTGCCTGGTTTTCCTCTCTGGCCTTTGCTCCCGTCCACAAGTACACGAAACCAAGGAGTGTCATTTGACCTGGCACTTTCCCTTTTAGCCATAAATGTTCCTTGCACTCCTGCTTGACCCTTTGCCAGTCTGTACTTTTATGAATGAATGCCCCAATACCACCCCCCTTTCTGCTGCCTTCTGTTCTATTACAATATTCCCATGCGTAGTCCAGATTGTTTGGAGGTTGTTCCATGTCCCTGAGATGTGTTTCTACAAAACCGTATACCATCGACCTCTCTTCCCTTAGCTGTTCTTCTATCTCTTCCCACTTCAGCCTCTTCCTACCACCCTGCATGTTAATATACGCTATGTCTGAATTGGCTCGGCGCTCGTGGCTACGTCTATGCCCCGGACTCTACCTATCTTAGATATTGGGGCCACTTTGGAATCGTATCTGTCCATACCACCTGTCGAAGAGTCTCCCTGGTTGTTTTCCTCGTTACTAGCTATCCTGAACCCCGAAGGGCTCACTTGCCCACCAAAAAAGCTACTGCGCGTCCTGCAAGTCGCCAACCCACCTCATGACCTAGCCGCCCATCGAAGTGAATTCTGTCTCGTTGAAAACCACCCCACCTATGCACCTCTCTGTTTATTACCACCACCTCAAAGCCTTTCTCTCGACTCATCCGCCATATCTCTTGGTTTGCGTTGGCAACCGCTCTTTGCAGGTTGCTATCACGCACCGGTACCTCCGGTATCGTGCATATCACTACCTGTACCTTAGGAGAAGTGGCGCGCATGTCATCGACGCCTTTCGCCAGTGTGGCTGCTAGTCCTGCTGTATCTTCATTTAGGACATCGTTTAAACCGCCTGAAATTATCACGAGGTTTCGTCTATCAGCTGTTGTTTTGAGTTTTGCGCTCGCTTGCCTCATGACTGCTTCAAGCTTGCGTCCTGGGAACGCCCCTACTGCAACCCTCTTGTCACCTCTTACCTTCTCTTTGATGGCTTCTGTGCATCGATTTAAATTCGAGTCCCCGGCGATTATCACATGCTGTGACTTTTCAGCTGGAGCGT